AGGGCAGATGATAATGTACACGAGGTGTACAAATAGCATTTCTATTGCTCATTTTTCGAGAATGGAATGCAAAAAAAAGAAAAGAAAAGGGGATCTGTTGCAAAAATTTTGCCCTAAAAAAACTAAGTCTTTTGATCAAATTTTTCTATGACTTCCCGAAGGAAGTCATTTTCTAATAGTCAGGAAACAGAGGGCAAACCGAACGCCCTTTCACATCCCCTCCTCAACCTCAACCTTGCACTCAATCTTCAACCCGAACTGACGACGACACCGGGACGAACCAAGGACCTCGTGCATTGGAGGTCAGAAAGAGCCTGTCAAGCCAGAAGCTCAACAACGAATACTAACGGTTTCCTGGCATATTTGCCCATTTTTTTAACTTTGAAGTAGAAATATACAATACACAAGGTGGTCTTGAACCTTAGAAGGTGCAACTACATTAGCCATGACTTTTCCCTTAGTTATTCACGTATTATCCAACTCTAAAAAGAACGACGAAGTGGTCTTGAACCCGAGAAGGCGTACTTACCAAACTATCATCTGTACCACTCGGCCATGCGAGTGAGATGCGTAACCATCGACAAGATACCAAGATATTCAGCAGAACAACATTCATTGCCTTTCGTTGCATAAGGCTTTAGTACATAAGGTGTTTAGAAAATGCCTTCGATGGCATCATAGCAGTATTAGAACTTCAAAGACAAGGGCTTGCTAATTGCACTCTAAGCAATAAATGTTTTTCCAAGAAGAAAGAAGAGGAATAAAGTATGACTGATGTCACCATTGACATGTGGTGAATTGGCGTCATGATGCGCATGTCCTTAATCAATTTTGTTCATTTAAAAATGTTGTGAAAAAGCCATTTTCATCGTTATTTTTCCTCACCTTTTCCGTCGTCATTTTTAATGATCGCTATTTCGAACCTATATCTTTCTATCTACCTTCATTTCATTGTCTACCTTTGTGTCGACCTTATTGTCTACCTTTGTGTACACCATTATGTCTACCTTTATATCGACCTTCTTGTCTACCTTTATGTTTACCTTTTAATCAGACAAAGTCCTCATTTTGTTAAATACAGCATTTAAAATACAGCATTAAAAATTAGGGATTTCACGGTCGAAAGTAGTCAATGCATCATATCTTTTTGACGGTTGGTGTTGGTGCGCCGATATGTTTAATAATTCCAAACAAGGACATGTAGACTTATGAAATGATGTCTTTTGATGATATCGTCTTCTATGCAACGACAACTTTTTCATATGTTCTCCCGTATAAAATGAAGACTTGTCGTCTCCTGTGAAAAGGTAAGACAAGAAAGTTGACACAAATGTTGAAAAGACGACTACTACATTCGAGTACATCGACAACATTCGACTATGAAATCACTAATATTTAGACAGAAATATAGACACAATGTTGAGAAGATGACTCCTATAGGAAATGACGACTTTTTAAGATGACTACTATTAGTGAAAAAAAGTTACCAACAGGATACTTTGATACATACAAGATCATTGCCTGATTTACCACGACACGACAATGCACGACATTGACTACATTGAATTACTTCGATTACATTGACTACTTTTGTCCATGAAATCACCAATTTTTCAAGTGTCGTGTTCAACAAAATGAGTACTTTGTCCTATGAAAAGTTAAACACTAAAGTAGACAAGAAGGTCGAGCAATGGCAGACAAGAAGGTCGACATAAAGGTAGACATAATGGTCGACATAATGGTAAACATAATGGTAGACAAAAAGGTCGACACAAAGGTAGACATAATGGTAGAAAAGAAGGCCAGCATAAAGGTCGACAATGAAATAAAGGTAGATACAAGGATACAGGTTTGAAATGGGAATCATTAGCATTGACGACGGAAAAGGCGACTATGAAAATGGCTTTTTCACGACATTTATAAATGAACAAAATTGATTAAGGACATGCGCATCATGACGCCAATTCACCACATGTCAATGGTGACATCAGTCATACTTTATTCCTCTTCTTTCTTCTTGGAAAAACATTTATTGCTTAGAGTGCAATTAGCAAGCCCTTGTCTTTGAAGTTCTAATACTGCTATGATGCCATCGAAGGCATTTTCTTAACACCATATGTACTTAAAGCCTTATGCAACGAAAGGCAATGAATGTTGTTCTGCTGAATATCTTGGTATCTTGTCGATGGTTACGCATCTCGCTCGCATGGCCGAGTGGTACAGATGATAGTTTGGTAAGTACGCCTTCTCGGGTTCAAGACCACTTCGTCGTTCTTTTTAGAGTTGGATAATACGTGAATAACTAAGGGAAAAGTCATGGCTAATGTAGTTGCACCTTCTAAGGTTCAAGACCACCTTGTGTATTGTATATTTCTACTTCAAAGTTAAAAAAATGGGCAAATATGCCAGGAAACCATTAGCATTCGTTGTTGAGCTTCTGGCTTGACAGGCTCTGTCTGACCTCCAATGCACGAGGTCCTTGGTTCGTCCCGGTGTCGTCGTCAGTTCGGGTTGAAGATTGAGGATTGAGTGCAAGGTTGAGGTTAGGAGGGGATGTGAAAGGGCGTTCGGTTTGCCCTCTGTTTCCTGACTATTAAAAAATGACTTCCTTCGGGAAGTCATAGAAAAATTTGATCAAAAGACTTAGTTTTTTTAGGGCAAAATTTTTGCAACAGATCCCCTTTTCTTTTTTTTTTCTCTGAAAATATACTAAGTGTCGCATTCCATTCTCGAAAAATCAACAATAGAAATACTATTTGTACACCTCGTGTACACTATCATCTGCCCTTTCTTCGCTCTTGACATTCTAGGTACTCGTTCATTGCAAGTCTTATACTCAACACACCAAGCCCAACAACAACTGACTGACCCTCGATAGATTCGAACCTCACACCACAACCTGAGAAACCTCCACATACCCACTCTACCAGTGAGTGAGTTGGAGAAAGGTGGTAAGTTTAGTCTTTTTACTATAGTGTATTAATTAAAGTACTAAAAAAATATATAATTCCTATCATCAACTTTTAAACTATTGACATTTTTAGAAGAACATTAGAGATACATCAAAACGCATTTATTTGCCAGAGAGAATCATTTGTCGTCAGTTTTGTTACACAACAGCAATACATTAATATAATTTGTAGCCACGGTATCTATTTTCGCTCATGATATCGAAAAAAGTACGTCCATATAACATATCTTAAAACGGTTTCAGTCCTGCTCAGATTTCTTTTAGCAGTTGCCATCAATAGTTGTTTGCGCAATTTCTAAAATTTCTTGTTGCCTTTTGGACATTTCAAAGATGTCGACTATAAAGACTGTGTACATTTAATGATTGGTGTGGTTAAGACAGCTGATAGCATTTTTCGAAAGGACTGATTGTGCGAAGTATCTTCACATGGATGTCAACAGTTTGGTTTTTTCCAAATAGCACTGGTATTTTCTTGTTCACCTCGGTTACTCGAACGATTTTGATGAGCGAGCTAAATAGAAGGAGCATATTTTGTGGATGTCATCAGTTTGGTCGGTTTCTTTCCTATGAGGTGATTAAAGTCATGACCAAATTAAAACTGGAGAAGTGCTCAAGTATACCAGTATATGACTAAATGACTTGGTTTTTCCATTGCTGTTTATTTTGTTACACCAATATTCTTTTCTTAAATACTCTGTGGAAAAAATTGGTTGTTATAAGATGGCACTGTGTATAGACATAACCCCGGCACTCGACGTGATAAATTCAAAAGAACTTTCAATTATAGGGTGCAGTTTTCGTTGGAAATAGCTTTCAAACATTACTTATTGCGTGGTCTGTCATCGACCTTAATTTTTAACAAATATATCGTAAATTTTTCGTCTTGCTGTTGGTCAGTTTATGTCCAGATTATCTTCCATCACCGAGAAGTTGGCAAAATACAAGATCTTTCTTCATCTTTGCTTTCTCAAATTTCTCTCTTGCTCAGTTAGAAATTGCTGTTTACAGTTGGCAGGAATATACTTCGATGATTTGTTGTCATCTGGAACCATCGAAATAACCATTGACTTTAGCTGCTCTTAGTGAGAACATTTTTCAACAAGTTTTTCAAGGTCATAGATTCCATTTCTTGTTCAGTTACATTCACAGATGTTGACGTTCTTGACTGTTCATCAACACGATTTATTAGATCTGCAATCAAATGACACGCATTTCGACAACGAGCAGAAAATTAGCTTCAATCGTCCATTCCATTTAAAGCACCAAATTTACATTGCTTTGCACAACCACAAAACTTTCGAATACTTCGTATATTTGTCGCCTCTCCGTGATCTTCATCTGGTAAATACAAGACAACTTTTTACCATGACACCTCGTAGTTATAAGCCCTAAAAAGTTAAATATTTTTTTCTCCGACCTTATTAACGGCATGTGTTCCACATGATTGTTTTACAGTCATTATTCGTACTTGAACAAATTACCGGATATTTATCACTTATGAATACTGAAAACAATATAGGTGGTGATTCTAAACAAAAGAATTGTGTTCCCTCTTCATTAAATGCAAATCAGTCAATTGAGCATTGCACAGTGTATGGTTATGCAAATCATTCGCAAATAAAATTTATTCAGCCTTCAAAATACTTCAAAATAAAGCAAGTGATGAAATAAGCACATGAGCACAAACAAAGACAAAAGATTAAACAAAGACAATCAACGAAGTCCGATACGTCGTGAAAATAGGTGATGGGAGTGAAATTGATGTTTATGGTCTATTACGAAAAACTTTGGCAAAGCTTTTCGATAACCAACGCAGACAAGACTTTACCCTCAGACAAGTAGGCCAAAACCGAGAGGATGTATTTCGAAGTAAATCTTCCTGACACTATTTAAATTTGGAACTCTTATTTCACCTTTTTCTTCCATGCATTTTAATAAAAAACCTTTGCTGTTAATTAGAAGCCATCGACTCAGCGACATGTCAAACGTAAAAAAGCAAGTGAAAAATGATCTTTAAGCATGTCATCAATTAATGTACTATACGTCATTGTTTTATTAAACAAGTCAGAGGATGTCTATAACTATTGAAGTATTGAACACTTAAAAATCAATAATTATACATTGTGCACATATTTCATACTACAGCATATGCCATTGTTATATGGTACTTATGTTACATTTGCAGTTCAATTAGCCGAGTTACGAATAAATGTAGTTTGCTCAACAAAACTAGTAACATCTCATTCATATACACTAGCTGCATTAAGTCTTCTCTAGTAATGTGGAATGTTTAAAACATTTTTGACGATGTAAACCTTCTTTCTTTACTTGAACATCATTGCCATCCATTTATACTTCAGCAGCATTGGTTTTGTTAATGAGAACAAAGTCATGTTTTTCTAAGTTATGCAGTTGCAGTCACCGAAGTTGAAGATCTCGATTTCTCATCAACTGTGAAAGATGTTAAAAATGCATCAAACGCAAGTGTCGAGTGTCGAAACATATACTCCATCCGTACTCATAACTGTTCTGAAACTCTCCGATTTTTCATCACGAATACTTAACGTATTATTGGACAGTGATTGCTGCAGTTCCTTGTTCGATGTTGATATGTTTTCTACTCGAGTGTAACCAAGCCTGGAACGGGATGCTAATAGGCCACAAACGACTAAGAGAAAAAGAAGGGTCAGTCTTTTTAACCGTGGGGTATCCATATATATATATTAATACTACCAATGCAAGACTTAGAATTCAACGAGGAAGGGGGGTGAGCCCCTCTTCGAATAAACCCTCCGTAAAGGAGAGATGACGTCTAATGGATATACCCTGGATATACCGCTACAAAGACTGTGAAAAGTAAATCGTAGAATCTGTTTTACCAGTGATTTTAACACACCCAGAAACACAACGAGTAAACATCATAAAACATGAAATAACTTGTTGATCATGGGTGCAGAAAGCAAATGTGGACGATTGAGAGTTCTTTCCACTACAATTTTCGTAGTTGGTTAACGGAATTTTCCTGTATAAATATTACGACATTTAATTTCATTGTCTGTTTTTATCAATGGCGACGCAAAAATTTATTTTTTCAGCAATCCACAGTTCAGAGAACCTTTTCATCGATTGCCGATTATGTGTGTTCTGTGTATGAATTACAATATAATACACCACCGTTCATACTTTGAAGTTTATTCAAAATGGCAAAACCATTTTCTGAACTAAAATCGGTCGACGATTGGTGAGGTACGCCACCTCCTTGAATGTCTGGTCGATAGAGAAATCTTAAAAAATAACAAAAGCAATAAATACATATGTTCGAGGAGCAAGAACACCAGATATTCAACTGGATTTCCTCTTGGTCAATTCATTTATGTGAGTTAAAATGTCCAATAAGTACGTAACTAAATAAATGTAACACAACGATCTGTGCCCACATTTATTTAATCAGACCAACGGCTTGAAAAACCGTTGAAAAGACCAAAGTAGTTTTAGGTAAAACGTTTTCCATCCCCACACAGTAAAAATATCTTTACAGTTGAACCAATCAAGAAAAATTGCTCAAGATACCCATCAAAATATCTACAGCAACTTTACCTTTTGAAAATATTCCTTTTTTATGGTAATACGTCAAACATTTTTGTAATTCTTCTTCATCATACGCAGGAACATTGACGGGGTCGAAGTATCCAAGGGTTGAAAGGCCCTATGCCATAATGAAATAACTAAACATTACTGAATCATGAATGAGAACATAGAAAGAGTCAATATACACGTTCTGTAAATTTGTCTGAGCACTATTTTATGTCTGAGATATGAATTGGATGCATCAAAACTGGAAGGAAAGTGTTTTGCAATTAGGTTTGATTAACTGTACAGTTGAGTAGAATTAAAAGATAAATTGTACATTTTAAACAACGAAAATAGAGTTGTTAGAGTAAAATATTACTCATACTCTTGGTTAAAAATGTTTCAAAATAGTGAATTTTTCAATTTGAAAAGATGAGACCACAAAAACTCGTACAGATCACATAACTCCTAGCTATGATGTCAGGCTTTTTGTTCAACCAAATCGCAAACCGCTTTTATAAAGGTTGATGTGGACAAATAAAAACCAACTATCTACATCACCCTTTGAGAAAAAAATATGATCTGCAAAAATTATAATTCTTTACTTTCGGTCGAAGAAGATCTGAATAATGATAACTGGGGCAAAACGATCTTTCCATGCCTGTTCTTGATAAAGCTACAACATAACTACCCTTTGCCTGAAAACAAAATAAATAAGAAATAAGACAAAAAATATATAAAGTTAAAAGTATGATTGATGTCTGATTTCCTACCAAAGAAGAATCCTCACGAAATAACTTCACAAAGTGTTTCACCAAAGATAGATCCTTGTTTTTCAGTCTTTCATTATTTTCGGGGTTCTTCAAAGACGTTTGCCAAAACAAACCATTGAATTCATCCGCAGCAAAAAGAACAGGAATCCTGAAAATTATACATTAAACTCAAAACTCGCCAGCCCTTACCATGTAAAATTCGCCATCGATGTACCTACCGATTGCTCAGGCATTGCACCTCTTTAAGCGTAATTCCCACGGCATCGGAAGCAAAATTCGGTCGATGAAAAGCCTTCAGTCAACGAGAATAACTCACGGTTAAAAATTACACGCAGATTTGAATGGTGACTACGAGGGAAAATGAGTTAGGAGAAAACAACATTTGGTTATGCTTTCTATTTGCCATTTCATAGACCCATTACACAATGTGGTTTCTCTCAAAAACGCAAAGAGCCTAAATTGTATAATACATGGTAATCCTGGACACAAAGGAAAAGCATAAATTATCGTTCTTTCAAGGATAACGAACGACTTCGTACACATAGTAGCTCTCTTCTCTATCTATGAACTCGGAGATATAGCTACTGACCTGATCAATAACATTGATTATTGAGCTGCCAGTATCAATTGATATCTTCTGACTTATTTTGTATTCCTTTGTCGTTTTAATCTAGATATATGTATCGAATAATAAAATGAGAGATATCAGACTTCAACAATCCAGGATGTAAGAAAAAAAGTAATGAGCAAGGAAGTGATTTTTTCCATTTTCTTAAAAATTGGTTTTAAAATAGAAAAGGACAAAAACGTCTATCTTACAGCCTATGTAAAGAATCACCAACGATTACAAAACATCACAAAATTTTTTTTAAAGTACATTAAACTGAATAACAGATTTTAATTAAGTTTATATAGTGAAAGCCAATAATGAAACAGGCGTTTCATTGGTCCTAAGGTCCGCCACACTTTACTTTACCCATAAGATGATGGCAATGAAGATAGTTTACCTTAGATAAAAATCTTTCGTTCAATATCTGGAAACTTTTCAACCAGGTGAGCGCAACTTCGGTCTGGTCAAACCTTTTGGGATTATAAATTGACGGAATGACGTTTTGCCTTCCGTGAATCATCTTGAAGACTATTAAAAAAATGCGATTCATTACCACCAATGACGATCGAATTCTAGATATCACAACGAGGTCTACGTGGAATGCTAAAGCCAAAAACATGACCTGTCGTTGTTAAAAACGGGAAACAAGTTCTTCTCTTGTCACTTACAGCTAACTAAACCTTTAAAATCTTGATATTTCGTCACACTGTGTATCTCAGAGGTATGGTAACTAACTTACCGCTGGGAAGTAAAAGAAGGATCCATTCTTTTAAATAACAGTTATGAATAACATGAGATAAAGTCAATGTTTTACCACAGCCATCTTCACCATCTATGCAGAATCAATTTATGTTAAGACAAATATATTTTAATTTAATAAACTTTCTGAAATATCCAATAGTATCTTCTTACAAATTTCAAAAACATTTTTTGAAAAAACCCATAACTTAGCACAACTTGAACTGGCCTTTGTTATGATTAGTTCCTAATAAAGCATCTCACATTTGGCAAGCAACTAGGCAAACATTTACTTATGTTAGATATCAAATGGGTAGTTGGTAGAATTGAACTAAACAGCTATTTTAGGATACAAATTACAATTCTTTTAACTCTCTTTTCTTCTATATTCAATGCATTGAGAATGGTTAGAGCTGGTTTTCTTATCATCAAATTGAATTCTCCAATTGTGTTCATCTTAAGAAAGCAAAATAAATAGGAAATAGATACTCATGCTGACAAACACATTTTAGAACTCCAGTATCTTAGGTATAGCCAAACAATGCAATTTGCATGATGGAAAATAGCCTAAAATATGACTTGGCAAGTTTAAAAAACCTCATGCAGCTAGATATATCAGAAACACCATTATACCTCATCCAAATAGCCAGATTTTGGTAAGCCATGGGAAAATAGAACAGAAACATCACTAATTGGCACAGTATAATACTGACCAACATGCTCTGTTGAATGGTGCAGCTTGATAATACAACAATAGCATTCAATTTAAAGGAAAGCAGATAGTATTATGTTTGAGAGACACTGGGGCTAATTATGTACAGGAGACATGTAAATTTTTCTCGATTATAAAAACATCCTACATCAACAAATCTTTTTTTGTTTTATTTATTTTCTGTTTCTCATTTTAAAATCAGAGAGTGACACTACATTGCCGATAATTTTGACTTAAATTACTAACAATATGAAAAGGGTATCATACAAATAGATACTAGTCTTATAAATACAAAATGAATTTGCTTACTGGATTAAGTTTAGTAGAAACTACTGTCCCATCATTAGTTAATGTGGCAGTAACATTGCCTTCAAGTAAAGACGTCTGTCGACAGCAATCATCACAGTGTAGTTTCTGACTTAACACCTAAATATAATAATAGCAAAGTTAACATAATTAGTTAAGGACTCTCAATGCATCAGCAGCTCCATTAACAAATACACAAAAAAACCCAACACCATGTGTCCATGTCATATTATGATGTTCTAAATTGTTTGTCAAAATAAATGTGTCTCATGTCGCCGATATAATAACTTTTAAGCCTTGTCCTACTCAGCAATCAACACCATTCAAAAATCACCTATTACAACACAACCTTGTAGACCCACCACTACAATGTCTCCACGTACCAGTTCATAAAACAATTGATGAAAAATGACCATAAACATTAACTACTTATATGACAAATCTATATTCACCTTCCGCAAGGATAACCAAAAATCTCGACAGTTTCTTTTTCTTTTTCCTATTGGTCTAATCATTATCTCGAAAAGATTGTACTAGTACCACAAGTTCGTACTGTTATTACAGTATTCCTGTCAGTTCTGTGCATTGGTTCTGTGATTAAACCATAAACTAGTGCCCAGACTCCACAGTAATCACTCATACTCACATATGAGTTCTAAATGCATAGACTAAACATGGTGTCGACTATGTGGGGGGTATCTACTATGTTGGGTAGCATCTATGTAGAGTGTCTTCTAAATAGGATATCGACTGGGGTGTTGACTAAACAGGGCGTCTACTAAGTACAGTGATTACTAAATAGGATATTCACTAAGTAATTGTCTTGCGATCTTTTTACACTATTACACTTGTAATCGATTACACAATTACACACGTAATGATTACACGATTATACATGTAATCATTTACACGATTACACATGCAATTGATTAAAATTGATTGTACGTCCATGTAATTAGTATTCATATCAGTGGTTCTAAGTAGTCTAAATTTTATTTGGACAACCTAAAAGATAAAAGGCTAAAATAGAATAATTTATGCCTCAAAAAATGAACGAAAGAATTCCTCCAATTGGGGAAATAAGAAATAAGACTGCATTTAAGCCAAATAAGACTATTTATAAGACACATAAGATATTACCACGTGACTGGAGAAGCAAAACGTCATCATGTGCTTGGGTCTTGATAATTTGTTATGATTCGTTTCGCATTCCACCCAACTACCCTCTCGTGACTTGCAAAACTTTCGCCAAAATGAGTGCCAGAATAAAGCAATACAAAGATCAGTTGGAAAATTTTTTGAAAAAGGACAACGCTTTCAACAATGTCCTTGCCAAAATTGAAGAAAAAACCAAAATAAATCGAATTCACCTGTTCTTAGGTAGTATTCGTACGGACGCCTAAACGCTAACTCAAGTGTTTGGATAATTAATTTTCTTTTATTTTTACTTTCAGGTTTTTCAGGTGTGTTTGCGTTGTACCTCATCTTTGGTTATGGTGCTGCGTTAATTGTGAACGCATTGGGTGCAGTTTATCCGGCGTATTGCTCGTAAGAATGATTATTATGGAAATTATACGCGATTTGGGAGGGAACCTTTCGACTTGCAATAATTGAACTTTGAACTACTTTGCTATTTGTGTTCAAATTTTTTTCTATTTTTTTCTTTACCAGTGCCACTGAATGGCAAAATGCTGTGCATACTCTTGCTAGATCTATGTTATAACCAAGTTTAGAGCTTCAGTTTCATTTTGTAAAATGATTTATACTGAACAGGTCTTCCTATCTGTTCATTGCAAACTAACCGGATTTTGCCCAACGTTTTGTTAGTAAAACATATTTATGTTCTCTTTCATGAAAATATAATAATTTTTTTCTTTCGGTTGAGTCTATTAGCTCTGTTACCCACGCCTTGAATTAGGGGTACACTTTGGTTGTTGTTCAACCTTGATTAACAGATCCCCACGTCTTTATCCAACTTGCTACACTTGTTTGGATGCCATTGGAATTTGTCACATTATTTTGAACAAACTAAATTGCCTTTACAAACTTGAGACAGCTTTAAATGAAATTGTTACTAGGCTTTGTGGTACTTTTTTCTCTTGTTAGTATCAAAGCAGTTGAGAGTGTTACAAAGGATGATGATACACAATGGCTTATATATTGGATTGTTTATGCAGTATTCACAATTATTGAGCATTTCACAGATTTCTTCTTCTCTTGGTTTCCTTTTTACTTCTTGGCCAAGGTAATTCTAATGGCATGTCAATGTTGCAATTGTCTTGGTATTAATGTTCTTTATACATTCACAACTTTTAGCTCCTTTTTCTTGGGTGGTGTATGGCTCCATTTGCTGGAAATGGCAGTGCTTTTATCTATAACAAGTTTATCAAACCCTTTGTTTTGAAATATCAAAGTGAAATTGATGAGGTCTTGGAAGATACAAAAGTGTAGTTAGCTCAGCTGCAGAAAAAGCAATGAATACTGGTATGTTTTGCTAACATGTTATCCTCTTGAGTCATTAGTAAAATAAAATATTGCACAACAGGATCACAATTAGATTACAGCTTGATATTAGGTGTTCTTTAAATATTTCTTAATTTCCTAGGGGCTTAAGTTTATATAAAGATTTTCACTTGGATTGCTTCTTAACATTGCTTACTTGATCATTTCAATACCTTGGGAAAAGGAACATGCTTAAAAACTTGTTATTTCATCAAAATGGCTTGTTCTTTTTTCAGCCAAGAATGAAACAATCAAGCAGTACATGAAACATGCTGATGAAGTTGACCACGAAAAGCCAGAAGGTGAAGAGGATAAAAAAGATAATTAAACTTAAACAAACACTTACTGATACAGGGAAGGAAAGCACACCGATTTTGAGTAGCATTTTGGCATAACTGACTTTGATGGTCTTTGGTACGATTGTTTAGCTCTTCTAGTGGACAATATGACAACTGATGTATTCTTGTAGTTGACATTTTTATTATATCTATAAGTGATTAATTAACCATGCATGCAAAATATCTTTCCAACCAATTCTTTAAGAACTCATAATTTAGCCATGTGGCATTCAGACTGTTGTTTTTGAGGGAATGTAATATTTTTTCAAACTAAGTACATGCTGGACCTTGACAGTTTGTGAATTTTACAACAACTTCTACAAAAAAGCTAAACAACTCTACATATTATAATCTAACTTACATGCAATTTAGTTTATTCCAGATAATCAAAGTGGATAAGTCACATAGGTAGGTGACATTTTAAGATTTGAGAAAAGATGTAGAGAAGTCACGGTTAGGCATACAAATAGGAGCAACAAGAGTCCATAAATACAACATCACACAAACCCATCCTGTGATAATTTTGACCCAAAATGCAGCCCATGTCCCTTGCACGTTTTCAATTGTGGATTTTTCTGGCCTAAATATGAAATAATCCATGGAAAATCAGATTTAATTTTGCAAAAGCAACCAATTTTATTATTGCAAAAACAGCTGCAGAGACTAATATGTAAGTGTGAGTTATTGAGGATTAATGAAATGAAAAGAAAAGTCTACACAATCTACACCATGAACTATGATAACATATGTTAATGCACACGATGAATGAACCACAGAGGACAAGAACAGTCTTCAATTTCTAAAATATAAACTAAGATAGCATGTGTCAGCATAGATGGTGATGAATGAATGAAAAACAGAGAACAAAAACAGTCTTTACACTACCTAATATATTAATCTATGAAAAGTCAGTGAAGTAATTATAAAGAAGCATCTCTTAATTATAAAGAGATTAAACAACAAGATCATACTTAGAAGCAAATTCATACTTTAACAAGATAAAACAAAGCTGTTAATACTTACTCCACCCAGTTTGTCATGACCATCATGATGTACAGCGATGCGATAAGAAACACAAAATGAAAGAATGAATAATTGTACACCACTTCATCTTCTTCGTCATTCACAACTTTCCCTTTCTCTTCATCTGTATTGACTATTAATGATAAAATTTTGGTACTTTGCATAACTTGCAAAATTGGTTAGTCCATACAAAATAAACACAGAAGTGCGAATAAGTTAACACGACACACTTTTTGCTACTGTACCATGATTATTAGTTTTAACAAAAACCTGAGATCAACATATTTACTCTGGGATTGGATCTTACCTGGCGCTGTTGTACTGTTTGAAGTGAACTTGTCTGAGCTCCCTGATGTTCTCAAACTATAGGGAATTATTACGACTTTAAAGAAGATATTAAATCTTACTACGCTTAGAAGTTGTACAAAGTGTATGACCTTGGGATGGAAATAAATTGAAGTTCATAAAATCTCATACGTCACCGTAGAGTTAACTCTCGGTGGATATATTTGTTGTATTTTTGCAGAACGGGTTTTCCTACTTAAAGATGTTAGAAGGTCCGAACAAATGATAAAGTCCTAAATTCAAATATCAAAATATCGTTGTTTTTTTCCAACTTTACGTTAAAGTTCACTGTGATGAATGAGTTCTAAACACATGTCAATGAATACATGGAATATAGCAAAAAATAGAACGTGTCAATTTAGTTTTTATGGTGTACATTAATGTAAAACTCGATTCATTTAATATGGGTGCATCAAAACAAAAAATATGTTTGTTGGAGAAAGTACCAAGTGTCGAAAAACAGCGAGAGTAATTGCCTGGACCATTACAACGAGTAAAAACTTGATGCGTGGCAGCAACTTTGGTATTCTTCATCGTACCCACAATGCACATAACTTTGACTGTATAGTGAAGCTATATGCTAACCTTACGATTTTAAGTAAGTGCCCCCTCCCTTTCTTCAGGTGCTGCACACACCAAATGGTGTGATAGGCAAATAAAATGTTTAATTTTTGACTGGACTATTATTTTTAATATTTACATAAAAAATATGTCCCCACGTGACATACCTTGAGTAAATGATCATGACAAATGTGACCACAATTCCCACTACCATTGTTGTAGTTTGCGAGCCACCTAACCGTGATACTTCGATGCCGCATGTTGTGGTCGAGTTGTTATTCTTGTCTATGAATAAAAAGCGTCTTTCAAGTAGCCAAGATAGATGCGAGGGGGGGGGGAAGGGGTATTGTGAACGGAAATTTTGAAATACACTTACCAAGATCGTATGGCTTGTTTGCCAATGACGTTAAAGTAATGTAGACAAGAAAAAGAGATATGATAGATGATTGCAGAAGACCAGATTTTGGTTGAACTAAACAGAATGAAGGTGAAATTCATGCAATGAACACAATATGTGATATATAGCTAAACTATTAGCACTGTTCATTTTTATTGTCTTAAATCTCTTAAAAAATTTCTTTTTCCACTTGATTCGTACGATTAGCAATTCTGATTTCTGTAACATCTCCCACGCTGTGTTAAATGTTTCTAAATGATCACCGTCCTGGTTAGAGCAATTCAGAGAAGAGCAGCCATAGTCCTTCTCAAGTCTAGCACTATCCTGGACGATCTTCATCTACAAACACAGGTTCAAATCATTCACGTTACTAGCCTAAGTTAACATCATTAAGCTCTCAAAGTGCTAGACTAGCTCTTCCATATGATGATCAGTGTTACCGGTCAAAATTGTAGCACACTCTACACTATTATATAACCTGCGCAAAGCTCCTTTATTTGTAGTAGTTTCTACGATATGGTGACACACAGCCCCATAATTTCACTTTAACTCATTTCGTTACAAAAGAAGTGCAGTTGAGTCATAAAGGTTCAGATCAAAAAAATAAACAAAAACAATAACATTTACAGTCTTTGAGGCTTCATTTTACACATAAATAACACTACTAACCTTCTTGTATTTTTGGAAGGACTGAAACAATCAACATGAAGACGCAGAGAATGAGGTTTACACTGATGATGACCTTGTTTAAAGTGCAACTGTCGCTCTAAACAAAACAACAGAAATATTAACTGGTCTAGTTTTATTTACTATACGTAGCAAAACCAACTGGTCTTCATATTCCAATAAACAACTTACAGTTGTGAAAAAAACATAGGACAAGATAAAGCCAGTCAAAGTTAAACCAAGAAACAGAAATATGAAAGTTGCCAAGGCTAAATAAATGTATTAAAAAATATCAGCAAAAATGAATGAAGTTGAGCAATTAAAATCTTGCCGTAACTAGACAACATATAATTAGTCATTAGTCACTTGTTACCTGCCAGCCATCCTTTGTTTCCAGTCTCCTCGGCATTGTCAGTCCTTTTAAATTGAAAAAAAATTCAAAATTGGATAAATAGCAAAACAATATGAAAAAAGGTGAATACAAGATATAAAAAGGCTTCCAACCAAATTTCATTCCACGTGTGAGCAAAATTCACCAATAATATCAACTGAATGAGAATGAAAAGCAATCCTCCAACTAGACCAATATACATCATGGCTACAAAAAAAAGAAGCAGAAACTGATTAGATCAGACCATTAGAAGCAATTATGACAATCATTAGAACATAAAGACTTCTCAATTTTAATAAATCAAAGAAGAAAAATATGATTAATATATGTTTGTAGATGTAGATTGTCCAGGTTAGTATAGACCTGAGAAGGACTGTTTTTGTTGTTGTTGACTGACGTTTCAACAACCTTAGCGGTAGTCATCTTTAGAGTCAAATGAGAAGTAAACGTCAGGTTAGCTGCATTTGTTATCTGGTTCTTACATCATTGTATTGTGTGTAACACGCAAACGTCAGTCAACAAGAACAAAAACAGTCCTTCTCAGAACTATATTAACCTGGACGATCTACTTCTACAAACATGTAACGATACACCCGGGTTCAAACCATTTACTTTATACACACAATACAATGACGTAAGAACCAGATAACAAATACAGCTACTCTGAAGATAGATAACTACCGCTAAGGTTGTTGAAACGTCAGTCAACAACAAAAAAACAGTCCTTCTCAGGACTATACTAACATGGACGATCTACATCTACAAACATGTAACGATACTCCCGGGCTCAAACCATTTACTTTATGATTAATATAGCTAGGCATCAAAATTTTAGGATGCAACACTATTGGTATATTTCCTAGAATATTTAGCTCATTACCTTCTGGAAATTCATTACTTTCCACCCAAAATGACCAACCACAAAGAACAACGAGGACAATAAATTTAATTCCCCAATATCTATGAATATATTACAAAGCTTTCAATGTGAATATCGTACTTGATTAAATGAGATGAAGTTGTTCAAGTTATCAAACAAACAAACAAACAAACAACATTTGTATACCGACCAGTATTAATCCCCACCAGGGGGGTTGACCTGTCCATGAAGTTATTCAAGTTATAAATAAAATAATTGAAACAGCATGCTTAATTATTCAATATCTACTTCATACAAAACATAGATATTTCAAAAAGAATCATTTTCTGCTAGCTACCATAAAAAAACCAAGACAACATTATGATAATGGCATTTTCTACTAAACATAGCAAAAACATAGAATTACAACCAAAAAGCCTTTGGATAAAATGGACACTTGATTTATTTAGTGGCTATTTTCATACCCATTTTGAATTCCTGCTCTGGCTCCCTTCTGTGATTTTACACCCAATGTAATGATCATGAGGAGGAAATGAAACAATACAAAACCAAGAAAAATGCGATAAACTGAACGGTAACTCATGATCTCGCCACACTTTCCATGTCTATTGCATCCATCATAGAATGGTAACTAGTAAGAAATTACTTTGTCAAAAATTAGAAACCATAATTCAATGAAAAAACAGAGTGAACTCTCCAGTTACAATTATAAGAGTACAGGAAGGGGACAGTGGGGGCAGCTTCCCTTTAAGAAAGTTTGAAGATTGAAAAGTTTGGCAAATTTTAGACATTAGTCAGGTGAAAATATGTCGGAACCTTGTTGTTGGGAAAAGAGTTGGGAAAATATTTACTGCCCCCCCCCCGGAAATGACAGCTCCTGTACGCTTATGGTTACAATGGCATGCAGGAAAACCTTGTCTTTTAAGCTGTCTGCTACATCATCCGAGAGAAAAATTGAAGAAACAATCACACCCAAGAGTAGGAAGAATGTATACATAATCCGGGTTGTCACTGAACTACGAACTGATGGACAGCATACACAACAGCAGCTGACTGCTGTCGAGCCACAGCAACATGCAAGCTAAAACAAAAAAGATCCAATATGTATGAAAATTAAATGACGTCAGATTATATAAGTGTAGCACGATTTTACGTATAAAATGTGTTTGATGAAACAGACTGAAAAACTTATAAAGAAAATAACATTATTGGAATGGAGTTGACAAAAATTTAACTTACTGATCCAACAACACAGCCCATTTAAGTTTTCTTAAAAAAGATCTAAAAGGAAAAAGTATATATTCATGACGGATGACCGTACGTCATCAGTACAAAAGAAGAAAAACAACACTGTTTCATGACTATATTTTTAGTGTCAACCAACGACATTCAGAAAACATTTTGAATGAAAATCATACAACAAATTTTAAAGCAAGTACATCAAACCTTTAAAAGTTAAACTTAACACTGTAAAATATATACGGCAAACACGGCTTTCCGTCTGTTCGAAACTGGAAATAATGAGAAATGCGAAGATGTAAACAGTTTATGGATGTTGGGATACATCAAGGAGCAATGTGTACATAATCTGTTTACGTCAAAGTATATTCCACATTATCAAGCTATGTCCTTATATATGCGTGTGTAATGGCGGATTAAAATGTAAATTTGGAAATAAATATTCGAAGTCTTTGACTTTTGTTTGTTGAAACGATGGTAAATGCACGTTTTCGTGGAGTTGAATTAGAGGAATCGGAAAAGTCTGATGAAGCGAAACGACAAAATCCAACGTCTGAAGCTGAACAAGAGTTGCTTCATTCTATGCGCGAGGCCTATCTTGCGGAAAATGTAAACATTGGTGAGAGAGAACCCGAGCAGATTTTTTGTCCTTTACGAGCTGAGCGTTCTTGATTTTTCCCTCAACGTCACGTCACGAATTGTTTTTGTTTTTAGAAAACTGGCAGCGTCTTGCTGGCTTTGGTATTGGTGTTACAAGGTACACTACGAATTACCACGGCTTATAGTTTGCGCCATTTACTTTCCAGTTCATTTATTAAAATTAGATTATTGTTTACTCTTATTGTTTAGTTTATTGATAGAGGACTTTCTTACCCATCCATTTGTTGTTGTACGCAGGCAATGCATGGTAAATATTTTGATAAACTGCACTAAACAAAGCTGATACAACCTGAAGTTTGAAAAATTTCATTGATTTCTGTTGTGCAGGTAAATAGTTCAGCTGTTTTCTACCATCTGGCTCCTTTTTCTGTCTGTCGCATCATGGTGCAAATAAGACGTAAACAGGTATACTGCTCTAAGGATTATAAAAAGAAATGATGCAAAAACAAATTTGAGCAAAAAGATGAAATACCATAAGACATGTTTATATCTTTAGGGATTAAGTACATTTTGGAAAGGGCAGGGAAGCAAGTTGGCAGTGAGGGGAATAAATGTCATTGCTGAATTCTTAATCAGTGAAGCAACAAGTGAACAGTTACCTCAGTATGACTTCTACAGCTTTTGCTTATGACATATGTTTAGTATGCTCAGTTAAGTAAGAGGAAAAATAATATTAAATCAAGTTATTTGCTTTAGAGAGGTTACACATAGTGAATCTGCAACACTGTCTAAACTGTTTGGACATGTCCTTGGGAAGAGGTTTGTAGTGGGAATTTATTGGATTATTTAACCATGATATCTTACTAATCCTTGACTTTCTCTTTGAATTATAGCATGAGTATTGTGTTAACTTTACCATTTTATACAGCAAGTATTGCAGAAACAGTTGAAGTAAGTGACAAATAGGAAATGCCTCAATAATTTTGTCAAACACAATCTTAATCTTGAAACCAATTAAGTCCAGTAATGTTAAAATATAATTCCTATGATTTTCAATTTAATTTTAAAGACAGAACAGATACAGATGAATCGTAGTCCATTCACCTTTGTCAAGGAAGGTATAATCCGTGTGATTAGCTGGGAAAATTCCTCAAAAGGTCATGGCCGTCTTTTACCTCTTTGGTCACTGGTCTCACCTACATTGCTACATGGTATATTGCAATACATCATTACTAGTTGTTTACAGCAGGTCATCCTAATGCAACAAAGAAAGAACACAAGCAGTGAAAACTCTCCAGAACAATCAATGATTGGATCTTATTTCCCTGAGCTTATGGCAAGTTTAACGAGCACAGTTCTCACAGAAGTTCTACTATATCCCATAGAAACTGTCATATATCGCCTTCACCTGCAGGGCACACGCACAATGATTGATGACACTGATAATGGTTATGCTGTTGTGTCACTTTGTACTAATTACGAGGGGTTCTTTGATTGTTTTTCATGCATCCATGAAGAGGAGGGTATTACAGGTTTTTATAAGGGATTTGGTGCTCTTATGCTACAATACATTGTACAATTACTTGTTTTGCGCTTTACAAGAAAAGTGTACAAAACAATATCTCAGGACTTTGGGGATGTTCAATGATGTCATGATAGCCTCTAACGAGGTTAGAGTATTTATGTTATATATATTGAAATGTAATAAAATATGCTCACCTTCAACTAGAAGTGTCATATATATAGTTAGATGTATGATCCAAAACCACTTTCGACTCAAAACATCTGCAAGTGGATAAACCTTTAACATGTGATTGACCATTGAAATCAATGAAATTATATGCCAATGTAAAGATGGATGCATCATTTGATTGTAACATGTATTTGTTGAAATTGAAGGATGCTTCAATCAATCATAACATATATTTGTTGAACTACATGAATATGATTTTCATTTCATAAAGATAATAGGTACAGTTCAATATGTATTTCTACATATATATGCCAGCATCTGCAAAGTACATTTTTTGTTAGCAAATAGGAAAATCGAATGACACAATCATTGAAATTCAAATAAATAAGTCTACAAAATGTAAATGATTCAATAGGACAGTTGCTCTAAATATATCTTTAAATTTACAAACGAGCAATTGCAAAAGTGTATATATGTAGGTAGTGCATAGTTCAGACATGTTGATGAATCACAGTCTTTTTTGCATAAATTATGAAATACACTGCCTGATTGCAATCACAAATCATCATTATTGATATTGGACACATCATCCAGCTTAACTTTGGGAGTCTTTCGAACTTTTGCTGTTCTTTTACTTGGTCTGTCTGCAGTTTCTTTTCTTGACTCTTCAGGTGGACTCTTCATTAAATGAAAAATTCCAGCAGGTCATAAGGGGTAATGATTTTGGATACTCAGTACAAAACCCACCTAGCTTTAAGTGATGTTTAAAATTCTAGCATAATTTGAAGTAATAAACTTGTACTTAAAAATGTTTTCAATTACCCATCATTTAAGGTAAAGGAGAAATTAGAAATATGACAATCATCACTCTAAGCTCACTTTACATGTACTACTTACGTCTACAGACTCTTTAGTTGATGGAAATGTTTCAGTGTTGTCTGTATGATCATTTGCTATGCTCGAAGGCTCCAACTAATGCAAAACAGAATATAATCAGATAAAAATCGACTGAACTCCATTTGCTGAACAAATACCTCTTTATTCCATTTGCGTTCTTCCAATACCCGTTTTGCGCATTCATGCATGTATTTGAACTAAAAAAAGACATTTGTCAGCCTTCTCATTTAAATATCTTCCCCATAATACTTAATAAGACTTTGAGGTATACCTACTGCTAGAGAGACAAGAACAAATTTCACCAATTATTATGGAAAAGTTCCGCAGGTGACAAAATAAGTAAAAATTCTATTCCAAATCAAATAAGTTGCTTAAATACGTAAGAGATGCTTCATACTTACATATGGTGAATAAATTCGAACAACTCTTGGTTTTTTGTTGGGCCGCGAATACTCAAAATAAAATGCCCTTCCTTCTTCATCCTTGCCCCAACTTAAGAAATCCTCGTAAGCAAAGGTATGTGTAAGATCCTGCAAAGATTGAGAGTTCTTTTCAGATAAAAACTTCTCAACATATGACCATTGACCAGGAAGCAATAGTAATAAGGTCTATATGTATAAAACCGTAATCAATCACAACAATGCAAACGCTTTTGTCAAAATCTCTTTTCCTGTGACTTTAATTTATTTGTGATTATAGGTTCGGTTCATTTTCTAGTTATCTTGGTACTGCTTGCATTATGTTTTAATATGCATAATGCCAATTAAGGGTGGAATTGCTAAGGCTGTTAACTTTTGTCTTTATTGTAGGAAGTATATAAAAGTGATAACACCAAACTTGTAACTCAAAAAACAAAACCTAACAAATTCCACTCTCAACCGGAAATCCAAACATATCCACGACATTTTCAAAAGTACATATAAATTCGATTCATAAAATTGAACGAAGCATACGTACCTCTATTTCGCCATCCACCGAACAGGCTTGTAAGAAGACATTCTCAATGTCAAAGGACACAATAACATGGCCGTTCTTACGAGCATCGCATTCACAATGCGGGAAACGTACACTGCAGTAATCTTTTAATGACCGTGCCAGTTTGAGATACTGCAAGAAAAGGTACAAAGTTCTTTTTCAAGAGGTCTTATACATATTGTTTTTGGTAAGTCATATGTATGCTGGGCATTCGTTTTGCAATCTAAGTTCGACTAATGGTTGGAGTTCAATATCTGGCATGGATCCCTCACCCTAGAAACGTGTCACTGTCGTCTCCTAGACTTGTACTTATCAAAGCCACAAACCTTAGATTGTTGACCGGAGCGCCTGTATTCTTCAAGTTCTTCTCGCTTAGAATCTGGAATGAGTTTCAATGTTCGTACATCTTCCACAGCTTGGTTGTACAAAAGATTGAACGCAACTTTATCGTTGTCCATTTCAATTTCCTACAATGAGAAAATCACATTCAACCATACGCCAGTCGACAAATATTTCATATTAAGGAGTTAACCTACCCTGCGCAGGGAAAATACCCATTTACGAAGAGCCAAACAGCTTGGCAGCTTACTCGAATAGTTCTTGATGTAGAGAGCATGTGGAAACTCGTTTTTTTTCAGTTTTCGTTCTAGAAAAGGGCAAGTTAGATTTACAATTAAATGAATGCAATAGTATCCTCTGTCAACTTGAGATCTGACGAAAACTAACCAAACTTTTGTCCAACAACTTCAAATAGTGCAAAGTACTTAAAGTGAGTCTTTTCCAAACCAATCTTCTGTAAAAACGCCTAGAAAACAAGCAAAGTAAATAGGAGAAAAATACGAAACAGCTATCAGTTTTTAGTTATATCAACGAACCCTGCAAACTTCTGGCGTTTTGAGGCTTTTCTCCACTTTCACACGTCTTTCAGTTTGATCAGGAAGAAGAATCTTAAGTTCTATCTCCGTGTTGTTTGATATTACTTCCTACACAATGAAATGACAATAACATCATGTCCAACATGAAAGTCACAAATAAAATCACATTCAAGCAATGCATGTACCTGAGACGATTTCAAAAACTCCACCATAGGTTCAAAATCATGTATAATCCTTACAGATGCAACTTTAGGAAACAAAATGTCAAAGTCAAACTTAAATGCTCATCAATATACAATCTATGAGATCATTTACCTTGCTCTAAATACAATTCCAAGGTTTTTCTTCGATTTTCAAGTTGCTGTTCTGATAGTTGAAAAGGCCATTTTCCGGGAAATTTGGGAAATTCATAGTCTTGAAATTGTTTCTTTAACTAATACAAAGATATATTATTGTTGATGATAAAAAAAATTTGCAACCCTGATTGCGTCTGTTGGTATTTCATAACTATGTATTCAATGTTAACATTTAAATAAACATTTTGATCACAGACTCAAAGATGCATGTTGCTAACTTTCAAGTTATCTGATTGACTTACCTCATTGTGTAAATTGGCAAATTCTTTGTAACGCCTTGAGCAAATGTGTCTGTCATTAGCATAGATATTGTACACCTGGTGATAAAAATACACCATTAGAAGAAAAATTTTTCAAAATGTCATGGCAAAACACAGATAGCAATCAAATTAAACACACAAACAAGTGATCAAGCTTACTACATATTTCTCATGTCCAGATTCAATCTGCCGTATTTCAGGTATAGTGATATAAATTTGTTTCTTATCAGAATAATCATGGTACTCCGGTGCCACAATGTCCTCTGAAGGATCTAACTTTCTCACTTCACTGGGGGGTAAAGATAGAACAACCAGTGAAAGGTTGGTTCCTCCTGATTTGATCAGTTCCACAACATGCTTGTGAGTGGCTCCCTCAACATTTTCATCATTGCTTGAAAAAAAGAAATTAATGTTTGACACAATGTTACTAGGGTCAGAAATTTGAATTTTTTATCAAGTATCCACATGGATAGCAGGGTTTTAGAATTTGGCATCCCTCTAGAAAATATAGCATCTCAAATATGGATGCACAACTAGTTGGCTTTTCTTATCCCTGGATCAAGTACAACATAACCTGTAGCTTACTCTCATCAGTTTATAATTAATGTAGAAGTTCTTTTCAGAATTTTACAAGGAATTTCTACTCTGCAATTTATTGCCAACTCTGTAATTTAGTGAAGTGTTGGATATCTATATATCACACTCCACAAATGTCAAAACCCTAATGCTACATATTTAGGCATGTTAAATATCATAGAATCATGCGTTCTAAATATTGTAATGACATTGACACAATGCTAGTTGAGGAGAGAAAATGCAATTATTTCATTTTGACACAACAGTAACTTTCATGATGCTATTTTCACACCAATTGGCAAGCAACAAGTCGAAAAGTACGTAGCTTCAACTTGAAAGTTCGTAAGCAATGGGAAAGAAAGTAACTACGAGTTTGTAAAATCAAAATGATATAAGACAAATCGAAAAATATATTCACAATAATTGCAACTATTTTTTTCTAAATTCCACGGTTTCCTATTAAAGTCCTATGATCACTTACACTTGTAAAATACGATCGCCGATGATTAATCCGCCCACATCGGCCGGTCCATCAGGTAAAACTGCACTTATATGTTGTAAGGGAGCATAAAGCTCACCATTGATGGGCCGTAGCTGTCCTCCCTCAGAAACCTGACCACGTACATTAAAACCAAAGCCACGTTCACTTTTCCGCAAATGTACCAAACGTGGCTTATAGTATTCTGGCTGTTCTTGCTTGCCATTTGCCTTACTTTCAACATCCGCATCATCCGCCATTGCAATCGAATCAAAATTACGATCAAAATTTGTACAAATTACGAAGCTCCTCCTTCGCAACCAATTTTCACGTTTCTCTTGTACCATTTTGCTCCTAAGTGTACTCGTACGTGTACCTTTCACCAACTAGGACGTTTAATGTACTTACACATCCCTTGTATTCACATTGCTGAGTTGTCCTTTGTCTAGAGTATAAACATGGGTGAGTAAAGTTTTATTATTTTGAAAATATGTGTGTGAACAGATTTTCCGGAATAGATACGGTACCAAATAAGCTATGTTTCATAGTCATTTATCTACTTATACATTGTGACAAAATGCAATAGGTTCAATTCCAATATACGTATCTGTCCGTTTTAATACAGTTGGTGAATAGTGAAATTAAATATGATATGAAAAATTATCAAGGTGAAGTCTGTTTGTGAAAATAATAAATGATTGTAAAAATTATTTTATCCTGACCTGCAAAATAATATGCACCTCTACATCAGTTCAACATGATACGTCAAGATTGATTGAGCACCACATTTATTGTGTCATGGCTGCTTGACTTGACATATGCTTGTCTTCAAAATCCGCTGATCATTTTCCATTTTGCTATTTTTCATCAGCTCTGCCAACATCAACATCGTGTGTATTCTCTGCAACATTAGCTACTCTAACTTTTGCTGCAATGATGGCCTTCAAAACACAGCTTGCCTCAAAAGAATGGATGACCATTCTTGGTGGTTTTCTGGGGTCACAATTCTTTATATTTCTTTTGACAGTATCCTTTTAAATCTTTTTTCATCCCAAGGTCATTTTGTATTATTGTTGTAAATAGTTGTAGAACAATGTTTAGCTATGAGCTGCATTTCCTAGTTTTAGCATTTTTCAACTTATAACTTAACTAAATCACAAGACTGTTGGGAATTTTGAACACATGACATTTGGAAAGAACTTCCAGACTAAATTGGTGCCTGAAAGTGAGTATCATTATTTCGAAAATTGGTGTTTTATCAACTTTCATCTGAGCATACTCTTCTTCTACATTTCTAGTTGCGTTTTGTTTGATGGCATCAGTAATGGTATCTGGTTTAGTGCACAGAGTGTGTGTGACAACATGGTTAGTCATATTCACAACACTTTGATCCTATTTTCTGGATTTATGTTTGAATTTCATTTTTTTTTCTTCCCTAGCTTTATTTTCTCAAGTATTGCTTTGTATTACATGTCAAGACTTTCAAATGTGAAATATGGTCCAGACATAAAGCCTATTCAAACACCTGCAAAAGGAAAAAGCGTCAGTAACTTATTGTCGTTAAAATAAACAATGAAACTTTGTGGTTTTTATAAACATGCAGCAGGAATTAAAGTTCTCTCTTTAACTTGATGAGAAAACAATGTTTTTGAATTATAAATGGAGATATTAAATAAAACTGACACCCATCGAGCAAGGATGATATTAAGCTTTGTGTAGTAATTTTTCTTGCTTAGCATCTTCATGTATGACGTTTTCAGTGTCTTGTAGTTTTAATAACGCATCGACTACATGGTGTGGAAAAGTGCACCAACGATTAATTACGATATAGTGTAACACTAACGAATACCAATTTTTTTCAACTTATACCTAACAATTTGTTCAACTGTTTTCTTTCCACAAGATTCTCCTGAAGTTGCTCCATCACTTGAAAATACCTAAAAATACGAGAAGATGTTTTGTTTTTATTGTTTTAAAAACTGTTCAAGATGTTTTTTAGCATGCCTACTTGAATAATACGTTCCTAGGCCACATCGTTTCCACTGGATATTTTTGAAAGTTGTGCAAGTTAGCCTCAACGATCTTTTGCCAATCTGAAATCGGGCAAATCCGTCAATTGGAGTCATTTGCTAAAATCTTGATCTTTATAAATCCAACGTTATGGGCAATCAGTGACGCTGAATTTGCTATAATTTACTTTATTAAATGATTTATTAAGTGACTGCACCTGAAAAGTCTGCTTCGGCATCGTTTGCTTTTTCATGGTCTGATTCCATTCTTTTCACCTCTTTAGGTTCATTCAATTTGTTTTTGGTGTCTTTTTGTGGTATGCTATCAGCTATCGTATCCATATTCTCCTCTCCTTCGTAGCTCTTAAATATCTCTGGTACATTCATTTCGACCTGAGACTTCCACTCGGGGGCATTCTTGTCTGAAGTAGACTCCAAATCCTGACTTGTGTCTTCTCTGTCTCGAGCAAAATAAGCGTGAAAAGAAGAAGAGCATTTGGCTGTTCCCGGTTGATTTCGTTCTTTTGACCTAAACGTAACATAAAAACAATTAAAACTCCTTGGAAAAAATAGATAATGAAGTTAAATCAAACTACGTAGATAAATGTAAAATTTAAAATCAAAGAAGATTTTCACAGTATAGTTTGATACTCTAAAGATGTTAGTCGACTAAGGTACCACGTTTCATCAATTATCTTGTCCAATCGACATGGTGCACTTATTTTTTGAGTGAAATGCTTTTACTCCTTTCGATATTGAGTCGTACATAGCATTTGTGTGATTCCCATATTCAGCTAGACAGTATTTAGCACCTTAATTTGGCTATTTTTGCTTGCAATTGTGTGGCAAACTTAGGCTGTAAGTGCTTCGGTTCCTCCTCTTTCCTTTGGGGTTCTTCTTTCAGTGGTTTCAGGGGGGCGCCGTTTGTCTTCTTGCGAAAAAACTTGTTCATTACAGAGCCGGAGCGGTTTTCTTTGCTGTCCATCATCTGCTGTGTTTCTGCAACTGATTCGCTTACACGTCTGGAGCAAAGTGAACAAGAAATGATTTAAGTAAACCGGGCTTTACACGCCAAGCAATGAATACTCAATTACACACTACGACCTTAATGTGATTTCCCAAAAAGTTCTTCCTACCAACCTGCTATGTTTATGTCTCTTGTCAAGTTTATCGAGTTCTTCTGCCAAATTATTCCTATATTCGGTACGTTCTCTCTCAGCCATTTGCTCCATTATTTGTTGATTGAACTCATTGCGGATGTTTTGAAAGTTGTTAACTGAGCAGAGATCATTGAACATGTTAAAAATACTTTAATTTGCCTATAGTTGAGTTTATTGGAGCTTTGAAACAAACCAATTGCCTACCCATAATGCCTGCAAAGATATTTCGAAACACGAAAGCCCCCACACAAATCCACAGCAAGACGTAGATCTTTGCGACATTTGGATTAACCGCCTTCACCATGTCATTTAAGATCTCATACCAATGATCCAATGTGAATAATTGAAATAAAGTAATGAACGCGTCCTTTAAAGTGCTAAAAGTGAAAGAAATGTTGATTAACTTCTTGTTACTTTTGTCATCCAAGCATTACCTTTTTCTCTTTATTATGACATTTCCTTTTTAACGACATACTTGTCTTTTTTAAAGCACGAAAACGTTTTTTTTTTCTTTTAGGAGATTCTTGCCAAAAAAATTATCATCTTACTTCACAACTGACCTTTTTCCATGTCCAACTTTCATACAGACTTCACACATAACAATATGCTCCGTTATCATTTTACGAACCATCGTTTTCTTATGCCCGTTCTTTTGAAACGGTTTCTACCTTACCTGAAGCTTGTCCTATATTTGAGATCGTTTCGCGAGGATTTCGCATAGGAATCAAAGAGAATTGTTCCGGCCACAGCAAAGACATACATGAAAAGCAAGAGCAAGATCAGAATAAAGGCCATTGACTGGAAAGGAAATGAACATTTTAAAGCCTTAGATGGAGAGCATGATCTCATTGGTTGATTGAAATTTTCATTGAAATATTCGAGTTCATGAGGAATTTGACAAAAACTTAGTTGCTGTTGCAAAACTTTTATATGTTCAGTGAAAACATTATGTACTACCTTAAATGCCTTGAAGATGGTTAGTACGATAATGCGCAGTTGAGCAAATCTAGAAACCTGTCAGAGAGATCTTTTATAGAAACTTTTCGTAACAATATTTTTATGACAGATAATTTTGTCATTTGTGTGTAATTAAACATGAAGCAACAGATGCACAACAGAACACACTTGCCATTTTCAATGATCTCAAAATCCTAAAAACGCGCATATTATCACCAATAACTGAGATCGAAGACGACGAATTTCCGCCCACTACCAAACTGATAACTTCGGGAACAACAGCCTATGTAAGGTTCGCAAACAAAGGTCCTTATTCATCTCATTCATTCATAATATGAAGTGCAGAATATATCCATGTATTAGTTACCATGGCAGTCACGAAGAAGTCAAAAACGTTCCAACCATTTTTCCAAAAGATAAAAAAGCCATCTAGCCATTTCACCAAGATTTCCATGACAAATACAACAAGTGTGATATAGTCAAAAATTTCGAGCAGAACCTTTATCCAATTGATTACAGAACCCGTCATGTCAGAAATTTCTACAGCAGAAATGATAAGTTTATCTCATTGGCAAGCAAACATTTTACCCTGCGCTCCATAATCATGTGAGCTGAAATGCATGATTCTTATTAAGTATACCTGCTTGTATTCCCAAAGCTAGACTGTTTGTTATGATTAAGAACATGATAAAGTTCTGTACTCCGGCACCTATCAACAACCAAAACAAATAGTTTTTATAAAAAAAACTAAGTATAACATTAAGGTGAAACCTATGCCTTACTATTGCAGGTATATTTGCAGCAATAGCACTATAACCTTTATGCATGTACTAACCATATATGATATGAAAACAGTTATGTTTATTGGATATTAAATGTTTATATAATCGTAAAATTTCTGTATTAAAAGCCGGTGAAGTTCATACTTTCCGTAACCGTTCGAGCCCAAGGACCAAAAGGAATTTTATTTTTGTTTCTCACGCGATTCAAACGTCGATCATTAAACTTCAAATCATTTCTTTTTGAATAGACTTGAAACTTTACCAGACTGAATGGAGATTCCTTTAATAATTTATCCATAATATCTGGATCTACATCACACAAAATTTGCAGATGTTTTTGTTCAAATTCACAAAACCAAACATGGTACATGGAGAAAATACTTTTCTAGTAAGACTTGGAATTTCACTTGAAGTAATGATTTATTTGCTATTAAAACAAAACCCATAAAAAACCTTGTATTTCATTCGAGTAAAATCGCGGTGTTTCAATGCTTCCCTTTGATGTCAACGTGTCCAAAAGTTGAAAGCCCTCGATCAATTTTGAGCGAAATATTTCACCCCTTTTCGATAATTCTTCTGTTTTAGTTCTTTCCATGTCTTTGTTTACTTTCCTCACAGAAAAATGCTTTTTTTGCATTTACTGTGTTCTCAAAAGAATAATTTTTTGTGTAAACCACTGAAGTAGCTAGTGTAAACCATTGGTGTAAACCAACGTTTGCTATATGACGCTCACCGGGGTTTTTTCGGAATGGTCCGTGAGCAATCGTGAACATGTATAATTCAACTTATTCAAGAAGTATATTGCTGTAAATTTATTTATGTACAGTGATTTTTAAGCGATTTATTTGAGCTAAAGGTATTTTACAAATTTAATTCTTACAATTTTTCAATGCTTTCTTTAACTAATCGTTGATAAGTTTAAAATAAATGTCCATAAGTTATACGCATTATTCTAAATATAGTTTTACATCGAGTGAATTTTATTTTTTCCCTTTACGTTTGGTGCTTTTACTGGCATGATTTTTTGTATTTCTTGCTTTTGAGGAACGATCTACCACATTATTATTTTTTGGGATAGGTTTGGCTTTTGCTTTCGTTGTTCTTCTTTCTTCCGCTTCTTTTGTCCTTACGTTTTCGTTCTTTTTCGATGTGTTTCTGCTGATTTTGCTTTACCTTTCATTTTTGTTTTTCCTTTTATTGTTCCGCTATCTTCTTTGGCTTTTGTGTTTTCTTTTGCTTGCGTATCTTGTACCACTTTTTTTATTCGTATTGCTGCTGCTTTTACTTTTCTCGTTTTCCTTATTATCATCATTAGATGATTTCTCTTCATTCTTGCTAACTTTTCATTCTTCTTTTCTTCGTTGCCATTCGCAACACTCTTAGCATTTTTTGTAACTTTAAAAGATGAGAAATGAAAAAGTCAAACATGACTAGAAACTATATATGTACAGTATTTACATGTTTGTAAATGTAGATCGTCCAGGTTGGTATAGTCCTGAGAAGGACTGTTTTTGTTATTGTTGACTGACGTTTCGACAACCTTAGCGGTAGTCATCTTCAGAGTCAAAAGTACAGTATTGTACAGTATTGTTATTATTTTCTTATCCAAAATATGCATAACGACAATCAAAATAGCTTTATGTAATGCTAAAGGCTATACATAATGCTAAAGGTATAATTTACACAATGCAAATTGTTTCCCATACCTTTAACATTGGTCTTAACCCTTGTTTTGGCGGTCTTTTCGTCTATCTTGGCAGAAACTTTTGGTTTAGTTTTCTTTTGCTTGGACGCTGTTTTTTGACCTTTGCGCATAGCTTCACGGACGTGCTTCGACAAAGTAAATCTGCCTGTAGCTCCTACACCGGTTTTACGTTCTATTCGATTGTGTTCCACGAGTTTGACTAGAGCTTGACGGATATATCGTTCCGGATTGTTGCCGACGTTATGATTAGATAGTATGTACTTGACTATAGCCTGTCTCGAAGAGCCAGATCGCACTTCATTTAACTGAAACAAGGCAATCTCGATCAACTCGCTGTATTGCTTTCGAGTCTTTGTAAATTTTTCCAATGAGGTTCTTCGCTTAGGAAAAAGGACTTTCTTTTGCTCGTCCACGAGTTTTTGCACATCAAATACTGGCAAGTCACTTTCAGATTCATGGTCTGATGTTGAATTGTTTTCCGAATGATCGGGTGAGAATGCCATGGTTAATGAAAATAGAATGAAAGTAGCGATTATACAATACGTCTACTATGGCTGTAGTTGGGGAAGAGAGTGTGAGTCTTTCTTTTATAAAGCTCCTCAACAAGTTATTTGAACGAATTTATGCAAATGCAACAAAAATTAATTGCTTTCAAATAAAATAAGTGCTTTTGTCGTTCCGAAACCCAGAGTGCCCATAGGGACTTTGAGTCATTGAGGTGCACTCCAGACTAGTGGTGCCAGTGGTCCAGACTTAATTTCTTGACCACAACGGTATTGTCTATTGTACTTTATGAAGGGGAAGTACGCATGCGCAAAAACACTCAACAGGAAGAAGAATAAAGATAGGGTTTTTGTTATTACTCGAATTGAATTCAACTCGTTATTGGTAAAGCGGCATAAATGGCCTTAGCGTGTTTCAAACCTTTTAGGCTAACAAGATCTCTTGTTGCTTTAAACAGTTTTAGGAGGGTATTTAGTTTTTTATTGTTTTACCTTTGTAAAGTACTTATTGATGTTTTTAAATTGATCATTTGATGACTTAGGACTTGAACACATGGAAATTGGGAAAATTAAATCATGTAGCAATTGCTGTAAACAACTTAGGTAAATGAATTTGGAAAATTTTCCATTGAGAGAGTTGACTTTTTGTCTCATTTGAATCTTAGAGAATGCCATCAAGTTATATAGAGATGTACTTGGAGCAGAAGTTAGTGACAAGCAGGTACTAATTATCTTGTGTGAAAATGTAACTCTGAATTCAGCCAAAAATATTTTTTTGTTTCTCTTATAGTCATTGCCAGAGCATGGGGTTCAAGTCATTTTTATAAATCTGGGAAACACGAAAATCGAAGTAAGCTGTTATTTAGTCTAAATAAGCCGCAGGCTTATTATCGCTATTACCAGCATGATGTATCAACTTGTGTCTTTTCCTAAATTACAGCTCCTACATCCTCTTGGAGATCACAGCCCCATAGCAGGATTTCTTGAAAACAAGCCTGATGGAGGAATTCATCATATTTGTATAGAGGTAAAATATTGCCTACATGACCCGAAACTTGTTGCTATACAATTACAAGTTTAACTTTCTTTTTGTGTAGGTTGATGATATTGAGAAATCTATAGCTGATTTGAAGTCCAAGAATATTCGATTGCTTAGCTCAGAGCCAAAGGTTCCTGGCAGATTTGTTAAGAAAATATATATTTATTCACTGCTGTCAGCCTTAATTATTCTTAGCTTAATTAGTCTATTTTTCTAGATAGGAGCTCATGGAAAACCAGTGATGTTTTTGCATCCTAAAGATTGTGGTGGAGTTTTGGTTGAGTTGGAGCAAGTCAAATGATGGATATTTTACCTTTCAATAGATTTACTTGGAGAACTTATAAACAAACTCTCTTTTGCTTGGAAGAATATTTTAATTGCCACATGATTAGATAGATGTGAATTGCTAGCAAGCAAATTCTTGCTTTAATCATATCAAAAATGCAATTGTTTAGCGTTTTCTTCTGTGACGTCACGTAACGACCTAACAAAAGTTGCAAAATGTTCTTACTTTAATTAGTGAATGACGTAATGAATTAAAACTGCAATGCGATTTGTTCGTTTTCTATTTACTGGCAACTTTGATTGTGATGAAGTGCTTCATTGGATAGTTCATAATCATTGTCCAATAAGATCACGTAGAAGAAGATGGAGTTTATCATCCCGCGCAAGATGTTTGAGATTAGGTATACAACAGTTACATTTCTTGAATTTTTTATGTCAAAAAATCATTGAGCATTTTAGGAGCTGAACACCTCTTAAAGGTTTTTTAAGACTCAATTTTTTTCACAAAAACATGCAACTCGTTTAAATTCTTTGAGCGGATATTTGAGCCCGCCTCGCCCACAAGGATGTCCGTGTGGTGATCAATTTAAAATATGATTGGTCTATACATATTATGAATGGCAAATAGACATAACTAGTTATCAACTCCGCTCTCGTACCGCGCTGTTAAACATTTTGATGTTAGGCAGAAGGTTTGACGAAAATCGACATCTTGTTTGTATTTAGTACTATTATTGTAAATCTTAGCAATGGAGAGCGAACAGCATCATGCTACTCCGGCGAATAGAAACCACCGAAAAACGCAAATTTTAAATCACCAGCGAAGATATCAAGGATGCAAGAACGCGACGAACTCGGCCATTTGAACAACCGGTTATCGGTCTATATAGAGCGAGTTAAAAATCTCGAGGCAGAAAATGCAAGTTTGTCGGCTGAGATCGAAACGACCAGAGTTCGCAACGAGAATGAAGTCAGCAACATGAAAAATATGTTTGAAAATGAGCTAAACGACGCTCGCAAAATGCTTGATGAAACGTCTATGGAGAAGGCACGTATACAGCTTGAAAGCGGGCGAAACGCAAGTATTGTTGCCGAATATAAGATAAAGTAAGTTAGCACGAATTGAGTGTTTTTTTCTTAACATATGACTTATTTAGACACGATCTTCCAAGTATTTCTTTTCTGTTTTAAAACACGTGCACATTCTAGCATGTTCGAGATGAGCACTTTTAATTTAGTTGTGGCAATTTCTGCATTAATTTTGTTGTATAATGAACTGAATTCCGCATGTGGTTGTAAAACCTCCATCTTTTTATCTGAAACACTTGAAAGTATCGTGAACTCTTGTTTTCAATGTTTGTATTACGTATATCATTATGTTCTATTATTAGCTGTTACTGGCCACGGTTACGAATGTTCAGCAGGGTATTGAATAACATGAACGCATGAATTAGCAACTTCCAGAACTTTCATGTAATAAAGGAAGTATGGTAATTATATGTACTTCGTCAATTATCTTTAATTTTTGACCAATAGGTATGAAAATTCATCCAAAAAGCTAAACAATTGTGAGGAAAACCTTCAACTTGTGGAGATGAAACTCAGTCAAAATGAGAAAGCTTTGGAAAAGACACTTCGAGACAAGAGAAGGATGGAAGGAGACATTCAAGTGTTACAAGATGAAAACCAACAGCTCAAGGAGGCTGTGGAAACATCAAAATGCAGTCTTGAGGAGGAAATTATGTTGCGAGTTGATGTAGAACATCAGTTGCAGTCAACAAAAGAGGAAATGAATTTCAAACAGCAAATGTTTAACAAGGTTGAGTTTTATCATATGATCCAGAAGATTTTCATTATCTAAAATTTTTCATTGCATTATAATGTAGTTGTTATTTGCTTTCATAGGAGTTACAGGAGATGAGAAATCAAGTTCAACATATGGAAAAGCAGAAAGTAAAAATTGAGAGCGACTACAAATGTAAATATGAAGGCATAATGACAGAGAAATTACAAGAGTTGCGTGATATCTATGAAGAAGAAAATGAAAAACTAACCAATGATGTTCAAAATCTATATCTTGCCAAGGTAGTATTACATATTTAAGTGTTTTCTTCATTTTGTATTTGTTTTGAATTTTTGTTGGTTGGAGTGCTAACAGGACTAATGGTTTGTTTTTAGTATGAAGACATGAAGGAACAAGCAAGGGATGATCAAATTAAATTGGCTGAAGAAAGAGATAAAACTAGAGATCTTACAAACAAGGTGGAAGATTTACGAGCTGAATATACAGTTGCTCAAGCAAAGGTGTGTTCCTGTAAATAGTAATTTAAAAATTAGGGAGCTAATTGTATTTACCATTTAGAGTATTTGAAATTTACCAACTAACACAGATATCATGCTATTCAAGAAAATTTCAAGGTTTAAATATTTATTTCAAAAGGTTGATTCATTGCAAAAGCGCCTTAAAGAGCTTGAAGATTTGTTGGATGATCAACAGATGCGTGCCAATAATACTATCAATGCACGTGATAAAGAGATTCAGGATCTAAGAGAAAACATGGCAGAATCATTAGCCCAGTATGAAGATCTTATGGGAATTAAAGTTGCTCTTGATATGGAGCTTGCCGCTTATAGAAAACTTTTAGAAGGAGAAGAAGTTCGGTGGGTGTTAGGATAGGTTTTAAGGTCACTTCTGGTTTTAGTTGTCACGTATCATGTTTATTGCATTTGACTTTGGTAATTTTTTGCAGACTCAACATCACTCCTCCTCCATCGCCTGTCTTTGGTGAAAAGTACAACAAGAAAAGGCCAAACAAGCGACCTAGAAAAGAAGACATGGAAGCAAAAACTACAAGTACTACCACAGCTGCCACTGGAAATATTCAGATAATTGAAGCAGATAGTAATGGAAACTTTATTAGACTGTTTAACAGTGGAACTCAGGTACAATTTTTTTTGTATTAATTAAGGATCAATAGTCAAGGTTAAATAACGAAGAATTTCTTTATTATAGGAAGAAACAATGGGTGGTTGGATTATATCAAGATTTATTGATGCCAAAGACCCAATAATATATAAATTCACACCAAAATTTGTCTTGAAAGGAGGACAGTCTGTTACGGTATTGTTTATGTAAAGAATTGTTTGTAGAATTTGGTTAGTTGCTAATTTTAATTTTTCCCAATTAGATTTGGGCCAGTTATGGTGGAGGTCAACACAGGCCACCCACGGACCTAGTTTTTAGACAGCAATTGTCTTGGGGAACTGGAGATCGTATTAAAACAACTGTTACAGACAACTTAGGAAAGGTTTGTAATGCCCTTATTTGCTAATTACTAGTAATTAGTACAAAGTGTTGTGTCACATCAAAATGATTTTGCTTTCCAAAATTATTTGTTGAACGAGACTAAGAAAAAAATTTCGAATGAAATATAATAGCAGTAGTTACTTGTGATAGTGCTGTTAACTTTTTAAAATGCTTATTGGAAACAGCCAACTTAACTCCACTTCAGGTAACCCATTCACATATGAAGAAAAATGTTTGCTCTTACTAATTTCTTAACATTAATTTAGGAGGTAGCCAGTTTATTGGAAGAAGCTGTTGTTACAACATTTGATTGTCCAGATTCCGGTGCCAACAATCCTGTCATTACAGGAAGACGAGCCAAATTGGTAAGATAGTTTTGGTAATTTTGTTTGGAGAATTACATAATATAATTTGTCTGAATTGGATTTCCCTTCTGATTTTTATCAATAAATGAGTCAAAATGGGCTTAGATTACTCTTTAAACTAATTTAAGGTTGATAGTCAACTTCTATATAAGAAAACTGATTTTTTCATAAACATGTAACATTTACAATGGAAATTCCATCAGTTTACATGGAAATTAATTTTCATTACAAAAAAAGAATGCATTTGAATGTGCAATAATCTCAAGTAATGATTTTATAATTATTTTAGATGCGCTCTGGTGGAGCAAATGATGAAAGATGTATTATTTCTTAGGCCAGGGATACAATGAGCATAAATTTAAACAAGAAGACTAAGGTTACTTTGTGCCTATCAGCCTCAAGCAGTTCTGTTTGTCACATTCGTTTGTACTAAACATTTGTAAATATGAAACATGTATTCAAATTTTATTTACCTGCTCAATAAACTAAAACTTGCCATTTTTGTTACTTCCCATCCCATGTAACATCATTTTGGCTTAAAATGAGATACTGTCCTTCCATCTTTATGAATTTTGAAGACCTAAAATAACTTGTGAGTGGTTTGAGAGTTCTGCAAATGTTGTGTAAAGATGCACAAAAACGGATCACCATATGCCATGAAAAAGATTTGTGGTAAAATGCTGAAACATTGATCACCTTTGCAATGTTTGGACCATGTAGCAAGGTGAGGGATAACTCTTCGAAATTATGTCACAGTTGTTTCCCAAGTATATTTGATCTAAAACGATGCTTCCTTTGGTTGAGTGAGAGGTATCTTGAGTCAAATCTTCAATTGTATCATATTGTTGTGCGAGAAGGCATGTGAAACGTCAGAAGCGTGTACCACTCGTGTAGCTCAAATGACATTGAGAATGAGCTAAAATGGCGACTGATAAGGGACACTGCAAGGAAGTGCAAATAAAGGGAGAAAGAACCGTTTTTATTTGGAGTCCGAAAAATCGCTCTTTCCTGATCCTTCAATTCTTTGTCGTTCTCTTTATTTTGTGTGCTATTATCTTCACGTGGCTCGCTGCTGAAGTTTCAAACAATTGCGTTGGTGTTATAAGTTACAACAAGGGGAAATGTACGCTTGATTTGACCAAAACTCATGATGATGAGGAACACATTATCGCAGAGATTGGCCACGGGATTGGCAATGTAAGGTATAAACATTTTTCAATTGAAAATGGCCATAAATATGTATTTTATAATGGCCTTAGACTGACTGTACGTGACTTAGAAAACCATACAAATTGCACTCAAGTGCACTGGTCTAAAATGACGAATGACATGGCGTACCCAACGGATTGTTTTCCATTGGAAGCATTGGTATGGAGGAGGAGAGGCGTATAAACAAGTATGGCCATTTGAAAAAACAGTGATGGAACTGGCAGCATACTACCCTCAAGATATAATAGCTGCCCATTATTATAATACACCATCATTTGGACCCGTTTTAGGGCGATATTGGGTCAATTCTCAAGGCATTGCTATAATTGTCAATCAGGCTTCCCCTTTGGTTGTAAGTATCAACTCCAAAGCCCAACCAGGAAAACTTTGTTTCAGCATAAATCCTGCAATGTATCCTGATAGTCAAGAGCCTGTTGAATTGAAGTATGCAATTTGTTCGGCAGACAATGTCAAGGCTATTCAACAAGCAATGGCTCTAAAATACTTTAGGCCCATCACCAAAGCTCCTGATGCAAAAATGATGCGGTATCCAATATGGTCAACTTGGGTTAAATTTGGTAAAGGTGTAAATCAAGCAGATGTAGAGGAATTGCTTCAGAAAATTGTCTCAAATAAATTTCCTTGCAGTCAAATTGAAATTGATGACAAATATTCCACCACTTATGGAGATTACAACTTTGATCCTGTCAAGTTCCCTGATCCTACATCAATGATAGCAAAAATACACAACACCAGTTGTCGTGTTACAACTTGGGTTCATCCATTTGCTGATATCGTATCAGAAGCATTTAAAGTTGGAAATGATTTACATTATTTTGTTGTTGGTGGTGATGGGAAAACTACTGGACTCTTGAAATGGTGGAATGGTTGGGCTGCAACAATAGATTTCACCAAACCTGAAGCATATAAGTGGTTTCAAGATAGATTAAAGGCATTTCAAAAGAAATATAGCATAGACTCGTTTAAATTTGATGCAGGATCCATGTCTTATTTGCCCTTCCAATATACTTTAAATGGTAGTAACATTCCATCTCAGTACTCTGTAGCTTATGTTAAATTGGCATCTGAAATCAATGACATTGTTGAAGTGCGTGTTGGTGACCATAGTCAAGATTTGACAGCTTTTTTGAGGATTTTAGACCGAACTGCTGATTGGGACTCACCCATGGGCATTCAATCTGTTATTCCAACTGTGCTAACAATTGGAATCTTGGGCTATCCATTCATACTACCTGATATGATTGGAGGCAATGGGGCTCCTGATAAAGAGCTTTTTATTCGTTGGATGCAATTAAACACATTTCTTCCAGTAATGCAGTTCTCTCGTGTACCTTGGGATTTTGACAACCAGACCCTTGAAATTGCCAAGAAGATGATGGACATTCGCGTATCATGCCAGCATTGCTTGAGGGTGCTAACAATAGCATTGGTACTGGTGACCCAATTATTCGTCCTTTGTGGTGGGTTGCACCTGATGATGAAGTAGCTCTTACCATTGATCAACAGTTCATGGTATCTGACTTATACTTGGTGGCACCTGTTGTCAAACAAGGTGCATTCAATATCACTATCTACCTTCCAAAAGGAGTTTGGATGGAGCAGTTTGGAAAGAAGATGCAACATATGATAACTAAAGGCAGATCTATCACGTATAAAGTAACTATTGAAGATGTCTTTTATTTCAAGAACATTAAATCATTACAAACTTAAACTTGTTATTTTCATTAATTATGCATTCAACTGAATATGATTTTTCTTATTAAATTGAAGATTGTGTATTGGAGTATCAATTAAACATTCACATTTCCTGTATAATCTTAGAAATAAAGCACATATGAGATGATAAATATTTAGGCCATCGATTGAAATTATTTGAAAATGTCACTGATTACATGCATATGATTGTAATTGTGTTAATGGCCGGAAGAAATATCATCAGCTGAAAACAGGAATTGGTTGGGATTGGAAGGAGATCAGTGGCTGCAGAGTAGTGGTATGTATGTAAGAGTGTTCTCAAGAAAACATCCTGCATGCTGATGTGCAACAAGAGAATGCAAAAGGGAACTTCTTTGAAATACCATTAACTGGAGCAGATGTTTGCTTTGATGACTCCATGAGGAGAGAATCAGCATGAGATTCACAATTTTTAGTGCTTATGAGAAATTAACAACAATGAACTTCAACAATGTTTTGTACCTGTTTGCCATGTAATGTTCAATTTGAAAAATTTATAGGAACAAGAAAAATTGTCACGCTTGTTACTTAGTTTTTGTTCGGCCCAATCTCCACACGACCAAAATTGATGATATGTAAGTGTTTCGATGTTTACCATATATAATATTCGTTGTTATTGTATTATTATAATGCCGATATTGCGTCGCGAAGTTCTTGAAACAATGTCTTCGATTTCATGTAAAAGTGTGTGAAATTTGTTTATCGAGTGATGCGGTCATTTTTTTACTTGAGAAATAAATCCACGACATGGTTTGTGATTATTATCATCTCTTTACTCCTTTTTTTAACGATGTTACGTCGAAAGCGAATAAATATTGGCAAGAAACCATGGCGAAAGGAGGATAGAGGTCTATTTAGATTTGATCCACATACAAGAAAGCTTGAAGTGCGCAATTTAAAAGGTGAAATTATATTGGATGGGAAAATGGGAGTTCATATAGCATCGAGCTATTCAAATCCTGAAGAATCCACTCTAGATGGTTTACATTACACTTGGGGTGGTCACATCTTTCAAAGCATGATAAAGGGAGATAAGAACTGCATCACCGTGGACTGGGATAGTATTTCTGACGAAACGTTTACTCCAATGGATTGCTTTAACTTGGGAAAACATTCATGGTATGGTGGTGGTCAATTGAACATGCCAAATTGGCCAGTCAATAAGGCGAGCATACCAATGTTACCTTTTTATGCCAAAGTTTATAATAACACACATCAACATTTCACCTCTGTGCTTGAACCTTATTGGTTAAGTTCCAGTGGTGTTGCAATTTATGTGGATGAAATTGTTCCATTGCATGTTAGCATCAATGAAAAGAGCAATGGTATGCTTTGTTTGAAAGCCAGTGCTGAGGGTTATCCAAATTATCCTCACCCAATTCACTTAAAGTACAGAATGTGTTTTGGGAACAACATGGAACTAACTCATAAATTTATGACATCACGATACTTTGACAAGCCATCACAACCCTTCAGTAGCTCATTAACAAGGTACCCATTTTGTGCCATGACATCGCCAAGTCAAGCAAAGCTGACAAGGTTTTACAAGTCTATTCTTATACGTCAATTTGCCTGTGGTCACATAGACCTTGGCTTTCAAGAAGGTTTAGAATTCAACAAAAAAGATTTTCCCAATCCGATAAGCTTGATAAAGGATATTCACTCAAGAAATTTAAAAGTTAGTGTAACTGTAGATTCAGTTTTAGGTAGAATAGAAGCTGTTCCAAAGAATTTCATATTGCTCAGCAAAAGGAAAAAGTATTCTTTAAATCTTTCCAATCATACTGCAAGAAATTGGCTCATTGACAAAATATCAAACTTTAAAACTGAGTTTGAAATTGACACTATGAGATTTTGTTGTGGGCAACTAGATTATCCCATTATAGAATACAAACTTGGAGGTCGAAATCCAGGCATTATTATTCAAAATTATGCAAACGCTTTGTCTAGCATAAGTAAGAGCACTGAAATTCTAGTTGGCTACAAGACACAATCATTGCCCTTGATCATAAGGATTGCTGACCGCAAACCTGAATGGGGTAAAGAGAATGGCCTGAGATCCATTATACCAATGGTCTTAAGCATTGGGGTTATTGGGTATCCCTTTGTAACTATAGGACCCATAGGTGGTAAACTGGACAAAGATCCTGAAAAGGCAATGGTTGAAAAAGAGTTGTTCATAAGATGGATGCAATTAAGTGTATTTTTTCCTGTGATTGATTTTCAAACGTATCCTTGGGAATATGATGATAATGATGTCATTCAAGCTTCTGCTGATATACTTGACTTAAGATATAGTCTATGGGATAACATTCTTGTTATTGCAAAGGATGGTGTGAGTGCAGGATTACCAATTGTTCGCCCAATGTGGTGGCTTGTTCCTGAAGATCGTATGACGTACGATTTAAGTGCTCAGTTTATGCTAGGCAACATATACTTGGTTGCCCCAGTGCTTTGGCCTGGTGCCAAAGTACATGAAGTCTATCTTCCTAAAGGGGTGTGGAGGGAGATGTTTGGAAAAGGTCTGAAGCATGAAATTGAGGTTGGACAGTGGATCACATTTGATGTGGATTTAAAGACTATTGTGTACTTTGAATGTCTTATTTGCAAAACCTAACTATGTTTGAATTTCTACTGTCTACTGCATCCATTATGAGAATTAAGATGTAACTGTTGCAATGTTTTTTGTCTGGTAATGTAAATAAATAAATTTTTGTGAATAGTTATTAAAGTTTGGAGTGAAGTTGTCAAGCAATACGATTTCTTGACATTTGATGTTCATTTTTGTTTTAAGTGGAACAGGAAACCAGTACAAAGTGAGCTAGTGAATGTGGACTACTCTTTGTCAAAGATATTGTTCAATTAAATGGCGGTCGTATTCACTCGTAATGATCAACAAGATACAGCAGAGGCGACATTGTTTTACGACAATGAAAGGGACACGGACACGCTCACCATTAAAGAAGATGGAGTAAGATCAATAGATCAGCCAAGAGCTTTATTCCCTTGGGAAACTCGCTCACTTCGAAGAAGACGAATTTTGCAAGTCATAATTGGTGTTCTTGGTGTTGCGATCATTGTGTCCATTATATTGGCATTTAAACTTATTAACACTGAAAGTAAGTATTTTACTTAGGAACTGCCAGATTTAAGCCAAAAGAATGGACAATCGACTTTAAAAATGCTGCCAATGAGTTCGTTCTTACTGCCCATATTGGTATGAACCTTCGCAATACAGCTCTTCAGGAACGACATACAAAGACTAAATCGAAAGTCAAATATGTCAACAGTAATGGTATAATTTTGACCTTAACACAAGAAACGAAGAACATTTTTTCAGTAAATTGGACCACTATTTCAAAACATCCCATCAAGTTTATTGATTGCTTTGAGCTATCAAATGCACATTGGTATGGTGGAGGTGAATTATCAAATCAACCATGGCCCTTAGAAAATGTTGAAGTACATATGGCACCATACATACCATCAAGTATGACAACCAGTCATAGTCTTGGCACAAGCATGCAAAGTTTTGGAAATTTGTTGGAAAGGTATTGGTTGTGTTCTAAAGGTGTAGCAATTTTTGTGGATAGCTCAGTGCCACTTCATGTCAGTTTGAATGAGACAGGAAACGGAAAGCTGTGTATTAAATCTGATAAGAAAGACTACCCTCCCAAAGCAGTTTCCTATCTTGGCTACAGAGTTTTATCAGGCCATGACGCAAGAGAACTACAATACATGGCTGTTAAAGAATTTTTAGGAAAGGCACATACTTTTCCAAATAAAGACCTTATCACAAAAGCATCATGGATTATCAAGCATAATGTTTCAGACAGGAAAATTAAAGAAATACGTGAAAACATGTTGCAATTTAAATACAATTGTTCATATGTTCTCATCAAAAGACAGAAACACAATGCACTTCCTTTACCATATAGCTCTATACACAAGGATGAATTTATTAATTTAAAAAGAATAGGATGCAAAATTGGAGCAGATGTTCACCCATACATTAAAGTAAGTACAACAGAATTCTTAGAGTTGGCTAACAAGGATTACTTCATAAAGGACTGCAAAAGAAAGGTTCCTGGCCTCATTATGTGGAAAAATTCATTAGCAGCCGTCCTTGACTTAACTCATGTGTCTGGCAAAAATTGGCTGAAAAACAAATTGGCAAACCTGGGATATGATTTATTTCAATTTCATGGTGTTGATGCCCTAAATCTCCCATTATGTTGCCAGTTTATGAATGGAAGCATCAATCCTGGTAATTTCTTAAATGAATATGCCAAATTTGCAGCTAATATGAATGGCTCAATTGTTAGTGTTGGATATAGAAGTCAAGCTTTGCCAATTTTTATACAAATAAATCGGAAAGAGAACACTTGGGATGGATTGAGGTCATTGATTCCAACTATTTTAACCTATGGCATTATGGGTTATCCATACATCATGCCACCACCTGTTGGAGGTAACCATGGCAACACTGACGAAGAACTTTATGTACGATGGATGCAGTTGAATGTGTTTCTTCCAGCAATGCAATTTCGTGCAGAAATGGCACCATGGACATTTGAATTGAAAGAAATCTTTGCACATTTGTTCAAGCTTAGAAATCACTTAATTCCTGTTTTATTAGAGGCATTTTCAAATGTCACCAGATCAGGTGCACCAATTATTCGTCCATTATGGTGGGTTGCACCCAAAGATCCCAGAGCACTAGAGCACTCATCTCAGTTTATGTTAGGAGATACCTACTTAGTTGCACCAGTGCTTGTGCATGGAGCTACAAAGAAAATGGTTTATTTACCAGTTGGCCATTGGAAGGAAGAATTTGATGAAAGGAATGTGATTGATGTTAAAAATACTGGACTATGGAAAGAGTATCCTGTGAGTTTGAAAACTGTTCTTTACTTTAAGTGTCTTGCCTTATACAGCTAAGTGAAGTGCATATCAGATATAGTTTGAGTAGTAGTGCCAGCAAACAGTGTGCTAGGAGTATATGAATGACCTTAAAGTGTTACCTGGCTAAGTAGAATTGCTGTCTTTTTAGACATCAAAGAATTGTAACACAATGTTGTATTGAGTTAATTTGTCATTCTTGTTGTGCATATTCAGATCCGTCTCTTCCATTGTAAGTAATGTTTTGGTACCACCAGACTTGTGATCAAACTCATATTACATGTGACATGTTTTCATGGTAAATTAGTAATTAGAATTGCAATTCCAAATATGATGAGTATTGAACTTATTTTCTGCATACTTTTGAACTTATCAATTGGAAGATTTCACTTATATAAATAGTCGTAACTGTTTCACATTACACTATATTGATAAGGTACACCAGTTTTCAGTCGTACTAAATAATGCTCCGAAAGATTTGTTAAATGCATGTGAATGTCCAGTTGTTGAGAAAGAATGCTTTGCTGGTAATAAAGAATGCCTGTGTTGAGAGCATACCAAGATTTAAATCATTTTAGTAATAGGTGGAGATGTCGGTATCACTTGTAATAACATAAACTTTGCAAGTTTATATAATAATGACTACGCAACCTCAAACTACTCTTGTCTCTTCAAGTGGGTCGGCCCAGAATCTAACCCAATACTCATTCAATCCCTGCTGCAGGTCCCAGACGAGGCCACTCTTTTTTGTTACTCTTTAGAGCGATTCTCTAAAGATGAGGTAAAACGGCGTATCGCCGGTGGAAAACTTCAGAGATCAACAAGCTACAAAAGCCAGTCGGTGGATGCACATTACTTGGGATCACCTTAGTCCTTATCTATTTTTACAAGTTATCTTTACAAAAAAGGATGTTTACATTTTGTAAGGCCTTAATTATGATTACAAAATTTATTAGACTGCCTTTATCTTTACAAAGTTGACTTAGGGAGATGACTTAGGCAATATGCATCCTTTTAAAAAAACCGCAACCTCCGCAGACGTTATTTTTAGACCGTTTTGACTTAATTAAACACCTACCTACGAACTATGCTGCACAAAAGTGATTAAAACAAACCTTTCAACAAAGAGACACCTGCAAAGCAACGTTAGCACCGAAGCCGCAATAGACTTAATGGATAGAGAACCGCCTCTTTGAATCCCCATACATTACCCAACGGCTTGCCAACCAATTATTCTTGTGCCCAACTCACGATCACCTAGGTACCGTCGATGGCACTGTTTAAAATTATTGCTACACGGAACTAAATGTATGAAATTAGTTCGTCTCTCAATCATCTTCCATACGTAAAATAGATCTTCGACTTGAATTTGAGACGAGCAAATCCATTACATCATGAATAATTAAACTATCTTCCTGCTCTGACTTATTTTTCTTCAAGTTTAATAACAGCAAGTTATTTAACTTGACAAGCCACTGTCATAAGACTGATTTTGACAGCTATTTAGCAAAAGCAATGCCGGGTTTCATGCACATATTCTGTTTCGCTGTTTCAATGAGACAGTTTTTAATGCATATTCCTCTTGATGATGCAAATCACTTCTGAATTTTTTCAAAAAATATTTTTAAGCATGCTAGTTGCTTTTTTCATTTCCATGTGTTTGATGAACATTTCAAATTTTGCATGGTTCAAAATAAAAACAATTGGAACAAAAATGTGAAATCTGTTGATGAAGCATCATCAAGGTAGAATATTTCAGGCGTTTCTAATTTTAAATAAATTTAATCTGCGCTATGCAGCTTTAATGATAACATACTGAATTGCGCCTTGTCTCGGACCGTAAATTTCTTGCTTTTTCAATGAGCATTCTGTCGATAGCTCAAATATTTCGCCATATTTTCGTATTCTTGTTAATTTTAGCATGCTATTTGTAGTTTAGTTGCAAACATCGCGCTTTGATTCATGGCTTTTGATTTTTAATATTTAGTGATGGAATTATTTGAATATCTATAATTAAATATACATATTGTGAAGAACTAATACACACGACCCAAACTCAAAGAAACCCATGCCTTTTTTCTTTGAACTTAGGATCGTGTATCCTGGTGATCAAAGATTGAAAAATTTATGAAAACCGTCCATCACACTTTGCGATATCAGACATGTATATACCGTTTTGGTTGTTTTTAGGGCATTGCACAATGATAATAGTAAATTGCTTGACAGATATAAAAGCTTTTAGGAATATAAGATGTATCATAATTTTCAGGCAAATGTCAGTTTGACCGCAAAATGCACTGGGCCATGCTCAAAACTAAAAAAACCAACACTAACAGTAATCAAAAGAACGCTGACTAACTTTGCAGTATAACTGATGAAGCCACTGTTCAATGCATCTTCCTGTTAGCGCTGATCACCAGGAATTTAACTAAAAGTCTAAAAAACACTATAAACCTGACCTGAAACGTCGTATTTGGTCTCCGTTCCTAGATTGACGTATCCCCAAATGATAAATCCCCAAGATTAGTTCCGTAAAATCCACGACAACTATGATATAAATCCACGACGATCATCATGTAATACACCACAGCCGTAATTTAATCTCCGATGACTAGCATTGCGATGAACGACGACTGACTGTAAGCAACGACAACTTTGATTTCACCGATGACAAAAATATGGTGTAGCTTACGAATATAATGCGCCACCTTGGTATTCTTTCTTCAGTCTTCACTACATAAAAACGAAAACTTCAACATAACACAAAATTCTTTGAAATTTTTGAAAAGTACCTTTATTGAAAAATAAAACGTGACACCAAAATCGTTATTAATGATGGACCGAGTCCTTATAATCAAACTCCAAAAATATTATAATTTTTTGTCGGAAAACTTATAAATTCTGTTCAATTTCATCCCATTCAATCTAAAGAAGTTCTTGCAAGACAAAACGTCACCATGAAATAACATTACATCTTGGTAAATGTGGTCATGTAGATCGTCCATATGTGTATGTAGTCATGAGAAGGACGGTTGCTGATATTGACTGACGTTTCGACAACCTTAGCGACAGTCATCTTTAGAGTCAAGTGAGAAGTAGACTTTTAGAAGACCTGACACATCAACGCATTCATGACACTCAAAAAAAGAGAAAACGTTTCACTTGAGAAAGTCTCTGAAGAACTCAAACAACGGAAATATCCGACCTCTCAACAATCAGTCAGCAGCGGAGCACTGCACTTGCAAGAACGAAGAATCGATGAAGTACGTAAAAAAAGAAAACGCTTCACTTGCAAGATTTTGTGAAGTACCTCATTAATGAAAGACGCGCTGCACTTGCAAGAGTGGATGAAGCATCTCAACATTGAAAGACGTGCTGCACCTGCAAGAATCGGCGAAGTATCTCAAAAAGGGAAGTTGCGCTGCACCTGCAAGAATCCGTGAAGTACCTCAAAAAGGGAAGTTGCGCTGCACATGCAAGAATCTGTGAAGTACCTCTATACATGCATTTATAAATTTGTTTCATGAGTAAGTTTCTTCCAATGAATGTTTCTTTTGATTTTTATAGATTTCAAAAGAAGGAAGTCTTATATAGACGTCTTGATATATGATAAAAGTTAATTTCAGACAGATTGTTCCCATCTCAAAGTTATTGACTTACATCTTTAATGAAGATACTAGGCAAATGAAAACTTCGAGCAGCATTTATATGGCCATACAAGTGCAATACGTATTAAACATGCATTTACTTTTGTTTTACGATTAGATTTCTTCCAGTAAATGATATTTTTGATATCTTGTACATTTAAAAAAAAGGAAGACTTATGAGACTATTTTGTATGCAATTGAATGTCGATTTCAGATAGATCGATCACAATTTTTCTCATTTACTTGTACATGTTTAGTAAAATATAATAAACAAATGGAAACTTCAAGCTGCCAGTATGTAAACTGGTGCATGTACAACACGATCACATGAACACAACATTTCTTTTTGTTTTTAGTAGATTTTCAGTTCCAACAAATGTGTTTTTCAAGATATTATTGATTTTAAAAGAAGGAAGTCTTATAGACTTCTTTATGTGCCACAGAACTAACGATGGATCGTGACTTACTGTCCAATCACTCGTAACATAAACTTATAAAGCTGCCTTTTGTCCAATCACACTTAACATAAACTTATAAAGCTGCCTTTTGTTTTAAAATCGCACTCGTTTACTTGAAGAAAGACAACAATTTTATAATAAAAATGATAAGATGACAAATTTGTTCATGCAAAGTATTGAGAGAAGTGTGCACAAGTAAATCCCTAAAATACTCTCAGTCTGATTGTATGTTTATTTCATTTGAGTATCCTGTCAATTTAAATTAAACGTAATGAGTTTCTGTGTTTTCTTTTCACCCATTTAAAGTTGCACTACATATTATAATAAAAATTTTCAAAAGCATTTTCATTAAGTATTAGGCCCCGTCCACACGTGTACGGATATTTTTGTATCCGCAACAAAAAAGTTGCGGATACGCCTTTCGTTTACACTCATCCGAATATTTGATCGGGTTATCCGGAAACTTTTGAATCCGCTCTATAAGTGAAAATTTTCGTATCCGCAAACAATTTGGATGCGTGTGGACGGTAAATTCGGATATTTTCGACCAAGATTGCCTAGCAACTATTATAGCGCGTTTAAAATGTCGTCGAATTTGCTTCAGATCCATTCCAATCGACTTTCTACATAGCATTGGATCTTTTGAATTATAGTGTGACTTTCAGTAAGAGTTCAACCTCATCATCAGTCCAAATGAAGAAGTCCGTCTTGCTCTTCTAAATTTTTTTCGATTTCTGTCCCAATTATGACATATATATTCAAACAAAACCGAACAACGTTTGCGCACACCGACCGAATTCAAAATTGTTAACCACTTTACCGCCAATTTGCAACAATTTCAAAATATGCGAGGGAAACGGACAGCGTGAAGTCCTGGGAACTATAATAAATCCGGATAATATCGAGCTACGTGTGGACGCAAAAACATTTTTATACGCAACCTGATCGGCAACAAAAAAGTTGCGGATACGAAAATATCCGTACACGTGTGGACGGGGCCTTAGAGCAAAAAATAAACGGCTCTGAAACAAATTAGGCAAATAACGAAAGTATTAACGATATTTCAAATGCTAATTGTCAAATTTCAGAGAATATCTAGCTTCGTTTTCAATAGAATAACTACGTTCATTGGCAAAATCTTCAAAAATAGTCAATAAATAATGCACTCAAGTATGCAACTTAATTATTTGCCTGAAGAGCCGATAGCTGTCAACACTCTTACTTTCTCATTTGAATCTATTTATTTCCATGTCAAGGTGAAAGTTCTTGCGTTCTCCCCACTCCATCCAAGTATTTTTTAGGTATTTTGGTACAAAATTGTTTCTTTATAGACGGTTAGTTTTCCTTAATTTGTACCCAGTGTTTTTCATTTTCACGCGGAACAAAAAAGGCGCCATTTTAATTGAAAGTCCAACGTTAAATGCACGTCCAACAAGAACCAACATTTTCATATTCATTTAAATGTCTTCAAAAATCAACCCAAGGAATTAAAAATACCCTGGCTATCTCCAGTTTGCCATACTGTAACGTATTACCTAGAATTTGTTTATATTTTTGCGTTGAAACAAGAAAGATGTCGGTGGCGCAAGTTTATCGCTTTCTAAGTATATCGATTCGCAATTTCACAAATACATGCTGAAAGTAAAAATATTCAACAAAGTTCACCTCGAAACATTCCAAATACTAGTAAAGGCGACATACTTGTATAATTGTAAGAAAGTATAATTGAAAGAAAGACATTGTAACGTACAAACTTGTCGTTTTTATACTGACAAGTAGGTTCTCTTGCGAACCTAAGCACACTTGTCATCATCATCATATCTTTTCGTGCCAGGGCGATCCAAACTCGGGCTGGAAGTTTGGAAGTGTTGCGCGTGTTGTAGCAATCAGTCGAAATCAGGGACGGCACGTGAAGCCTTGCTACTTGTCCCCAGCACACTGGTGAAAACACGTAGTTAAACGCCAAACTGCACACAAATGTAGACAAAGTATTTTCAAGTAAAACAATATGAAACTCGGGGTTAGCTAAGTGTACATCAATTAAGACTTCTTCATCGAATTTATTGACATTCGAAGTACCTTTTTAAATAAATGATAAAAATTACGAAAACCTACCTTTCTCCTTCGAGTCCTGAGGCATGTAGCTGTGTGAATTGTGATTGATGAGCTTCTGGCATTGTTATTGGTTACATTCTTTACATTGGTTATATTCTCAGCTCTGATTGGCTAAAATATGAAATAGGTTATCCAAGCCGATCGAGTGAGATATTTTTACAAGCTTTTTTTCACATCTTTCATCTTAAGCAAATAAACCAGTTGCAAACTAAACATGGAAAATGTTTTTATTGAGCTTATAAGAATTTCATTGCTTGCCATTTGCTTTGAAAATGATTAATGATGAATTAGTATAGCTTCATATACAAGTGATGCAAGTTGATTTATATAATAACCAGAAGGATTTGAGCAATTTCATTGGTCGAGAGCTATGATCTATAAAGGACATAGGCACGGAATGACGTCACAGAAAATTTCATGTTTATAAATAGTGAACTATAATATGCTTGTTTATTTGTTCAGCCAATCACATTATATCACGTGATTAAGCTGCCAATAGCATGTCTTCAATCTTTTCTCTGCAAAATCGAGACTTTTCAATGTTCCAAGTGTTGGGAGATAAAGAAAACAAACTGTTTGATGGTTTAATTTGGAATTTTTTGATTTTATTATATAAAACAAATAGATAACATTGAACCGTTGTCTATACAGTTATAGATACACGTGTATGACATCAATTGTGATAAAAACGCAAAAAGTGGCCACGAGCCTCCTGGACGAGTTAAATATCACACAGGAATGTATAGTCTGATAATAACCAATTGTGTAGTATCCTACCATCTTATTTTAAGGTATTCAGATTGAAAAAGTATAGATTTCTAAATAAACATGTATCGAAACAACTAACAGAATAGAAATATATCACGTTTGAATTGATTTTGCTTGTTGAAATTAAGGTCCAAATTCGAAACAAAACAATTAAAATTTCCTTCATCCTTACCCCTCATTAAGGCAAAACTGAGCTCATTAATTCATCAGGATTGTTTGAAAAAAGGCGCCAAAGTGTGTTAAGAAGTCTAATTTTGTATTTCTGCTGGTTTTTTCAAAGTGAATATAATGATTAAACGACCGATACAGTGTTTGGATTGAAAACGCATTTCAATGTAATGAATGAATGGACGAGAAATCCCACCTTTCCCATAACTAGCGATTTTCTGAAGGTACGCAGGTGATGACGTCGGCCTTTTTCTTCTTGACGAACAGCGACAGCTTCTTCTTGTTTCTATAGAAAGCACAGATTTTAGTTGGTAGCATATTCCCATAACTTGAATTAATCATAATCTCATCTCTGCTGCTGACAGCTGACTTTAAACCGGCTAGTATCTCGAAGAATCTGTCGAGGTCGTTGTCATCCTTGTTTTCAAAGAAAACTAGGTTGTTCTTACCTGTAACACAGAATATCAAGAAACAATCACACAAACCTTCGTTGAGAAACACTTTTTAGAGAAACACTGAAGGTTTCTCGCATTTTTCATTAAACACGCGAATGTAATCTTCCCCGCTCAAGTTAATTCGACGAACTGAGCTCTGAATATTATTTGGATTCCAAAAATCCAAAAGTTTCGAATGAGCCTGACAATTTTCTCTGTTGTGATTGGCTACATTCGTGACAAAGTTTTCTTGATTTAGTTTTTTATTGGCTGTTTTATCAGGCAATCCTCGGCGTATACCGTGGAATGGCGTAAGTCATTTGGAAGAAACACTTGCTGAAGTTGTTTGTGCAAAAAGACTTTACATTCTGACGCCACTAATTCCTTAGGGACCCAGCCCAAGGGAATATATGTATTTTTGCCTTTTTAGGCAATATAAAGTTTTGCTTCATTTTTGGCGTCATAAGAGGCAAGATGAAAGAAAGAAGAAACTTTTGTGAGCTGATTTGAAATACTTCATTTTTTATTCTATTCTTTTGTGATTAGTAACAAGGAAACATTCATAGAACCACTGCATTGGACACTCATCTAGAAAGACAATCATATTACATGAAGTAAGAAAAATACTGACAGCCAACAAACAAATATGGCGGCTGATTTTCAATTACCAACATCGCCACGTCATTCGAGGAGTTTGTCCACAAATGGTGAGTATTTTGGCTTAGGATGGATCCAAAAGCTTGAATGAAGAATTCAATTGTTTTCTTCCGATGTTAGATTTGTGGGATGCGGAAGAAAACACGCAAAATCTTTTCCAGAAACACTCGGTCGTAGAGATCGTTGAAGTGGAAAAGCAAACCAGGTTTTAAATTTGATTCATTCATAACGTTTTAGGTGTGTTTATATTTGTAGAATGCAGTTGTATTTTTGAATTTTAGAGGGGATATCGAAAGAAAAAAGGAAGATCTGCGTCTCATGGTTGGGTAGGTGCCTGTGGCCTGTGCCATAATTGTTCAATGTAACTAATATCTTATTACCACACTTCCCCACTGGCACTGGAGTGCTTGCATTGTACACTTGAGATCTCAGGCACATTATAGGGAACCAATAATAAGGCGACTCTTTTTAAATTTTTAGTGTCTCACATATTCAAATTATTACGCATGTAATAACCATTATGGTAGCCACTCAATTGTATTTTCTGACCAATAGGAAAGCTGAGATGGCTAACGGCATCCAACAATGCAATTTAAGATACAATATCAAGTTTCATATTAAACTAGACCTGCTGTTTAGACCTTATACTGTGTCTCAGGAATAAATCAAGTGCTTGCCCTTCAGCAAGAATTTCTTAGAATTCAGTAGAAAATTTCATGAGAAAGATCCTTTCTAAGTTTTGTCCTAAATCAGCAAAAGAAAAAGTCAGAGATGCTATTTTTTCATAAAATTTTGATCTTGTGCGTGCAGTTTGTTAACATTTCAATGGCAAATGGGGCATTTATTTTGAAAATTGATTTGCATCCAAATCATTTTTGCTTGAACATGAATTATTTGGTCTTTTATGCTTGTAGCGAGCGGTATCGTGACCTGATTGACGCAGCTGACACCATTGGAGAAATGAAACAATGTTCAGGAAATGTGAACAGTTCCATAAAGAATATACAAGAAAACTGTAAGGAGTTGTACCATACTCATCAGTCCCGTGGCATTTCAGGCTATGTTGCTACATCAATGTGAGTGAAGTCATCACATTTGGTTGCCATTAGCTTTAAACAGCAGCATCATTGAAAGAATTCTCCTTTGAGAATTACATCAAGAGTACGAGAAATATAAATTCTCAATTTTAAGATTTTTAGATTTTGTTCAAAACTTAATGAATTTTTCACCGGCAAGGGTATCATTGAGAAATATGTTTTTCATTTTTATTTATATCAAGAGCCATTTCGCTTGAAAACGACAAATAATGATAGCATGCAATATGCACTTGCAAAATTTATTTTCACTTCGACTTTATGAAAATCTCCTTGTGAGTCAAGTATGAATAATGAAAATATACCCAAAAAAGCAGGCCTACAAGTCTGACGTTCACATACATATTGTTAGTTAGGTTGCAAAAAAATCTTTTCCCATTTTATGAGCATCATGTTCATTATGTTTTTAAATAGAGACAAATCAAAAGCAACATTTTATTCTGTTGCCTCACAGATGAAACTACTTGTGGATATTCCGGAAAAGGTTTGTTTCAAATATTTTGTTTTGCACCTTCACCCCCTCCCCAAGTGCTGAATGAAGCAAAACCTTGCACTGAAATTTTTCAGTTTGTTTACGATATTCCAGAAAAAGTTTGTTTCAAATATGTTGTTTTGCACCCTCACCCCCTCCCCAAGTGCTGAATGAAGCAAAACCTTGCACTGAAATTATTTCAGTTTGTTTATGATATTCCAGAAAGGTTTGTTTCAAATATTTTGTTTTGCACCTTCACCCTCCCCAAGTGATGAATGAAGCAAAACCTTGCACTGAAATTATTTCAGTTTGTTTGATATTCCAGAAAAGGTTTGTTTCAAATATTTTGTTTTGCACCTTCACCCCTCCCCAAGTGATGAATGAAGCAAAACCTTGCACTGAAATTATTTCAGTTTGTTTATGATATTCCAGAAAAGGTTTGTTTCAAATATTTTGTTTTGCACCTTCAAGTGATGAATGAAGCAAACCTTGCACTGAAATTATTTCAGTTTGTTTACAATATTCCAGAAAAGGTTTGTTTCAAATATTTTGTTTTGCACCTTCACCCCCTCCCCAAGTGATGAATGAAGCAAAGCCTTACACTGAAATTATATCAGTTTGTTTACGATATTCCGGAAAAGGTTTGTTTCAAATATTTTGTTTTGCACACTCACCCCCTCCCCAAGTGCTGAATGAAGCAAAACCTTGCAATGAAATTACTTCAGTTTGTTTACGGGTATTTTTGTCAAGAAATACTGCAAAACATTACGTGCAGGGACCTTTTACGTACGTGGCTCTACATGGATCTTTTTTATTTTGAATGAAACGAGTCTTGAAATTTGAGTGAGAGCACACTTGCTAACATGTTTTTCACTAAACAAATTTTAGATTTGGAACTCATTAGAACATCACGAGTATTTGAAGGCAGCGCAACTTTACCTTCTCGCTCAAAACATCGTAAGCAGTTTGCACATCGAAACAGGTGGTGGCACAACTTCGAAACTTTTGGTAATCACTTATTACATAGCTACTCCCTTGCAGTTGGTCGTTTTAACCGGATGTATTACGTCACTACTTAATGACGTGTCTTGTTTACTTTATAGACGTCGTTTCCAATCCTCCCGCAGCAATGGTCGTCAATCAGTCATTTTAAAGACTCCATTCTTCAGGTCTGATGGTTCATCTGAGCAACGCTAATCATCTATATTTCTATTGTTATAAATGTTTTGCAGAACTCAGTTCTACGCTTATTAAGAATAAGATCCTGAGTTTATGATATTTTTAATGAGATTACAATGTGTTCCTTCCTTTGAAAAATTAACCTGCTTTTGAAGATTTTTACCATCCATTTTGTTCCTCGTGCTTAGGGTAGCAGAGAATTGCTCCGTGACTATACTCAGTCTGAGCAGGTAAAACATTTATAAATGCTCCATTTGGTTATATTCTGCTTTGATTACAACATTATTTCGCCTCACCAACATTAAGAAATATTTTCTAAATGATCGGTGGAAATTTTCCCTGTCGTAAACTGTCGGTTTGGAATCTGAAGGAAGCTTCAAGTCCAAGTTGCTTGCGGGCTCAACAGTGGCTTGGTCACTGATTCCTTCTCAGAAGGCAACAACGAAGCTAAATATTTGTTCGTCGATCTTCGTTGTCTCACTTCTTTTTTGTGTCGTAGACTGTGTCAAATTGTCTTTGTGCAATCATGTTCTTGGAAGATAGCACACCTCGCCAAGTCTTCAACGAATTTCTCGTTGCACGGCAAGTATGTCGTTTCGCTTCTTTCTTTTTTCGGTTATTGTCGAAAAGAAATGTTTCGGCTGACCTCTATTCACTTTTAGGGATCTTTGCAAGAACTGTTTGATCCCAGACATCAAGGTTAGTTGAACACAGCTAAATGTGTGTCTAATAGCCTTGCGAGAGAGGGACAGCTCAAAAGTGAAAAATTTGAGAAGATTTTCAGCGTGAATTTCGAAGACGATACGTGAGATAATGTAAAGTCTAATTTTTCTCAATATTTTTTTCAGCCAATGGCATCAAGACTCAGCTGTGCGAGGTCGTGCGTCTGATCATGTCAAGCCTCTATCAGGTCTTCGTTTTGTTTTGCTCCGACGAAAATGAAGTGGCTGCTAAAGATGATTCAGGTGCAAAATTCTGGATACAACTTGCAATAAAGTAAATGTTTTGAAACATGTTACAACTTGCAATAATGAAAACAAACGACTGATTTCAATTGTGCTCACGTGATCCGAATGGCAACGAGATGTTTTTTCGCTTTTGTCTGGAATTGTTTAGAATATACGGCTTAGACAAGCTAATTTTTCTCCTATTTAATCCCTTCAAAAATTGTTTTGTTTTCACGTGCGTTTTTGAATACCTTCCCCGAAAAAAAACCTAACTACTCTTTCTTAGACTCAATATTCAGCTGTTTTATCGGTGATTGTAGAAATTCCTTATTTTTCGTAGGAGATGATTCTCTCCTATTTGTGACCATGGATAAGATTACGTCACAAAGCCAAAACTCCGCCACCGAGGGCGACCGTGAGTTCCACGAGTTCAATCGAATGCATGCGTTTGTTCGTTTCAAATCAGCAAATTTGGCATCTTGTTTTTAGGGCTGAGAAATTTATTTGGTCAAGAATTCGACTTGACTTTGTTGAGGCATTTACCTGCTTCTGTTATAAGTAAGTTTTCGTTACTTTGTTATCATACGAGAGATAATTATAAAAAACCGTTCGCTGTGGATAAATAGGTCGATGAAGATAAGAACAGTAATATATATGACACCAGCCGGCACCAGTCTCTATATAAACTAAGATAACATGTGTCAGTGTAGGTAGTGATGAATGAACAACAGAGAACAAGAACTGTCTTTACACTACCTTAAATATAAACTAAGATAACGTGTGTCAGTGTAGATAGTGATGAATGAACAACAGAGAACAAGAACTGTCTTTACACTACCTTAAATATAAACTAAGATAACGTGTGTCGGTGTAGGTAGTGATGAATGAACAACAGAGAACAAGAACTGTCTTTACACTACCTTAAATATAAACTAAGATAACGTGTGTCCGTGTAGGTAGTGATGAATGAACAACAGAGAACAAGAACAGTCTTTACACTATCTAAAATATAAACTAAGATAACGTGTGTCAGTGTAGGTAGTTATGAATAAACAACAGAGAACAAGAACAGTCTTTACACTACCTTAAATATAAACTAAGATAACGTGTGTCAGTGTAGGTAGTGATGAATGAACAACAGAGAACAAGAGCAGTCTTTACACTACCTTGAATATAAACTAAGATAATGTGTGTCAGTGTAGTTAGTGATGAATGATCAACAGAGAACAAGTGCAGTCTTTACACTCTTAAAAAATATAAACTAAGATAGTGCATGTAGAAAACGGCAACACTCCGCATCATCCTAACTAAAGTACACATTTCAGAGTTTCGACCTCGCCTAAGAAGTGCCTCTAATTTTATTTCCATGGAATACATCCAAAGCAACTGCAAAACCTGGTTAGAGAAGTGAGTATTTATATTTGGAATGATACAGCTTTCATTTTTGTTGCTATTCACGATTTGTCCTCAAGTGAACCGTACGTTTTGTGTTCGACCACAATCACTTTTTAGATGTATGAACGATGTAAGAAAAAACGTCAATGTATTTCTTCAGTACATTGGAACGTTAAAAGCTCTTGCTTCAATACGTGATTCTATCTGGGAGCTGCTCAATCCGGTAACGTTGTTGTTGTTTACACTACCGTAACACTAGAGCGTTTGCATGTTGTCTTCTCCATAATACTTAAAACAACTGCTTCGGACAAAATACTCCTGTCTTTAAATTGGTGATTAGTTTGTGCTCGCTTAATCGAGACATTTAGTGGAGTTTTTTTTTTAGACGATCAAGTCAAATTCATTTCATAACGTCGTTTTGACGAATTGGAGCGCGGCGACTGGGAAATGTCTTGGTAACGTGTTTTCCTTGTGGGAGAGACTTTTCAAGGATGAATTTGTGGAACGGTCTAAGGTGAACATCTTTAACACCACTTTTGGTCCGTTTTTATTTTCACAAATCATTACTAAAGCCGATTGTGTTTGCATAGCTATGCACATTTCAACCCATAGTCGCACGGGAATTATAATTTCTTTGGGGGGGGGAGTAAATATTTTCTCCAACTCGCAAATGATGTTCCCCCGTATTTTCGCCCGACTAAGGTTAAAACTTTTCCAAACTTTTCAATCTTTAAACTTTCTTGGGGGGAGGGGGCACGTACGCCTATGTTTGAACCTCTTTATCAATACTTAATATATCGCTACTATAAGCCGAGTCTATTCAAGGCACACGATTTATTGTTGATTTCATGGTTAATTTCTTAATCACCCAGTGTTTTACCTCATTGTACTATGTGTACTTTTAAATGCTAGATCTCATCATTTTAAAAAATTTTTTGTACTCTTTTACGAAGGCGATCTTAAATGGACAGCTCGAAGCGTTAATGGGATCGTGCAAGTCAGCGACCAAAAAAGCGTTGGACGATCTTCATGTAAATCAAAAGTCGCAATCCGATCGCAGTGTGTTATGGGAACGGGATGTATCGTTGTACGTTTGGCATGAAAACTCGAGTGATTTGTCTTCGAAGAATGTGAAGCAGTTAGATAACGAGGCTTCAACTTTCAATGAAAGTGGATTGACTTTTAAGACCAAAGCGTGCACTCCCGTAATTCAAGGGTAAGTAGTTTGTTTACAAAAACTCAGTATGTACTCTTCTTGTTCATTGGTTGTGTTGTTTGTGTACGTAGACTCAGTATGTACTCTTGATGTTCTAGAGTCATTTTTTGTGTACATAGACTCAGTGATGAGCGAACAAATGATAACGAGAACAGTTTTTGCATCATCTCAAATATAAGCTAAAATAATATTAGTCTGTTTAGATAGCGATAGTCTTGACACTAATCTCTAGTCAATAGAAATGAGCGTAAAATTTTGCTATAAATATAAATGAAGATTTGATATTATGTTTTAGATTGTGCAGAACTTTTAATGACCGTCTATCTTACATGCTCGACGATGCTAGCTGTTTTATAAAAATCTCCAAAGAAAATATCGATTCAAGCACTTCCGCTTTTCGGACTGGTCATAAGAACGTAAGCGATGGGAATTCAGATTTCTCAACTTTGCATGTAATGAATGTAAGTTCACTTCTTGTGTCCCAGAACTCGCCCGTTCAGTCCGTTGACGATGATGGTCCTTTTGATCGATACGGTGACTCAGAGCTTTTACAGAATTTCCTTCGGAGTAAGTGCGCAGAAGTCATCAAAGAGCTACTAGGCTATTTCGACTCTCTTCTGAGAGTCTATGACGCCGAGTTGAAGTCGCATACATGGGAAGATTTAAAGATTGGCATGGAAACACCGAAATTGATCCTTGCCATTGACAGGTAATTGTCGTCAGATAGCGCACGTGACTGCATGAGAGTATCATTAAGCGTTTTTGATGAAACAGTTGTGAATAGATAACTTTAACTGTGGTGCTCAAAAGGCCCGTATCGTTGATTTTCGTTCTGTTGAAAGTGAAAACTCTTAAGGAACTGCTGCAATTCGTGTGAATTTAAGGATTTTTTCACGGGAATTTCTTTTATTCATACGTACATTCCATTTGTATTAATAGTCTATTGGGTATGTAGTTGGATTTCATATGAAATAAAAACAACTAGAATTTATAGTGCTTGAAAGTTTGTATGATAAACTGCAAACGAGACGATTGAATGCTTGTCACATTAATCTGGAAAATCTCGATCTTTGAAGTGAAGGAAAGTGCCTGAAAAAGATAGGTTGAATTTAGCTTTAGTAAGTAACAGGTTGAAATGAACGATGGTTTACTTAAATACTATCACTCAATCTTCAAAGCATCAAGACTTTCTGTGGAATATCTCCATAATCCCATTTTCCCTTTCTACCTAAAAAAACATGACGAATGTGGTATATGATTTACAGTAGCATTAATTCGCTGTGTTTTATCTTTTCTTCTACAGCGCACTTTTTCTTGCGAGGTTAACTCGAAGTTTTATCGATTATTGTCCGAATCTTGCCGAGCTAATGGGCGAAAAGAAAGATCAGAAGACACGAAAGGCACGGTGAGTGAGCACAGCGTTCTTTATGTTTTCGACATTCGTGAATTCTCTTCGTCATTAAACATCACTTTTTATCGCCACAGCTACAACAGAACACCACTTCGTAAGAAGGTACCTTAACATGTTGTAGTGATCATGAACAGATCTTGTTATTAAAATTTCGTCAAATATTTTACAAAGGTCAGCGAGCTATCAAACACCAAATTTGATGAGGTGAAAGAGCATTTCAGAAACACTCATAGGACTGGATTCGGGTGAGAAATTAATTTTTAAATACCCCGTGTGTTGGTTGTTTGAGAGGGGCAGGGGGGAGAGGTCGACCAACCGTTTATCGTTACCAAATTATCGTCAAGTCTTCACGAGATGTCATATTACTGAAAAAGAGAAGGTTCTTATAAAATCTTGGAGAGATTAATATGTCTGTTCATGACAAGTATCATTTCAAGTCTTCATCCATGAGATGTAAAATGTCTATAAACAACGAGAGCCTTACATCACCTCTACTTTTTTTAAGTATTTGGTGTCGCTGGGTTTCTTCTATGTTTCGTGCCTCTTTCGATGTTTATCTTCAACAGGCCAAAGGTCCTAACACAATGTTGACAACGGCAGTAAGTGCGTTACATCGAGTCTGGCGTAAAACCTGATATACGTCATGTAGTGTAAATAAAGATATTATGTCAACATTTTTCTGTTTGCTATCGGTTCTTTAATACCGTCAATGAGATATCTCGTGTTATTTTTTAAGAACTGGGCAGAAATAGTTATCAATGAGGAAACAGAATCTGGAGAACAAGTTCATTCCTCTATTCACGTTCCATCACAGGTATCTTCTTCATGTTATCCATATGTATCCCTACTAATCATGTATCGTTTTCCCTAGTTCGGTTAATGTCAATGTACTTTGTGTATCCCAATTTGAATTCTCGGTTTGGGTACGAGTTTGTGAATTTAGGCAGTTATTTTGCTTTGAGTTACACCAAGTATCTCTTATATTATGGATTTGTACGGATATTACTTTGAACGTAAACAGTGGAATTGTTTTCTGTGCTTCAGGTTTCTTCCTACGTCACAGTTTTATTGTTTAGTGTTTGTGAGGAGATCAACCGAGTTGGGGGACACGCGATGGATAGGTTGGTTTTGTTAGGGATTTAAATATCCATAAAAATGCTCATCGTTTCTTCATTGCATAGTTACCATAATTTCTAATTAGCAGCAGGTTTGCAGGAACATTTAAGAAAAAAAATGCCATCTTCAGTGCAGAATGATTAGCTTTATCTTATTACTTAACACTAATCATTCTGCACTGAAGATGGCATTTTGATAATGTCGAAACATGTTTGCTTTTAAAGAAAATCGTCATTGTATACACATAAGGTGATAGAAAATGAATATATATGTTATTTACCGGCTGGCAAGTCTGAATTGAAAAATAATTTCCGAGCTCTCAAAAAAGAGCCCGAGGCCAAACGGCGAGGGACGTTTTTGAGACCGAGGGCAAATATTTTTCCATCCGGACCGACATAAACGGTAAATAGCATATTTATTTTTTTTTTTGGCGAAAGGAAACAGTCTTAGATTGTAAAGCTAGATTTAACAAAGGCGGCCAAGTAATTCATCAAAATATTTGCTGTTTTTAAAACGAAGTATTAAAACGAAGCAAAACAAATAAAGCAACTCTTTTCTTACGCATTTAGCTATAAGATTCCGGACCGCGGTCAGATATTGTGAAATTCCGCCAGCGGCTACAGCCAATCAAATTGCAGGAAAAACTAGGACTCCGCTCGCTGCTTGATTTTAAAAAATTAATTACTACATTACACGATATTTTATAGATCTGTCCTTCGTGATTTGGTACGTGTTTTGGGTGAAGATCTCTTGCTGTCTTACGAAACACTTCTCGATTGCTACAGGGAGAATAAAGAAATCATTGATCAAAATCGAGCTCTGCAATGCATTTTTGATTTCAAATTTACATCATCAATCCTTGGCGATCGTTCCAAAACTGAGGTAAAAAATTATGGCAAAAGTTTATTCACACCCTCTTTTTCTCCGGGGGTGGGGTGGGGGAGGGAGGTACCTAGGAAAGCATCCACAATAACAATGAGCCATGTACGAGTCTTTTTAAAGAATGATGTCCTTGTAATATTGGATGCTTTTTTCAAGATACCGCTGTATAGCATCTTTGCACTGTTGTTATGTGCAAAGCATGGTAAACTTGTGTGTATTTTCGTTATACATGATGCAAGAAACAGCAACTGAGAGAGTTCAAAAGTAATCAAAACCAATCAAAAATGTTTAAAACCGGTTGACTTAAATTATAAGTGAAAAAGGCAGAAAATGTTTGAAACATTGCCGTATCTATGAATCCCTATTTGTCGTTTACCATTCGCAATTTTGTAGAAAAACTTTGGAATAAATGATTGCCCGCATTCTAAAAGCTCACTCACACTCACATTCATTGAAGTCGACTTTAAATCACACTCAATTTAATCACTGGCGAAGTCATTTCTACATCTCTGGCAAGATTTTCTTCTAGATATTTCAAATCAAGCAATCTGTTGAGTGAAATTGCGGTCTTCAAATAATTATGCTTGTAGAATTCGGGCGTGTGTTCTGTATGTATAACAAAATCGTTATCATGAATAGCGTCAAACTCGCATCGCAAGTTTCTGTTTATTTATGCAATTTGAATGCTCTATTCACTTCGGTTTCTTACTTAGAATGACGGCTCGTATAAGGCAAGATTTGAAAAGATTATCGAACAACTGGAGGATATCGTGGATCCATTTGACTTAAACGTTTTTAGTCCGTACCTGAACAGCAATCTCAACAAACATTTACAACGATGTGGAGTAAGTGTATTTAGATGGTATATCTAGCTATTCCATGGTTGGCAAAATGCTAGGATTGCGAACTTTATTGTATTGAATTGACGACGTTGAGTTGATTGGTTGGTTTATATAGCTACAATGATCATTGGAGCATGATCGATATAAATTAATCATTGGAGCTTGATTAATATAAATTAATCAGTGAAGCTTGATCAATATACTATAATCCGTGGAGCTTGATCAATATATTATAATCAGTATGGCTTTATTAAAATACAATAATCAGTAGAGTTTGATTATTATGCCATCACCTTGATGAATTATCAGTCACGAGGAAGGCTTTTTCAATTTGCGTCTTGCAGCAAATAAAATAAATAATCATGGTTACAGTTTTGCTAATTATGATTACACATTCATAAGTTTTCTGTATTATGTATGCCACGGGCTCACTGTATTTATTCACCATTTGCTGTCTTCACTTTATCTCACTGTCGTCACCATAGTCCACTATTTTCGCCATCTCACCTATTCGAAAAAATGCGTAATCACACTGTAGTCACCATAGTTCATTGTCTTCACCATATCACAATGTAGTCACCATAGTTCATTGTCTTCACTTTATCACACTGTAGTCACTAAAGTTCATTGTCTTCACCATATCTCACTAAGTTCACCATTGTTAATTGTGTTCATCACGTCTCATCATCTTTACCAAAATCTCGCTTTCTTCACCCTATGCTCATTGTCTGCACTGTCTCATTATGAAATAATTGTCTCCAACATAGACTCACCATCTCCACCATAAGCTTTACCATATTCCTTACCACAGTATCTACCTTATATTTACATACCGTATTCTCCAAAAATTTACCGTTTCATCAAAAGTCTCACTTTCTGCTCGCCCTCTTCAATTATCTAGGTGCTGTTTGGCGTCCTCGTAAATGTCGACAGACATTCTCATTTCTACGGTATGCCTCAGAAGCCAGCCCAAACGTCTCAGGATCAGCACAATGTCATGCCTGTTGCCAATAGTTCAGTACGGTTCTCCTTACTTCCCCTCAGTTCTCATCATGCTGACAGAAATGAATCAAGAAATGTTAAGGTAAGGATGTTGTTTACTTTCATTTTTCGTTTTTGTTTGATCGTGATTCCATCTTAGCGGGAAAACTTTTCACTCAATTTTTTTCGGGCTTTTTTTCAACCGTAAACATTTTCAATGATGAGATTAGGTGATCGACATTTTAAGAAGGGGTGGGGTGGGGATAAAGAGGACGTCGAAGTTCAAGTGGTAGTAAATTAGGCGTTTACCAAAAATCACAGTTTTCTTTTTGTACTCTTCCTGTGATTCTCGTTTGAAAACTCTTTGGTTGCATTACATTTTTATAACGCCATTACTAAACACAAGGCATTGAAGAAATGTCAATCAAAACTTTTTCATATGTGGCATGCAAACTAGCAATAAGAATTTATCAAAGTTGTCGAATAGCAATTTTTGCATTCGCTTCTCGAGGAAGGAGTGTGCTGCGACGAAAGACTGCTTCCAATAACTGTGATTGTTGCAACATATTTAGCAGTTACTTCTGTAGTGACGCTGAAGTTTGTGGCTTGCTTAAGTTCCGTGATGTTAAAGAACACGTAGAAGTTACCTAAGTTTGTAATAAAGCATAATGACGTTGTAAAAAACGAAATATTATAAAAAGGAAGTTTAGATATTGACTTCCACGGCCACTAGGTTACGTGTGGGCGTCTGGGTGTTTTTTTTTTTGAGAAGTTCAAAATATTTAATCTCTTATTAACAGCCACCATGTCTTCGTCCCGTTTCATTCGGAATCAACTTGAATGTAAACATTTTTCTTAAAATGATGGTGGTATTTTTTCTGTAGGCGACGGAGTCTGAGGACGTGTCTGACGACTACAACTTTCTCGATACCAGTCCCTTTTACAAACATCAGAACTTTCTTATGAGTGAAATGTTGATGCCGAGCTCTACAACACTTAAATGCTGAGTGAAGACGGCCTCACGGTACTTTTTTATCGTTTTCATTATTACGAACGAACTGTCGCTCAGTGGCAAAGTCCGCCCATTTTTTACTTCTATAATTAGCTACAATGCAAATTTTTGAGTGTTCATTCACTTGAGAAACAAGGAATTGATTTCCTAAAAAAATGAACAATAATTTCGTCGAAAAATTTGTATCGTATGAGTAAAAGTTCGTGCTGGTTTTGCCACTGCTGTTCGTCTCCGTTCAACATTCTACTTGCTTGCGCCAAAGTCACTGGCACTGGTAACATTGATGACCAGTGCCAGTCTTTTCACGCCCAACAGAAACAAAGGTTTTAGTCGGAAAATTCTAGTGAGTTGAGAGAGCAAGGTCAAGCCACAAGCTGTGCTACTGCTCTTGTTTGACTCACAATTATCTTAGCGCAAAAAAAAGCTACACAAACAAGCAACTCTTTTTCATCAAATGAAAATGATTGGCAGCAAAATTTTGAACATAAAATGCTTCTCAATTCCCAGCACACTTTCGGCTTCGACCGTTACAGACATTTTCATGCGTCGCTATTTAAATAGACATTTTCTTTATTACACATTTAATGGAGAAAAAAGGCAAGTAATTGCTTCTGATTGCTTGCTCGTAATTTATGCTTTGTTATGTCTTGTTTACTACGGCAGAAGAATTCTAGAATAATAATACAATCTTACAAAGCCGTTTTACAATTTATATAGTTTACATTATACCAATTGCATTGCGGTAAATTTCTGAATTCGTGGCGCTGGTTGGCTGTAGGGCTGTATAGCGGGTTGCGCGTTAGAACAAAATAGCAGCTGTGACGTTATTTGAATGACTTGTGTTTTCCAAGTGCGATGCTTTCGGCAATTTAACATACACCCCCTTGCGCTATTTTTAGTTGTAGATGCCGCTTTATAAACAAGTACTTAACTGCGAACAAATAATATATATTGGTTGATACCAGCGACTTGACAATCATATATCATATTGTAAGAACTTTTTTTTGTGTTGCCGAGCAACGTCGACGTATATCTGCCTGTCTTGTTGTCATATTGTTCATTGAGATTGACTACCGCTTCATATGAAAATGATCGAACAATAATCTTTGTTTGGCAGCAAATTAAAGACTTTTCTACTATTCTGTATGCTATGTGTAGATACCAAAAACCCTGATGACATACGTGGGTAGTATAGCTTAAGCGTAGAAGTTTTTTTTGTTTTTTGTGGCAGTTTAATTGTTCTCGTGTGATATTCGCTCCGCTCTTTCTTTCCGTCACGTAATCCAGTTAGACTGAACCAGCGGACTGAACTCTTTGCAGACGATTGAGATGAGCCGTGAGAGACGAGTGAAAGGACTCGGCCCGATATTTATGTGAGAAGTATTCTTTTGGTCCTTATGATATCAATCTCCAAGTTGTTCCGACGTGCTTGACATCGATTCTTTTACTATCTTGACTTTCAGTATCTTAAGAACACTTTTTTCAAGATTCTAAAGATACTGAAATCCCATTTTCACTTTGCCATTTTTCTGTCTTTTGGCACAAAAATGCTGCCATTGTTTTCTTTTTTTTCCGTAACGACCAGAATCATCGTTCAAAATGAACAAGGAATTATAATGTAGTGTATATTTGAAATTGAAATAAGGTGATTTTATGATTTTGTTTTTTTCCAGCGGTGACGGAATTGTGACGTGGCAATTGCATGGTCTGCGATGTATTTATTTCTTTATTTTTTCGCGACGTTCACGTAATTTAAAGTCATGGAATGAAATTATTTAATGAAGTAATTTTAAAAGTAAGTCTAATGCTTTGCTGTTTTAAGATATTCTAGTCGAGTTGAACACTATCTTTCATTTGACTGAAAAAAAATGAAATGCTGTATAGAAAATGTTTTGTGTTCGTTTCATTCAAGCCGCTTCAACTTTTACATTTTCTTGGAAGATTAACTTTCACTTTAAAATGTATTTTGTTCGCAGCAGAAGTACATTAACGAGTGTCTTTAAACAGCATGACAATTTAAAGAGAAAAAACGCTGTAGTTCCATGCAGGGCGAATAATTCTATGTTGCAATTTTAAACGTAAACCAATACTATACGTTAGGAGAATGAACGAGTTTAATTAAATTCCGTGACGTGTCGGTTCAAGTTAAGGTGACGAGGAAACAAATTTTAAACAAAAGTATTTTACTTATTCTGTCTTATGAGTTGAGCACACATAAAATCACTTTATAAGCCCATTTATGAAATCGGTCGATAAACACATTACTCGTGTATAATGAAGATGTTTCTGTTCGTGTTCCGGCAATTGTTCTTTTAATTTTTATCATGAGTAAATTGTTGATTTAAGCTCTTCTTTGTAATGACAACCTAAAACTCCGTGAGCTAATATCATATGTTTTTTTGCCATCTGATTCGCATCTCAATTCTGACATTATCAATGTATAAAATATGCAACCGAATTGACGTATTCCAACTATGAAATAGATGTACTATATTTGGCAAATCCTCCGTTAAATCCTCTTATACGGCGTGAAGAAAAATATTTTACCATTTCAAATGATAAACGATTCTCAATGCACGCCTTAAGCTCAAGCCATGTAAATCATCAATCTTACGAATCACGCCATCTTCGTGTAGGTAGGGAAATGAATGGTACAGCCGGGTCACAGTGGACGATGTGTAGGCAGTGCATTCAAGGGAAGAATTTAAATCGCCATGTAATATTCTTTATTTCGAAACCTGAACAAGCTCATTATGCTTTGAAGGAAATGAACATTTTCATTTGTGGTGGGATCCGTAGCACCAATGCTTTAAAATGAAGCGGACTATGGGAAACATTGCTCCTATTATGTAACTCACAAAATCCCACATCGAATGCGTTGCAGTCTAAGTATTATAAGGTTTAATGACTGACGCAGATCATGGTATCTTTGTCATGCACAAGTTACTTTGCCAACTATTGCCTTGCTGGTCACGAAACTTAAGGTACAAAACGCACTCATTTACATTGCATGGTTTGAGTGCGTCGTTTTATTCAAGCAAGGTCACAAAAATCCCACAAGGTCTAAAGTATCACATGCAGAGACTTATGTAATTGTTCTTGAAACATGTATTTCCCAATGCCGTTATAATTCCACGCTTAATTTTGGGAAGAATTTGAATGTATGAGAGCTAGGGAACACTCTTTCTTTCTTGGAAAGTACAAACGATATCTGCTTTATCCATTTGTTCATACTGTAGGAACAGGTCTCGGCTGTAACTCTGACGTTAGGATGTACAAAACATACAATGCTCTGTCAACATCTTTTTTATGATACTCCAGGAACTTTGCATTTATTTCAGGAGGTTCTATTAGTCGTCAATTTTTATGAACTACCTTATATATACGTGTACATAAAAATATACGTGCGTGGGAACGACCTTTGTCAAAAACACCTTTTATGGTAAGAATATGAACGATAATCGGGCATGTATAAGCAACGACTAAATCAAAACAAAGTTAACAAGGAGCAACGAAAAGTGACTTCATGCTCTTAAACGGGAACTTCTTCATCAATTGAAGTTGCTACGTGGAAATTGTTTATCCTGGCATTGTGTTGGCAAAAATAGAAATTGCTTTGAAGTAATTACATAAAGCAACGAAGTGGACGTCTATTAAGGTATTTACATAAGAATGTGCTCGTCTTGCAACTGCTTCATAATTGCCCCCTCCAACGAGTTAGAATCGCTCAACCGTTTTCTCGTCCCGTCGCGTCACTTATTGTGCGTTGGAAAGCATCGAAACTCCCAACCGCGCCATCGAATCTCTTATGGAAACCGCGCCTTTCTAAGTGTGAAATTATCGCGTCTCCATCGAGAGAACGCTCGAGGAACGTTTTGTGCCATGCAATCATCGACGAACACATGTGATGAAGTACTGATGACAATAAATACCGAATTTGCATAACGTTTGCTCGCTGATGGTGACGTTGCAAGTTCATTGCGCAGCATGATGTGAGCACATTGTGCTTATTTTTCGTGCTTATTTTCGCAATCTTTTTTTGATACGAAACGGTCAGTTGATTGAAAAATGTCCTTTGCGCTGCAAGCAATCGTTGCGTATGATTTCATTGATGTTAACTCGGCTTTGAGCCCTCCCTCCCACACGTCCAGGAATTTTTCGAAGTAAATTTTGCATGAAATGATTAGAAAAATAATGCATATATGCAAAAAGGGTTTTGTAATTTGTTTATCTATGCTAACTACATGAAATTACGGCGAACACTTGTGGAGAGAGTTTGCGTCTTGAAAATTGTTTAAGATACAATCCGTAGATTTCGGATTGTATCGTGGTTATTTTTCTGAGGATTCCATCGTGAAAGGGTACAATACGTTATTACCAATATTATATTTTTAGTGCGAGACAAGGACAATGGCGATGGCTAGGAGAATTTTCTATTTAATCTCTGCCACGACTTTGAATCCATAGAGAATTACATAGAGGAACTCACTCAGATCATTTTTCGTTTGTTTTCTGCTATAATATAATTTCACTACAGACCGGTGTTATTTTATAACACCTGCGTTTTATGGCTTTTAACAATAAAATGTGTTGATTGGATGTAAACTCTCCTTAAGATCACTTTGTTTGCCATTTGGCAAATTGTGAAGCGAGAATCGCCTTGCTGCCGTTTGCTGAATCCAATCAACCAATCGCAACACGATTAGGATGTCACGCGCCGCAGCTGGCGTTCATATCGCTATGAATTGTGGGCATTTTTTAAGTCCAAAAACATGAGCTCTGAATGTGTCGCGATATATTATGACATATCTAGGGCGACGTGGTTGTCAGCCTTCTTATCTTCTTACATAAGGTGACTAAACACCACGTCCATTCAACTAAATGCCTATACCGACAACGGCCAGCTACCTTATGGACGGTACAGAAGCGCTAGTCAACTCAAATAGCCAACTTGAGGCGGACCAGAGGGCCTTACAACTCGCTCTGGAGTATTCAATGCTAGGGCTTACGAACGATGATGATATAAATGGATTCGACGAATTTCGATTTAAGAAGAGCGTGAACATGACCGAATGTGTGGCTGTACCAAGCTCGGAGCATGTTGCCGAAATAGTTGGCAGACAAGGTACGGCCAAGCCATTCTTTATTTACATCGTCTTCCTCGTGTTTTTGACATGAAGAAAATCATTCTCACTCACATCAAACAACTGAGTTTGAGTTGATTCTGAGAAGACGTGTGTGTGCGAGGTGGACTTGTCCGAAGGGACACCCATTACCGGGCGATGTAGAGATTTTCTCTTCTTTGCAAAGCGAAAGCGCTGTCGCCCGCAGAATATATTACAGAACAACATTTCATGAATTTTCAAATATTCAAAAGTCTACAAGTTTATGCATATGAGCGCATGTGAATAGACAAATAAGTCGGAGTTCATATTCAGTGTATCAAAGTTAATCGTGTAAATGTTTTTTCTATTTTTCTTCGATACAGGTTGTAAAATCAAAGCGCTGAGAGCGAAGACAAATACGTACATCAAGACGCCGGTTCGTGGAGAAGAACCTGTATTTGTCATCACCGGGAGAAAGGAAGATGTTACGATTGCCAAGCAAGAGATTCTATCCGCTGCAAACCATTTCTCGCAGATACGTGCCCAAAGAAAGAGCTCCACGCTCAGTTCGGGAGCGTCCTCTCCAACGGGAGGACCTGGTCAGACTACGATACAAGTTCGAGTTCCCTATCGTGTGGTCGGCCTCGTCGTCGGTCCTAAAGGGGCAACTATCAAGCGCATACAGCAAGCAACGAACACGTACATTGTGACACCTTCTCGAGACAAGGAACCCATCTTTGAGGTGACGGGCAGTTTGGAGAACGTCGAGTCTGCCAAGAAAGAAATCGAAACTCATATAGTTTTGAGAACCGGCGGTTTGCTCGACGATGATGTTTTCAAAAGTAATAGCGATTCTCTCAATGCGTTCAATGGCTTTCAGTCAAGCTATGGGTCAAGTACTCGAAGTGGTCGGGACTTGCAGCGTGCTCTGTCGACGGATTCATTCTACCTCAACTCGTCTAAATTAAACGACTATAATCCGCTCACTAGTCCATTTTCCACGTCCAGTAATGGAACAAGCAACGGATACTTCAGTTTCAATCATGATCTTATACCTTCGCCCACCGAAGATTTGATCATCTCAAGTGGTAGTAGCGGTTTTAACTCTAGCCCCACTCCTCCATCACCATCTATTTGGAGTACTGATACGAAAATCGAAAGCTTCTCTACGAATGGAACATTGAATGGGATCGGGTCTATTGGCAGTGGACGGCCTATCTCGTCTCACACGACCGCAAGACGATTGTCAAGCGAACCGTTGCTGCCTTCTCTACCTAGTACAAGCAATGGTTTGGGTGCATTTTCTAGATTTTCCTCTGCAACAACGACGTCCATAGGTGTTTTGAGTAATTCTAATAGTGCCGCGAATGCAAGTTCAACGATAAACGGTGAATTACCGAAAGCAAATGGCGTTATCGGATCTCGTTCTCCTAACAACAACGTCGACACAACAAACAACAATATTGCCAATTCATCATCCGTCACCAAGAAAAAACAGTGTGTGATTTGCTGCTCTGCCCAAGTTGAAGCTGCGCTTGTTCCCTGCGGTCATAATTTGTTCTGCATGGAATGCGCTCTTAACTTGAAAAGCAAGGACTCCCCTTGCCCCGTTTGCCAAGAGAAGGTCACACAAGTTCTGAAGATAATTTCGTGAGATGTGAGTGTCTAGTTCGTAAGTGTTATAACGCTAGGCCCTCGTTCACTGAAGTACTATTGTTAACTTAAACGATGGTATGTCAAGTATGGCAAGTTCGTGCAAAATTTTATGTGAAAAGGAGAATTATGCTCGTACTTGCACCCAACATGATTGACAATTTACAAAATCAATTCAAAATATGAAAAAATATGGGGCCTAGCGTAGCACAATATTAATTAATGGATGCGTCACGACAATGCATCGCAATCTTCACAGATTTGTAATCATCGTTAGGGATTTTATTATCTGAGAGGGAATTTTGTATATTAAGTTTATCGCACACATACACACATGCACATCACTGCTTCATTAGTTCACAAACCCGTCCATTACTCGAAATACCAAGAAATTGTGTACATTGTCAACAATTGGAAATATTTGTCTTCGGTGTGAGTTACGAATTCATGTCTTTGTGACGTGCCAAAGCAAGTAAAGGGCTATGATTTGTAGGCTCAAATCGAAGACATGTAAATTGTGATATGTGTTCCCCGAAGAGTATTTTAGATTGCTTATTTTACTATACCAGCGAGTGTGTTATATAATGACTGAGAGTAGATCGTATTTATCAATCGAGTATTTTACGTCGTATTATTGAGATTTGAAAAGGTCTTTTCATATAAATATATATATTATAAGCCCGTTTATATATGCATCACAATAATGAGAACTTGTAATATTTGTATCATTTAGAGCATACTAATTCCATAGGATAGATTCGACACCTATTCACACAAAGCTCGTATTAATATTTGTCATTTTATATAATATTATATATTTAGCGCAATTCACTTCACATCATTATTGTAGAACTTTGATATAGGATAAAACACACGAATTAGAGTAAGATTATTAATGTATAAATACATTCATGAAGGAAAAGAATTATTTTTTATTTTATGCCCGAAATACAACTGTGGCAATGCAGAGAATATAATAAGAATAGAATATTGCAAAAATTGTATAGCTTTATTTTTCTTCATTCAAATATATACACTATAAAAGACACCTGTGTTTCTTCTGTTGTCTATCGATGATTTTTGTTCATGTAGCGTATGTATAACAAAGTTGCAAATTGCTGTGGGATAGTGAAATGTAGATTTTTGTTGCCCATTCTTTTGGGATTTTTAAGGGAAAGAGTGTTTCCGCGGAGTGATTAAGTTTTCTTTGATAAAAATGTCTTGTTTAAGCATTCAAAATCACAATTACGGAAATGAATTTACTTTCAGCGTATACGCATGCAACGTCACAAAGCATTCAGTCAATTTCAATCTTTCAAAATTAAACACCAGCAAAATCAACTGTCTGGCACATCAACTACTTTTGTTCATTGACTGCTGGATAGTAGCGGCTCGTCTTTGGTTTATAAGAACTTTGCCTACCGTCGACTATAATGAACGTATTTAAAAAGAAATTTCATTTCTGCTTACTAAATTTTATCATATTCACTTGGCATTCAACTGGCTTCGTGGGCGTTCATCGATTTTTCAGTCTCCAAGTTCTCACTGATGAAACGCCATTTTCCTTATGTGACAGTATGGGAAAGCGCGGCGCTGTTTTAAGTAGTTATTATTCAAATTCTAACCGTCGAATCGCTAGTAGGGAACTCGTAAGAGACGCTAAACAATTAAAATTACTAATTTGGAATAATCACTTTGAGCAAGGTCTTATATGAACAAGATATATGTGTTAACCTCTGCTGGAACTTTCTTGTGATTTTTCGTTTAGTTATTTGTTTTTTCACAATTTGCATTTACTTGCTGCTATAATTATGTAGCCATTTCCGATACCCCATTGTGAACTTCAAAAACTCTTTTTTACATTTCGCAGGTTTCGTGGCACGCCTTCACTCAAACACCATTTCATTTAAAAGAGTCTTTGCTTGTTGTCAGGGGCGCGGAACGGCTTTTCGCGATTGCTTAGCAATTCTCTTCGATACTTCGTTTGAAGAGGAAATTTCATTAAATTTGCCCATATTATCAAACACAAACATGCTTGCTCGTGATAATTTTTGGGTATCTTTTTCCAAACAATCCGACATGCCAATGCATAATTTATATGCATAAAAAATTGCTAACCTGTTATGCTTATGAAATGCGGAGGGCTCTCATGCTAGCTTTGAACCGCTTACGTTTAACTTGAGCACTTAACGAGCACTAAGTTAATCCTGAAGTTCACTTTTATGACTAATTACTCGCTTTAAGTAGCAATTGAAAGCTGTTCAACTGGTGATAACATTTTATTTATCAAATTGACTGGTCTTTCAAGCTGCCGTGTTTTTGAAGTATTATGTACTTTTTTATTAACAGGAACTTTTGCCAATCATGCTATTTTTGAAAAATCGTTGAAGCAATGCCTTTGTTTATATCCTGTCCTTATCTTATTTACGACCATCTGCTACACAAGCTTTCGTGATATTTTCATTAACTTCTTAAAAAACCATTGTTTAGTCGCTGACGAGCAAAAAGTATTCGCTTAGTAGAAGTAAGAAAATAAACTGCCTATGCCTCCGTTTAATTGGTTTTTATTTTCCACAGCCAAAGAAAATTTATTATTCAAAACCATCATCACTTTTTGCAAACGTTCAAACATAAGACAGCTCTACAGTCGTTGTCGTGTCTAGTTTAAGATACGTAGTTGTAGATACGTCTTTGCTCTAAATAGTCGATTAGAAACGGTTGATAACTGTTCAAAGATATAAAATTTCCATGACTGTTTGCACAGCAACAATTTATTTGTCACTAAAGAATAGTGTGCTACCTCGTAGTGCCTCGACAATAATGCAAGCATGTCTGTACATGGCTGGATTTTGTTTTAGTTTTGATTAGGGAAAAAAACGACTGATACATTGACTTATCGTGTGCCGCAAGGACCATCGTGACATCGTCACTATGACATAAGAATAAAGAGATCAAGTACATAGATTTCTTTTGTACCATCCTTACTATGACATAAGAACCAGGAGATCAAGTTCATTGATTGCACTTAGTTGAAGGACTGGTTTCTAAGACTAGTCGAACCTTGACATCACTAGTAATCGATTGACAACTGATATTCCTGGAAACCTTTTTTTGATTTCCGTGAGAAATATTGAAATTTTATTCAGATGGCACCCACAATTATGCTTATTTAAACATTTCTTTGTCCATTAGTGGAAATATTGCATTCCTCTCAGTAAAAATAGCATTGACAAAAGTTGCTACAAGTGATATTGTTGCAACCTTAATCGTGACAATAATAGTAATATGACATTTAAAAATTTTCTCATTGGGCTATGAGTGTGATGTAAAAAAACTATTTAGCAATGGTAAAAACCAAGATGAAAATTTTGGATAAAAGCAGTTGGCACATTGCGTAAGTGATGTGGGTTTAATAACTGCTGAAAAGAAGCATCAAAAAAAGACTTGTTCACATTCAGTTTAATAGTTCATATTCTGTCAGGGCTTTGGCTAATTCTCGTCTCGCTCTGATAACCTGTTTTTCCTGCTTCCGAATGTCTGCCTTGGTAATTTTTATAGTTTTTATGTTGGAGTTTACATGAATGCCATCAACTTTAGGAGAGCTGTTTTCCATGTAACCTCTTGACATTTTTAGTGTCTTTACTATTGAAAGTAATAAGCTATGAAATTCACTACCATTGACAGCAATTGCATCAAAATCCATGAGCTCATTTCTACTGCTCAAGATGTGCAATTGTTTTTCCCAATACAGTTGCCTTGGTGACACAAGTCCAACCATAGTTGTGTTGGTAAATGAATTGAGATCTGATTCGTTGGCATGGCAACTGTTACAGTTACTTTTCACTAAACCATTGGCAGTTGACTCATCATTTTCTGCACCCGTACCGCATTCCAATATTTCATTTTCAAATGTTGGCTTCTTGCGTTTCCTTGTTGTGATTTTCTCAACAAACGTCCCGTGTCGATAATCAAACTTGCTCAAGTCTTTTATCTCACCATAGGACTGCAAAAGGAGCTTTTCAATCTCTGGCTTTGAGCGTACTTTCTTTCCAGTGGGGCTATAATACGCAAAACAAGTCAGCACTATCAAAACATGAATCCACCAACCAAAAGTCTCTAAAACAATGACTCGGGCGTGCTGACATTCAACATGCTAGACAACTTAATTGTTTTCATTCAAATATGAGATCATATTCCGATCATAAACATGGTTTTGTAAGTACTCTGTTATCTTCACTAGTTTGTGTCTTGCTAAGTGTATTCAACGAAGAGTGATAAGTCATAATTCATAAGTCATTTCACAGCATTACTGTTTACTGACGTCTGACGATACCTGAAGTAATACACGTCATTTTTCCCCGCCGAGGTGCCCGTTTTTCGTGTTACTATGACTCTTGTCCAGCCTGGCAAAGCTTCGCAAGGTATTTTCACTTTTTCTTCTTCCGAACACTTTTTTTCAATTGAAATTTCGCCATCTTTTTCAACATCTTCCGACTTTTCTATTTTAGTTTCGGCTTCCATGTTGATGTGCAAGAGAAGGAAGTCTGGGACCGAATATTGAATAATGACGTCCCTTTGTGTAGAAATAACTTATTTATAATTCACCTCATATAATAATGTTTATTTATGTTCTTATCTTTCAACTAGGCATTAGGAAATACAACTAAAATGTCACCAATGTCGTACATATGCCGTTTACTTTTCATACTGTGTCACAACAATACATTGGTTTATTAAGAGGAATGAATTAGTCAATAGTCACAAAGTAAATTTTGAAATTATAAAGTAAAACTTCTAAGGTCAAGCAATATCACTATCAATTTCCATTGTCAATGCCTAATGCCTTTAGTTTAAGGTATTCATATTCCTCAATTGCATCTGCTAATCTTTTTCGAATGTACTGCACACGCTCTTCTTGGCGACGAATGTCTGATTCACAAACCTTGAAAGGAGCACAAAGTGGCTGAGACACATTCAACCAAACACAAGGGTTCTTTTCAAATGCCTTCAGTGACATATTTTGTCCAGAAATATTTTTCTTATTTGCATACAGGTCGGTAGCTAATGTACCCACCAGTGAGTTCCATTCCTGTTTGGGTCCCACTGGTCGAAACAAGTTAGGCAGTTCATAATCATCAAGCCTGTTGTCATTTTCATCCACAACATGTACATCTTGTAAACGTTTCTCCCAGAATAGCGACCGTGGTTGCTGATCATTGTGTTTTGTGTCAAATTTCTTATCAACACCGGAAACATAAATGGGCGAATTGTTCACCACACTCACTGGTTGCCGGGTGAATTTAATGGCTGTTTGACGCAGTGGGACTTTAGTCAGAGCCACACCAACACCAACAAAATCCCTAGTAAACACATCTGTCTTTCTCTTTCGAGTGCTGTTCCTTGAAATTCCGCTCGACATGGTTCCAGTTCGAAAGTCAAAGTTTCTTAAATCGCATTTGCCTTTCAGAAAATCTTGAATCTGAGGCTTTGAACGGAATTTCTTTCCACATGGACTGAAAAAAAAACAAGAAAGGTGAATACTCTGCCTACAACTGCAGTGCGGATTGTGTCATTTTACTCATTTATAAGAAAGCCGTTTAGGAACAAAGCAGTATATTGTATTTATGCCCATTTTCAACTGGTTTAAACCCAAATTAACCTTCCTATAAATGATTCATCTAACCAAAGTAAAATGCGTGTATCATACCTATAATAGTATATATCAACTCGGCCTGCCGAATCACCCGTTTTTCTTATTACCACCTCTCTGCTCCAGCCGTGTGGAAGACCTTCACATTCAGTACGATAGCGCTCCTTACCATCTCCTTTTCTATCGCGATGCTCCCGCTCCATTGTTTCGAGGTCTTTTGGTCGAAGTGATCATTCAAAAATAGTGAATACAGTAATTACAAATCACATACGCAACCATGGTGTTGTAATCATTGAGTTCTATAAGACCTGGAGGGGAAACGTAAACAAAATTACTATAAATTATCAGCGCGCGGCCGCGTGGTCAAAAACATGGCGGATTTTGGTTGTCAAAGTCAGCGAAAGCGGGCTCATAAAATGAAATTTTTCGCCCACCCGGATTTGACAACCACAATAGCGATTATATAAAATATCAATGCCAAACACAAAACTTAGAAATTTTATCTTTAAACCTTGTTGCAAACTTGCTTGGTAGACGGATGCTGAAGTAATGCCAGAAAAGGAAACATTTCATGATACCGGTAAGCAACGTAAGATTGTTTACCATTTAAAGTGTTCAGTGTTTTGTTTTAAGTCAATACTTGAAGTGTGATTGTATATATTTTGTGAATGTTTTTACTCCTAAGTTATAATTTAAGTTATGTTTATCCATTGTTATTTGTTCTTTACTTAATCGCTTGCTAGACGAGGCAAAGCAACCAGTTCTTATCGAGATATGCATATCTTAAAACTCCTTGTTTCAACTGAGTTGAAATGGAGGATTTTTCATGATATTTTTCTGAAAATATGAAGCAAATATTAAGGACAGAGCTGTATTGAAATCAAATGCAGTGCAAGATTAATTAATGAGCTCTTTGGTACATGTCGTACAATAAAAATACCTGTATTAAACAGCTAGCCTGGACAATTTGACAGATTATGGACAATCATGATGATGGTGTGTAATGGTTTGCTTTATGCTAAAAGTTTTATGAATGCCATCTGGTGTTTCTGTAAATGAATTGTTTGTTACACAGTGTAGTAAACAGGTTAGTACATCAAAATCAAGATAAAACTACTTTGTTCAATAATGTGCCAAATTTTGCTCCTACCTTGAAATATTTGCTCAAGCAAAGCTTATCATGACATGCATGAAACATTAAATACAGTACTGCATCATCTGACAAAGTCCATATGTTTTCAATTCCAGGTGATTAAAATTCACATAAGATGCATTGGTTGCAATGAAGTTGAATGTGGAAGAAGCAAAATTGATGGCAAAGAACTTTTATGTCTTTTGAAGAATTACGATATCATTTAAAAGAATAAGAGTAGCAATCTAGTAAAAGAAGCCACATCTGTCTTCAACATGAGACTTTTCCAATTATGTATAGTTACTTTGTACAAAATACTATTTTAGATAAACTTGATTTTTAAGTCATTCACTGATATTTTACCAAAAGACAAAAGAAATTCAAAGGCATAATGTAAAATTCAAAATTTGTCAAGTTGTTTGAACCTAGAAAAAATTAGTATAGGTAACTGTAATTTGTAAGGACACAAGAGAAAAGTAGTGCAAGAAGGTTAGCATTTTGAGAATTAATAAGTTCTTGACATACATTACACAAGGCCATAATATTATAAATAATGTCTGTATAATAACAATTATACAACATGCTAAATATCTTCACCTACATTATAATTATTTAAACAGGTTTGCCTTCATGCAGCAATAAGAAAAGTGTTATGTCAGAGAAACCAATGCACTTTAATTTAAAAATTATTTTCAATGGGAAATTAATGTAGTTCTGTTCAATAGTAGATCCATGGTTGTCAATGACAATCCAGTTTCTAATATCTTGGCTCAAAACAGAACCAGCAACATGATTATAGAATTTCTGAATTTCGTTCTTTTGCTCCTAGTTCGAGATATTTTCTTCATAAGTTCTCAGTAGATTTATCAGAATATCATAATACCTTATAAGACACCCAGAATCAATCCTACCAAAAAAAACTCAAAAAAAATACATACCTACTTATAATATATTTCCAGTCGACTTAAGTCGTAGGGGTAAGCTAACTTTTTCTAACTCCTTTTTGGACATTTTAACTAATATTTACCCATCTATTCAAGAAAGACAGTTGCACGAAGCTGTAAAAAATAGTCAAAAACACAAGTATTGCGCATGGGATTATGCATTAAAGCTTAACGACACATTGACAGTGTAAAGAATGCCGTTTGATATTTATTTCTAACATAGCTAAAGCATTATTTGACAACATATACGTTATTTTACAGTAGATTTACCTCATTTAAATGTGTGTGTCTATTTCACAAAAACCTGAAGCATTATTTTCAATATTTTATGCTTACGGTATCGTGGTTGTTTTCGCTGGTTGTCATTGATATAAGCAGTAATGGAGTTCCGGATTCGGGAGGGAGCGAATGTTAAAAATTTTTCTCAAAGTGGAAGTTTTGACAACCAAAATCCGCCATTACCGCCATGTTTTTGACCACGGGGTCCAGGCCCCTTTGCCCCTCCAGGTCTTATAGAGCTCAATGGTTGTAATCAATGGATCGACTGCGCGTTTCTCTGTGGCCTGGGTCTAGCTTTTTTATTTTGTTTTATGCTTATTTTAGGCCACAACATGATTAATTTTGAAATAAATCGTTCATACAATTTCATTATAAGATAAAAGATTAAACTAGTTGTTCATTCTCCGTTATTCTCTTTACGTGTCTATAAAATACTACCCCCAGTGCCCTGTCATTTACGTATGTTAATTAATGACAATCGTCTACTTCATGTAAACCATATTTTGTTGAGCGCAAAAATATCTCAAACATGGCTACAATAAATGTTTCGCATTTTTTCAATTTTTATTTCTTCACGAAGACTTTAGGAGATATACTCATTAGCTGTGTTATGTGAATTTCATGTATTAAAGAAAATGGCTGCGTTATTGTCCAACCGGAAAACTGTGTGGTTTTCATCCAGTGTACCTCGGGCTAAAGTCAATGAATGGGGTATGGCATGGACTTTGGACTTGTCATAGTATGGATATATGAAGACAAAGTTACTTAATTTTATTAATTTTTATGCATCAATGCCAGTGAATGCATTTTATGTCAGTTATTATAACTTATTGTAGCGTGTTGTTTTTCAACTTAAATGTAGATGGTGATGTTGTTGACAATCCATTTGAGGCCCAGTATTTATTTGCAGATAATGAGGATGCTTCTGATGTTGAAAAGTATGAAAAAAACTTTTGCATGCCTCCACTTGATGTTTTATTGCATATCCTGTGACATGCTTCCATTTACACCATAACAGGATCTTCACATCCAAAGAATTCCTCACTGGAAAATTGACCATATTTCACTGGAGTTTACTCGATCATTTTGGTTCACCCAAACACTTTTCTTGCAAAGACTTGAAAAATCTTGTGATTTTTCCCTGGAAAGAACTAGAAGGTATGAAAAAAGGAGGAAAATTATTATGTTATTGACATCTACAGCAGATATTCAACTGGAAACTTTGCATGTGTGATGTTAGTACCTGTACAGCTGCTTGGTACCTACTCACTACCATTGCAGTTTTTTTGTGAAACAGTTATTTGGATCCAAAGACCATTTTAAATCAGACTAGTATTGCATTTGGAAAGAGAATAATTTCATTAATATGAAAATTGTTGTGTTTGGACAAATCAACCAATGTAGTATCTGGTATTTTTTGTGCTAAACTTGCCAAATAGTTCAAAAATGTACAAATACAAAATTCTGAGCATGACAAGGCTTGACCTCAAGTGTCCTTTGTACAACAAGAAAAAAATTGTTTGCTATTTTGCGAACAAACTTTGCAATTTCATTTTCCTGATTTCCTATCTGTTCCAATTTTGACAGATTAAGTTTTCTCAACCAAAACCAGTGCTGATTGGCCTTTACATTCTTGATTTATCTCAATTATTGTAGATCTTGGCATGGCAGCGAACCAGCCTGAACAAACAAATGAGTTCTCTGATTGCGATATGGATGATGGTGATTTTTCAGAAGCGAATGAAAACCAACAGAAAGAACATGGAAAAGATGTGGAAGTTCTTGTAAAAAATGACTGCGTGTCAAGTGAACGCCATGTTAAAAGAGTAGATGGTTCGTGTGCTTGGAAAAGGCTCGACGATGGATTAAGAAAGCTTGAACATGATCGGCATACTGGTTACGAGAGAAAATCGAAGAAATCGTGCAAAGGGAAGAACGATGGTGATGGTGTTGGTGTTGCCAATGGCAACGATAAGAGATTTAATGAGGAAAGCCATGCTTTGATTGGAGAATCAGGGAAGTGCAAAGAAAAGAACAATGGGGACAGTGTTGACGACAAAAACCAGAATGAAAAGTGTTCTGATGAGGAAAGCCATGCTTTGATTGGAGAATCAGGAAAGTGCAAAGAAAAGAACAACGGGGACAGTGTTGACCACACAAACAAGAACGAAAAATGTTCTGATGAGGAAAGCCATGCTTTGATTGGAGAATCAGGAAAGTGCGAAGAAAAGAACAATGGGGACAGTGTTGACCACAAAAACAAGAACGAAAAATGTTCTGATGAGGAAAGCCATGCTTTGATTGGACAATCAGGAAAGTGCAAAGAAAAGAACAAAGTGGACACTTTTGAAGACACGAACGACAGCAAAAAGAGTTCTGATGAAAGCACGGATGCAAACTCAGTGCAGAAGAAAAAGCACGGATCAAATCAAGAATTGAGGAGATACGAGCTGCATCGTCACAGGAAACGTAAGAGCTTACAATTTAAAGTGCTGCGAAGACGGGATTGTGCCATTTCAAGCTCCGAAGAGGATAAAGAACCACGAAAAGAGAGAAAGAGTAAAGCAAAGAAAAAACAACCTCTATTGCAAAGCAATCATCGTAATGGGTGTCATAATTCAACAGACGTTTACCCATCGACAACTGACGTCACCTCTCCAAACCAAAGTTCTCCGACGAAGGGGAAGAAAAACAACAATCGTACCTGTAATATATTCTGCAACAGCTTAAATTTCGGTAGGTGTCTCTTAAATAATCGAGTCTTTCAGAATATCATTTAATACACTATATGTTCGTCTATTGAACAGATATAACCCATCTGGATGACGTCATTGTACCACGTGTTGAGTTGGTAGATTTCATACCGTGTATGGATGGTTGTTATGTAACCAAGAAGCCGCTAAAACGTCAATAAAGATAAGTTGCACGATGTGGCTGTATTCAGAGTTGTTATACGCTCTGTAGTTTCTGTGAAGTTATGTTTTATACATGGATATTGGTTCTTTATGCTTAATGCATCAGTTGTAGGAAAAGACCGAACGGTTCTGGAGCCGGTTGCACGAAACCCTGATTGCGTTATCCATTGGATGATAAATTTTCAAACTTGTGAAAAAGATGGTTGTATTTTCTTTACGATAATGAAACCTCTAGAACTAATGTTGTTATTCATTCTTTGTCCAGTTCAAATCGTAGATTTTTCTCTTTTAAGCGATTTTTGAAGCATTTAAAATATTGCTATCTAGTGGATAGCGCTATTCGGCTTTTGTGCAACCCGCCCCCTGTTGTTTAATATTCTCAATCAAATTAAATCTCATCGTTTGTATTATATTCGGTTTGTAAAAAAGCGACATTACGTGTTCCCCTATAGAACTTGAAGAATAAGACTTCGTTCCCACCCAAGGTTGCTTCCTTTTTTCATGATAATATAAGTAGCTAGCTTTTGGGAGTAGATATCATTTACAACTTATGTTGTGTGAAAAACAGCTCAATACTCTCATGCTATCATCAAGAAGAAAGGCTTTTCATCTTCTTAAAATCATGCCCTAACTAGCTCCCTCCTTTCATATATACTGTCTACCCCCCCTCCAAACATTCCGTTTGGAGGTTTGAAATATGGATGAGCGTCGTCCATGACGCTGGCAAATTCTTACAGCAGTATTTCATACACAGTCTGAATTACTTAAAACAAAATTTTTACACGCAGGTGCACAGTTTTCGTGACCATTTTCCCGAAAATATGGGAATTAATTATTTGATGTGTTTTTTTAACGTTATCAGCCTGATAAGTGATAACTCACTCATCAATAGACAATTTATTTTTGATGACAGTTGTTGTTCGTGCGCGTTTGCATTGCAAGTAGTTGGTTTTGAAAGTTGTCAAAAAAGTAGAATAGCAAGGCAACGGAACGTAATCTCATACAACGAATTGAGTCCATTCTTAGAATTCTCCATGTTGAGTTGCCGGAATCAGTTAGGAAAAGCATTCTTGTGTTATTCATTTGAAAAATACTAAGATAAGTTGCCCCTTAACAATAGCTGCACGGCATTGCAAGATTTAAAAATTACTTCCGATGATCACGCGTAGTACTTGTCGAAACGTTTAGAACAAATTACGTTTACTTTTTACGGAGTGTCAATTGTTTTGTGTTTTACTAAAGTTACACGATTTCACCACAAAAATGTGCGTTGAGTTTTGTTCTAGGAAGAAACCCTTGCTGTTGATGGGTAAGGTGGAATCAATTGACATAAAGAAACTTTGCATTATTTAAGTCCTTACAAAATTCAATCCATTCTGCACCACTTCTGCACCCATGGCACCCATTGAGTTCTTTTATAACTCAATGTGAGACCTTACCACCCTCACCCATTGCCCTCACCTCAATACCTGACGTCATAATGTAATGGGAACTACCGCTGAATGAGCCTGCAAGACAAAACATGGTGGATGAAAATGAAAAAAAAGATAAGGTTAGTGTGATGCATTGAGTTCCTAAACGAAGGTGTATCGTCTCTGTTCTCTCGGTATTTAATATTGATTAATATCTATCTCTATGCAGTCCCAGGAAAATGCGCTAAAGTCGCAGAAACAAGTACTAATCCTTTTTTATTTTCATGTTGTTAAAGTAAAGTTACAAAGTATTATCTCGTTGGAAAAAACGGCTGTTATTTTTTAGATTGAAACAGCGGTCAAATTTTTGAACAACCCGCGAGTGAGGGAGACACCACTAAGCCAACGAAAGGCATTTCTTGTCAAAAAAGGTACGTTAATCAACAGTTTATAAGAACATGTGAACATGAACGTTTTATGAATTTTTTTATCTTCTTTCTTCTGTGACGTGATTTTCCAGGCTTAACTGATGATGAAATCCAAAAAGCCATTGAAATTTCAGGAAAAGAAGAGATAGCTATTCCTCAAAAGTGCGGGTGATTTTTAATTTCATTTTGAGTGTAATTTGTTGCTTATCCTGTTTTTTCTTGTTATTTATATGACTTGTTCTTGATTTTCTCGGAAGTGCTGCTCAAGTGTATGCTCACTATCCAGGTAATTAGATAGTGGTGAAAAAATTTTCTTTTTCTTTCAATCATGGAAAATATCAATCCAAAGGTGCAAATGGACACAAATGCCCGAAATATGTTACGTTTTTTGTTTTTTGCTTAACAACTTTGTTGAAACTTGCAACTTGACAAGTCTTGGGGGTGTAATTTCTCTTCTTTGCTGTCTGGTGTGCTAAAATATGATTGTCTTCATCTAACCTGTTTATGCAAGCTCAAAAATTCATTGTCTTGGTCAAGACATTGCATTTAAGATCAATTCTGTCTGGGCATATTTGGTTGACTTATTTATGGTTTATCAAGTCATGTTTCTTCCAAAAATACAACCTCGGTTTTGTAACATAACAATATTGGATTTAATGAGTGGATGGATGGTCTGTGCCTTGTGTTAATTACTTCATTTCGACCTTTAGTTCAACCTCCACCCAATTCATTGAGATTGCGTGATTTTTTCTGGGTTGCTCTTCTTGGCGGAGGTGTGGGTTATCTTCTTGCTCATTTGGTCAAGGTATTTTCAAATCATACTTTCCATTCATTACCAAGCATTGGGATATGGTTAGCATACAATCCAAATTTATGTTTCATGGAAATCACTAGCTAAGTAATTAATGTGATAAAATTAGTTTATATCAGAATATATGTTCTAACGAACACAAATATAGACAACTTGCCTTATTTACATTTTGCTGGCAGGCAGATTTGGTCAAGTAGTTTAGAACAACACAGCAACAACAGTCAACCTCTCTTGGGATTAATCTTCCCGCCAGCAAAACGTAAACAGGGCAAGTCATCTATATAGACATATTTTCAACAATAGTTGAAATTTTCAACTCAAGATTTGAGATTAACAGACACTGTGCAAGTATCATTTTGGACTTCATACAAACTCATCGGAAATAGGTCTATTTTTCAAAGTATGTTTTCTACTTTATTTGTCCATTTTGTTGATTATTCAAGATATTTTTTTATTTTGCAGAAGTATCTTCTCCCATTCATTATAAGTGAAACTAATGAGAGTGACGAGAAAATTGATCTACTACAGACCTCAGTGCATGAACTCAAAGAAAACCTAAGCCAAACAGGTGATAAGCAACTCTTATTTTTGCCTATTTAAAGGCTTACTATTTTCTAACATGATGTAACCAGTGATATGAAGGCGATGGGTATAACGAGAGATATGGCGAGAGATAGAGACGTTTGGCATAGAAAAATTCATGGACCGGTCAACCCCCCTGGCGGGGATTAATACTGGCCGGTATACAAATGTTGTTTGTTTGTTTGTTTCTTTGTAATCAGCCAGGTGCCACAAGTGCAAGGACTAGTGCCTACTCCTACCATGCATGGCCACTTTAACCATACATGCTCACTTTAACCATACATGGTTACTTTGACTCTTCATGGTCACTTTAACCATACATGCTCACTTTAACCATACATCGTCACCTTAACCATACATGGTCACTTTAACCATACATGATCACTTTAACCATACATGATCACTTTAACCATACATGATCACTTTAACCATACATGGTCACTTTGACTCTTCATGGTCACTTTAACCATACATGCTCACTTTAACCATACATCGTCACCTTAACCATACATGGTCACTTTAACCATACATGATCACTTTAACCATACATGATCACTTTAACCATACATGATCACTTTAACCATACATGCTCACTTTAACCATACATGCTCACTTTAACCATACATGGTCACTTTAACCATACATGATCACTTTAACCATACATGATCACTTTAATCATACATGGTCACTTTAACCATACATGATCACTTTAACCATACATGGTCACTTTAACCATACATGGTCTTTTTCACCATTCATGGTCTCTAGACATACATGGTCACTGTAACAGTACACAGTCACTACCATGCATCAAATTCTAAGTTATCTAAGTCTCTGAATATTACTGTAGAAAGAAACGATAGTTGGACCGGTAATCTTAGCAAGATATTAAATGCATATTAAAATAAGTTTTAGTTCGAAGTTCGCACTGTGGTAACGAAGTTTTTAAAAGCGATTTTAGATTGCGGGTGATGTGTTTTAGCTCTTGGTATCATAAACGGACCCCAGGACGCAGAGTAGGTACTTACTTCTCAGTGTGTTTGATCTATTGCAGTCAACAGTATACAAGGGACTTTGGAAACGGTTCAGAAAATGCTTCAAGAGCAGCAACAGAAAGTGCAATCACTGTCTCTTAATTTTTCTACTTCACAAGTGCGTATTTCAATGATCGAAAATCGATTCAATTGACGTTTCTGTTATGCATGCATTTTACTTATTTCAACTTGCTAGGCTTGTCTGTCTCAAAGTATGACAGAAAGTTACTCGTTGACCGAGATCAAATCTGAGCTGTCCTCATTGAAAGGCCTTCTGTTGAACAGGTTGAAGATTAAATTATTGAAGATCTTGACCTCTTTCACATTGACTCTCGGCAAATGAATCTTAAAATATTCATTTGAATAATCTATCATGTTCCAACACGTTTTTCGCAGACGTCAATTTCCATCGCCTGTTGTGCAGTCATCGCCGTTTCCCAGTATCCCGGCTTGGCAGAGAAACGATCCTCAAGTCTCTAGCGAGTCTGGCTCTGGTAGTATACTAATGTTATTTGCTAAACTAAAAAGATCCAATACGTGCTATGATTGGTCAAAACCCGTGCTTGGACAGAACATGAAATTGTCCAATGCAAATTTATTTCGTCTGCAGTACTAAAGTATTGACATTATTTCCAATCGTTTTCTCACTTTATTTTTGATTTATTGTAACTTTACTTTAAGACGCAATTACGCGAGGGAAAGAGCAAAACTCAGGTATATTGGAAATACCTAGTGCCCAGTCTTTTAGTGCAAACTCGATTGGTGGCAGTTGCGAGAAGACGGAGGATGAACTGCCTGATAAAAGCATCTCGACGATGTCATCCGAAATCGGATCCTCGGAAATCACCGATGCGAGTGATGTAAAGGAAAGGCTCTCTGATTCATATATTAAAATACAAACATAAATATAGTTCTATCTTGAGTAATTTATTAAGGTGCAAATACATAAATTCAACATCATTGTTAACTTGCAACTGGGGGATGATGAAAAAGATACGGGATTTAAACGATTTTTTCAAAAGGGCAATGAAATTGGAGAGTTGGGAAATTCAATATTGTTCTAAGTACTCTTATGTACTCTGCGAAAGTTTGATAATTAAATCTTTTGATTGGTCGGTTTGAATGAGAAGAGTCGACTGATTTCCACTGAAAATGTGTTCGATTTGTGGGGGGTCGGTGACTATTTTCATTTCTTACCATATTTATCCATAATTCAATGGTATTCATCCGACTTCGCTGATCGTCGTGGACCTTCCATGAGGTAGGTCCATGGTTCAACCTTCTCGAGAAGATTGGACTTTGATCCCTGACCCTGAAAACTTTTTGTATTGCGTAATAATTCGACAATGCGATTTGTCACAATGCGCATGCTCAACAATCATAAACAAGTCTGTTTTATTCTTTGTTGTACATCATTGTACAGATTACAGAATCCTTTTCCAGGAATTAAAGCACAACTTTGAGTTTCTATCGTCTGTTTTTTATGATAAATGTAAAGACTTACAGTGTTTCTCTATCCATCTGAAGTAAAAAGGTATGATATGGCCTATAAATTTCCTTTAAAATTGTCGTTTCTTTCACGTTAAAATGGTGCTCTTATGTCGGTGTTTGCGAATTAACGAATTGTTAGTAAACAAACTGAAAAGTTTATTCGTTTCCGGTCACCGAAGTTCTCGTTTTTAGTGGATTTTCAAATTTCAAGTATTAATACCGGGTTCAAAAGCAAACAAAATCCCGATCAGAAAGTTCTCAGTTAGGTCTGTAGATAGTTACATAATGCATGCGTTGACGCCAGTTAGTAAATTTCAGACTTAATTTAATTACTTTTAGTTTTCCTGCCGCTAAACTCACGATTTAAGAAGTCAGGAAAAGACTACTGTAAATTGTGCACTGCATGGTGAAGGGATAACACGATCGAAGGTGAGTTTTTCCTTTCAAATTGGCGTCAGACAATTTACCCCGGGGTCATAAGCCAGGACTTCCAGTGAGAGGACAAATATATTTGTCCTCCAGTTTAAACCGTCTTAATACGTTTTTCAATTTACTATTGGCGTATCTCTAGTAGACTGTTCACATAGAATGCACATTTGATAAGAATGTTTCTTTTAGTGACTTGACATTTTTCGGTGCTATGAACAAGGTCAACTTGTATCGTCACTTTCTACTTTCAAGTGTCAAGGAAAATGTTTTCAGATGCGAAGGTTAGTAAGTGTGTAGGCCATTAACATTATTAAAGTTATGAATATATTCTGTATCAAATGTTGACATGTCATGCTTGGATTGTGGGAAATCACATAATTGTAGTTTGCCTTTGAAAATGAAATAGCTCATTCTCATTTTTAACAACTGTTTCCTTCAAGAAACAGGAAAATTTTACAGCTGAACTTTGACAATATGTCTTGTTGATGTTTCATAGTGTTTGCCTTGTGTGTACACCTTAAATAGGAGCAATAAAATGTTTCTTGTAAGGTTTTTGTCTTTCCAATCCGTTGCTCTCAAGATCATTGAAGAAAACACAAATAAATGCATTGAATTTAAAATGTAATCTTCATGCAAGTAATGTTTACCTTGATGAGAAGAACAACACCCCTGATAAGGATGGCCCTACGGAAGGCAAGGAAAGCAAGGCTGGTCCTGCAGAAGGCAAAGAAAGCCAGGGTGAAGACAAATCACTTGATAAAGGTGGCAGGAAAGGAGGAAATGGAGGAAGTTATCTTCGATGCCCGAAGTGTGGTAGTCCTTGTACACATGTGGAGACATTTGTGTGTAAGTGATATGTTTCTTTTTTTGACATCAGCCAAAAAAATTAATTCTCACATATATTTGAGAGTTGCTGTAGCCAATCCGTCTCATTTATTACTCATCTACACAACCAATACAGCTACCATTGAATGGAGTACCTAGAGTAGCCTAAAGTAAATAGTCTTGAATACTAAATTATGTATGTAGTATCTATCCAGTAGGGTGGGAAGAACTCAAGCTGAGCTTATGTAACAACAAAATGTGCTTTTCAGGCTCTTACAACTGTGTGAGAAAATTTTTTTTGCCTTTTTTTGTTCCTTAGTCTGTTGAAAATACTTATTTTGTTATGCAACACTGAGGTGAAATTTGTTTTCTTTCAGCATCAACACGGTTTGTCAAGTGTGATAAATGTCATCATTTTTTTGTTGTGTTGTCCGAGCTTGACACAAGAAAGTCATTTAAATCCAACACGAAAAATCAGACAGACAATGCTGAACAGGCCATTGAAGTACCTAACAAGAAATTACCTCCACCCAGAAAGGTTTGTTTCATGTCAACATGTTGGTGTTGTAGAAGTGTTATAGCAACATGTTGGTGTTGTGGAAGTGTTATGGCAACATGTTGGTGTTATAGCAACATGTTGATGTTATGTCAACATGTTGATGTTATGTCAACATGTTGATGTTATGTCAACATGTTTATGTCATGTCAACATGTTGATGTTATGGCAACATGTTTATGTTATGTCAACATGTTTATGTTATGTCAACATGTTTATGTTATGTCAACATGTTTATGTTATGTCAACATGTTTATGTTATGTCAACATGTTTATGTTATGTCAACATGTTTATGTTATGTCAACATGTTTATGTCATGTCAACATGTTGATGTTATGGCAACATGTTTATGTTATGTCAACATGTTTATGTTATGTCAACATGTTTATGTCATGTCAACATGTTGATGTTATGGCAACATGTTTATGTTATGTCAACATGTTTATGTCATGTCAACATGTTTATGTTATGGCAACATGTTTATGTTATGGCAACATGTTTATGTTATGTCAACATGTTTATGTTATGTCAACATGTTTATGTTATGGCAACATGTTTATGTTATGTCAACATGTTTATGTCATGTCAACATGTTGATGTTATGGCATGTTTATGTTATGTCAACATGTTTATGTTATGTCAACATGTTTATGTCATGTCAACATGTTGATGTTATGGCAACATGTTTATGTTATGTCAACATGTTTATGTCATGTCAACATGTTTATGTTATGGCAACATGTTTATGTTATGGCAACATGTTTATGTTATGTCAACATGTTTATGTTATGTCAACATGTTTATGTTATGTCAACATGTTTATGTTATGGCAACATGTTTATGTTATGTCAACATGTTTATGTTATGTCAACATGTTTATGTTATGTCAACATGTTGGTGTTGTGGAAGTGTTATGGCAACATGTTGATGTTATGTCAATATGTTGGTGTTGTGGCAACATGTTGTCGTTAAGATTTGTGTGTTTTATATTTTCAATCATAAGTCAGAGGTTTTCATTGCATTTTATTTTTAGATCTTTGATTTTCTCAACAATTACGTAATTGGTCAAGAACAGGCCAAGAAAGTTCTTTCAGTTGCTGTCTACAACCATTACAAGAGACTTAAAGTCAATATCCCCGAAGAAACTTCAACACAGACTTCTCAGAACCCGTCACAAAGACCTTCAGTCATAGCACCTCCTCCTATTTCAGCAAACCCTCCCAGAGGTTCGTGTTGTATTTTTAAATCTTTCTTACTTTTGTTATCAAGTGGACGTCTTTCTTTAAGTTTTCATTGACTTATGTTGGGTTTGATACAATGTTGCTCAATGATAATTTTTACGAAGTACGCAGCTTGTTTGCGCGAATGCGTAATCAAACTCGTTACCTTAATGACCCGTTACCCTCGTACCTGGGACAGGTTGCACGAAGCAAGGATAGCGTTATCCATTGTATAGCAATTTTTTCAAACGCTTAAAAAACTTCATAAAAAGGAAAAGTATAAGGTTTGAACTGAACAATCACCGAGATGAAATATTTCTTCTAAAGATTACAAAGTTTCTTTGTCGTAACGAAAATATAAACACCTTTTAAAAAATTTACCATCTAATTGATAACGCTATCCAAGCTTCGTGCAACCGACCCTGTTGTGTATTTACAATATGTAAGTAAAAGCAAAGTACCCAATACACTATCACTAACCCTAATCCTAATCCTAACCCTAACCTTAATCCTAACCCTAACCCAATACACTATCATAGGTACGTATTACACCGTACACATAAATAAAATCGCTCCAATGTAAACGGTGGAAAACAAGACAAGAAGTGGTTATTTAGACTATACCTTGACATAGGTTCTATTAAAAATATTTTCATTTGCTATGAGAATCCATGAATGTTCACCGCATGAAACACGAATCAAAATTAAGTGTTAGTTAATGGAGAAATGAAATAAACATCTGAAGCATTCGTCGTTGATTCAAATTACGATTCAAAAGACAGCGGGGTTTTTGGAAACCTTTCACTATCCTTGGATCTCTAGTTTAGCTTTTCTGGTGTGGTCTTGATAGAGCTTTCTCGCCGAGAGAAGTTTCCTGATGAAATATTTGAGACTAACGTTGCTGGTCTTGATAGAGCTTTCTCGCCAGCCACGAGAGGAAGTTTCCCGATGAAATATTCGAAACTAACTCTTCTAGCCACGAGAGGAAGTTTCCTGATGAAATATTTGAAACTAACGTTGCTGGTCTTGATAGAGCTTTGATATGAAATATTCGAAACTAACGTTTCACCAGTATTTTTTCAATCACATTTTTGATCGCAGAGTTTATGAACTTGAAGTATTATTTTCCGTCGACTGAGGAACGAAAAAGATGTAAAATGTTTTCTCGCACACCCTTGGGAGTCCGATTGTGAATCCGTGTGACGGGTGGTGTAGGTTATATTTAGCACATTTTGTTGTTGCATCCGCACAACTTGACTAGAGTAGGATGGAACACTATAGAGATATGTATATGATTAGTAACTAAGACTGTTGAGTTTATGCTGCTACTGTTAGGGGCAGGGCTGCCCAGCAAATGTAATGGTAGCTATATTAACTGTTTTTATGAATGTAATAAATGTCAAGCTGGTGGCGGATTGACTGCAGCAGCTCCCAGTTGTGTGAGAATATTATTTTTTAATGCTACGGTATAGATCTTCCTGCCAATGTCACACGGGATCTTTCACAAGAAATGAAAATCGAAGCATTGTGCATCAAAATTGTCCCAGGGATTGAAAATCGTGTATCGAAATTATCCCGGGGAATTTCCTCCGTGTAATTCTTCAAATGTTTGCAATATTGAATTTCTTGAAATAAACTCTGTTTATCTACGCTAAGAAGGTATTAGTACCTTTACGCTGTTTGATCTTCCCTTTTAGAACTTTTACAAATGGCCATCAATTTGCATCACAACTCACCGTTGGGTGCAAACAAAGTAGAGTCCACTCAAAAGACAGCGACGTCGGATTCGTTTGTACATGGCAGTGAAGCACTGGATAGCAAGAGCGATAAAGTAAAACTAGACAAGAGCAACATTCTCATGCTCGGACCAACCGGTTCAGGTAAAGTGATTCCTTTTTGATTTGTCTTTTTATATGCTTGTATTTGTACATAAAGACGCCCTTAGTGGAAATCAACTTCGGTTGACGAGGCCAGCGTCTTAAAATAAAGATATTCCATTCGTTCGTTCGTTCGTTCGTTCGTTCGTTCATTCGTTCATTCGTTCGTTCATTCCTTCATTCATTCGTTCATTCGTTCGTTCATTCTTTCATTCTTTCATTCATTCATTCATCATCTTGGACCAATCTGTTTTATGTGTTTATTTTGCTCAAGTTAACTGTCACTCTTGGATTTATTTAGGCAAAACCTTGCTAGCTCAGACCATTGCAAGATGTCTAGATGTGCCTTTTGCTATCTGTGACTGCACAACTCTAACACAGGCTGGATATGTTGGTGAAGACATCGAATCTGTTATCGCCAAACTTCTCCAGGAAGCTAATTATAACGTTGATAAAGCTCAACAAGGTGATTATCGAATTAACTTTTCATGATGATGGCCCTGGGTCTATTGAAAAGACGAAGTTGCTTCTTTCGATTATGTCTTATTGAGTCATGCACTTAGCGAGGACGAAACATAAGAAATCATTGTACTTGATCTCTTTATTCTTATGTCATAGTGACGATGGTACATAAGAAATCATTGTATTTGATCTCTTTATTCTTATGTCATAGTGACGATGGTGCATAAGAAATCGTTGTACTTGATCTCTTTATTCTCATGTCATAGTGACGATGGTACATAAGAAGTATACCACTTCATAATTGTCTCTATTTTTGACAGGTATCGTATTTTTGGATGAAGTGGACAAGATAAGCTCTGTTCCAGGATTTCATCAGCTTCGCGATGTTGGTGGAGAAGGCGTACAACAGGTTTTTAAAAACGGAATAGTGATATTGAATGATATTGTGGAACGACGATACGAAGCAATATATACCTAAAACGATCATTAAATTTTACGTACAGGGCCTGTTGAAGATCCTCGAAGGCACCACAGTGAACGTTCCCGAAAAAAACTCCCGCAAAATGCGCGGTGAGACTATAGCTGTCGATACGACGAACATCTTATTTATCGCTTCAGGAGCTTTTAATGGCCTCGATAAGATCGTGAGCAGAAGAAAACAAGATAAGGTGACACGATTATGAACAGACTTCTAAGTATTTCAAATATGTTTTTCAACGGCCGTCCTTGAATGCAAGATGATATATTTTTTAAGGGAATTCTTTTCTCGTAAAACAGAGACTTTGTCGTTGTGACAAATTTAAAAATTGTCTTAAACAGAGTAAATACCATGATGAATGGTCGAATACTAACGTAGTAGTTCTTAAAAGAACTGTTTAAGTCAGAAAATTAAACCAACATTTCTAAAAGAACTGTTTTTTAAGTAGTACTACTATGAGTAGTCTGCCGAAATGCATAATGTCTTTTTAGCTTAAAAACATTTATTTTAGAACTGTTGGTTTAGTGTTCTGGCTTAAGCAGTTCTTTTAGAATTGTTGGTTTAGTGTTCTGGCTTAAACAGTTCTTTTAAGAACTATTACGTTAGTATTTGACCATTCACCATGGTATTTACTCTGTTTAAGGCAATTTTTGAATTTTTTTTTTAAGTGCATATTTCTTGATACATTGTTTCTCGGTTGAAAAAGGCAACTGAAAATAAACCCTAAATTCTAACAAATTAAAAGACGAAACGATTTCTCTTTATTTTAGGTGATGGGATTTCAAATGCGGCCGGTGAATGATAAACATAAAAATGGTAGTAATACAGTTGATATTTTCAACTATAAGATCAGTACCGAAAGTGAAAGCGCCGAAAAAGACTCCCTGCTCAAAGATGTCGAAGCGGGTGATTTGATAAAGTTTGGCATGATTCCGGAATTCGTTGGACGCATGCCGATTACTGTTAGTCTCCAGTCTCTCACACAAGACATGCTTGTGAGGATACTACAAGAGCCAAGGAACGCTTTGGTTCCACAATTTCGCACGCTCTTCGATATGGACAAGGTCAGGTGTTTGCCTACAGGCTTCGGTTGCCTGCAAAAAAATAAGTGGTTATCAATTTGCATCTTCTCTTTGATTAGGTTGAGTTGGAGTTCACTCCGGATGCACTTGGACTGCTCGTCAAGCCTTGGAGAGAAACACCGGGGCCCGTGGTCTCAGATCTATTTTGGTAAAGTTGACATTGATTACGATACTTCAATATGTGTTTGCATCATACCGATCCACCTTTTGTGTCGCGTTGTCAATGATGCTTTAAAAAAATTGATTTATTGTTAACAGTTTTCAAAATGAACGTTGTAAGAAACTGCAACAACGAGAAACGTTTTAGTTCATATCTTATTCGACAGCTTGATGACATGTGTAGGGAATAAGCACGTTCTTAAAATGTCGAGTACATTGACAGGATTTGTCTTTAAAGCGACAATATACAGGGTGTATGGAAAAAGAAAACCTTTAGACATTGTTATAGTTTTGATGTCTATCTTAATTGTACAATATCGTCAGCTACGTGCATATATTACATATCTTTGTTTCGAGCACCAAATGTTTCTGCTCTTAGAAATTTGACATATATAACTGCAAAAATGTATAATAATGCACCAGTGAGATTCGCATATTAATCTGGGGCCAGTTGCACGAAGCTTGGATAGAGTTATCCATTGGATTGTAAAATTTTCAAACTTGTGTTTATATTTTCGTTACGACAAAGAAGTCTTGTAATCTTAGAAGCAATATTTTATTTCAGTTATTGCACAGCTCAAAAATTATATTTTTCCTTTTTAAGAAGTTTTTCAACCGTTCAAAAAAATTTGCTATACAGTTTTTTAGCGCTATCCAGGCTTCGTGCAACCGGCCCCAGTAATTGAAATTTTCAAAACAGATTGATTTGTATGGTCTACTTTTTTCGATAGTCCATGTAGAATACTTAAGGTATGGCCGTTAAAAGGTCTATAACTAGGGGGTGTATGCATGCATTCAATCCATAGAAAATAATGGATTTCAAAGAACTCATTAGGCATTCATGCATGTATGAATATGAGCCATCTACCCAATTATGAATCTCCTTGATTTAAACTATCGTTTGAATGATTCCTTCAGGAAAAGTTGTTGCTCGAGCCGATGTTTGACGTTCCAGAGTCTGAGATCAATCACGTTTGCATAAATGATGAAGTCGTAAAGGGAGAAAGAACCGCCATCTACAGGACATTGGAAAAAAATATCGAAGACGATAACGTAGCTGCTGTTGAGGACGACGCGGACTCGTACAAGAAAGATGCAACGTCTAGCGCTTGAATCTTTGGTTTATCTTTTTGGAATATGGTGTCCTACTTTGTGTCTGGGTCTTGTTGGGTTGCATTGCAATGAATGATAGGTTTTAAGTGAAAGTTTTTTTTAATTGCAAATTTTTATCCTACTCGTGTGTCGTTTTTTACCTCTCACAAATCACCAATGTTAAATTCGAACTATTAATTAAATGAATGAAAGTATTGAAGATATAATTTTCCGTATGTTTTGATGCTGTGCTGCATTTATTCTAATAAACGTCCTCCACCCGATGAATGCCATATTCCTACAAATCCCCCTACCCAATGCCCTGAGATTTTTTTGATTAGTTCCTCTCCAATAAACGCCTCTTTCTTATAAAAACCTCTCTTTTGTGATATACTTCCCGCGCTACATTGAAAATAAAACGTCAATGTAAACACTTTTCGACTCGCTTTGGAATTTTTTACTTTTTGTTTCAAATTTATATCGAACATTCTTTCCCCCTTTCAAACCGAATTTTTATATTAATGCCAGGGTGTTTGTTAGAGTAAATGCTGTATATAACATCGTACGAAAATTTGTACGCTGTGCGTACACAAGGGTAGCGTATATATCATTTTAAAACATAGGAACGTATGTAACCATGTCTAGCTAAAAATTGTTTCATCTTGTAAAAATATGAGTTGGTCATTAATTCATTTCTCCCGACTAAATGTCAAACTTTCGACTCATTTTTTTACGAACGAAGAATGCATGGGAAATCTTATCACGAAAAACGACTTGAATAACCGTGCTGGCTTCTTCCATGCCTGACATTTTGTCCTACTCTACCTGTAATCTATATACTATGTAAATTTGAATCGATTATGGGCGTGGAGATTGACGTTTTATGTTAAGTTTGGTAAAATTAAAAATGTTGTATTTAATGGTGTACACTTTTCGTTTCATCTGAAAGTTTGCTGTTGAAAAGAGCTTTGTACATGAAACCAAAGATTTTTGGTAAGACCACTGTTGCCCGACTGGTCTTCATCATTTTAACCATCTCGTGGAAAACAAGCTTGATAAAGTAGGTGAGAGGGGGATCATGCTGGGATCTTGGTGATATAAATTTTAAATAACAAAGCACAAAATGGCGCTCAACTATCCATGACGGGAATGCCATAACACAGAGCGACGTGGAACGAGAGGCTTTGCTATGAGAATGGATTGTATTTTCATTTTAACATGATTTCAAATCTGTTTAACTCCCATCCATGAACCTTAGCTAGAAGGACAGGTCTCAGTATGTCGAAATTCGTGCCGATAAACGAGAATGATTTCAGTTTGTTCGGGGCCGAACTTTCCGGCCACGAGTTTGAGTATTTTTGTAAGCATATGGGTGCTTTTAGACGTATGTTCGAAGAGGAGGTACGACTTATCTGTTGTTTCTTTGTATTGCCGCTTATTTCATACGGAAACAGTGTTTAAATGATTTAAATCTAGTGTTGTCAATGTTCGTCGGATCATGTGATTCGGTTTTTCCCCTTTTTCAAACTGAAACCAAAATAATAAAACTACTTCTTGCTTCCAGAATACGTCGTTGTTATTACTGATAACGTTGTGACACAATGCTTTATTCATACATTTCAGTCAAAACAACGAAGAAAGGGATTTGTGGCTGCATTCAGTGCACATTCCTATCAACACCTCGACATCAAAGCGGTTGTGTCCATGGTAAAATGCTCTTCATCAAATTAGTGAATTAATATGTGCTGCTTTCTCCCATCATCATTTTCTCTTCTTCCAGAGCGATCCAAAGAGAAAGTTCATTGAGCAATTTTGCAACCATGTGAATGATGCTTACATTAATGGTATGTGCTTCTTATAAAAATTTGTCGGCCATGAAAGACGACTGTTAAGCTATCACTAATATTTAAATGATCCAAATTCCCCTCTCATGGTTGAAGATCATCTCATTTGAGGTCATCTTTGTTGAGTTTTGTGTAAGAAACAGAAGCAAATGCTCCCCCCCTGGGTACTTTCCACCTTTTTGCATCCATCCCTTAAATCCATCCCTCTGACATCATCTCTTAAGGACTATGCCAATTTTGATGCATTTTTTTTTGCATCAGCGAAATTCAACACAGCCAAACAATTCATGCATGATGCCTACAATGTGGCAAGGAACAGACATATGATTCAATTTATGGACTCGCGTTCTTATGGTAATTGAGGTTTAATTTATCATTCATACTACTTGTCAAGGAAGTCTGATGCAGACATCATCCTTATCACAGGAAGTTGCTTGTGTTATCGCACAGGAAGTTGCTTGTGTTATTGCACAGGAAGTTGCTTGTGTTATCGCACAGGAAGTTGCTTGTGTTATCATACAGGAAGTTGCTTGTGTTATCGCACAGGAAGTTGCTTGTGTTATTGCACAGGAAGTTGCTTGTGTTATCGCACAGGAAGTTGCTTGTGTTATTGCACAGAAAGTTGCTTGTGTTATTGCACAGGAAGTTGCTTGTGTTATCGCACAGGAAGTTGTTTGTGTTATCACACAGGAAGTTGCTTGTGTTATCGCACAGGAAGTTGTTTGTGTTATCGCACAGGAAGTTGTTTGTGTTATCGCATAGCAATAAATCATACAAATCAATATTTTAATGGAATTAAAATAAAATTATAATAGAGAATTGTGATGTTTGCATTGATCATCTGTTAAGCCAGTATAAGCAAATTCATGCATTTACTTAAGCCCAGACAGACAACATTAAATTATTACTGTTTTTATATTCTAGCCAAAGATCCTTTTTTTCGCAAGGACACCAGGTATTGTGAAATTACTTTGTATTGTAGAGTTATTCTGTGAAACCCTACTACTGATATGATGCTGGGTTATTTGTCAGTATTATAGAGATGGTTATAAAGAATATGAATAAATCGTATGAATTTGCTGCCATTGTCTGTTGGGCAGGGTCTTGGCTCAACTCTAACTTTGGTCAATTTGAAGAATCTAGTTTAATCAATTTATATGTTTGTCTCTAAGGGATTCTTTCAGACGACTTTTTGGTGAACCTAACGAAGCAGGAACTTGTGTGAAGGTAGAAAAACAACATGTCTAAATGTTCATTGTGCATATCTAAATGAGAAAAAAAAAATTTTATGTCTATGAATATCTTTTGAACAGACGTTTTGCAACCGAGTCTTTTGTCTTCATTAAGTGTGATGTGAAATTGAAATTGGACTCTTTAACTCCACTTTTCATCATTCATGACTTGTTTTTCAACAATGATCCTTTATGTTTGTAAATTGACATCAGTAGAAATCTGATGTCAAAACTCAAGTCCTTGTGTAGTCCAGTCTAGTTTCTTGACCAGAAGAGGTGTTAAAACAACATCTTTGTCCAGTGGCTGCATCGTTTTTAAAATTGAGCGCATTCAAATTTTGTGGGGTGTGGGGGGTGGATTGTTGTGGGGATTGGGTGGAGCATTGTTGTGTGGGGTGGGGCATTGTCAATAATTGTATCGGGGGGGAGGCATTGGGAATATTACATTTCAAAACAAAGTAATCAGGCTAAACACGCATATATGAATATGTCCCTTCTCAATCATGCACGTTCTGACGTTCCTGCCAAATCTGGTTGTGAAAATGTATTCAAACTTGCTTTACATCACTAGGTTGTCTGTATTTTGCCGCTCTTTGTAAGGTTTGCCGGCTCAGTATGTCGTTATCTCAAGAGATGGCTGGATGTGGAGAAGACTTTGACGTCAGTGGCAACCGTGAGCGACACGAAAAGCAAAGCTGAAAAGAAGGCCATGAAAAGTAAATTGCGAAAGGGAAAAGCGCAGAGGGAACCATCGATAAGATCGCCTGCGGAAACAGAAATAAGAACCGAGAAAAAGAAGTCAGAAGAGCACTCTTCTTCTCGAAGTGAATCCACTTGCAACACAAAGGCGAATGGTCCAGATGGTGACTCTAAGGCAAACATCGACGCCACAATCGATGCTTTTAATCGTTTTGCCGACTTTTATTGCTATATGAAGAAACACGACCCGAAACGTCTCGAACCCCGTGATTGTAAACCCAATTGTCCTGGACAATATTGTGAAAAACATCATTGTCTCTTGTCTATTACCGACGATCTCCATGACAACCATTATATCGACCACGTTGACTTTGAGGAGTGTCAATTTCCGACTCTGGAGGATGGAAACGACTGTCTGTACGATGAACACAAAGCAATGGTTCAAGAAGAAAGGATATTGGAGGAAGACATGGACAAGTTAACAATGAAGTGCGATAGCATGAACTTGAAGTCTGCCCGCAACGAACTTGACGCGATAAACGTAATTCGCGTAAATAATACTGACAAAGAGAATGACGAAGGCCATAACTCTGACGATAAGATGCTCAATGGTCAAAATTTCATAGTCAAAACTGCAGAAGAAAATGCTTGCGATTGGGAAGATTCGGGAGTTGGACATGTCGTGAAAGACGATGGTAATGATTTCGAGTTTTGTTCGGACGTCATGTTAGAGGATCCGAATGTCCAGCAAGGTGCTGATGAATTACCTGATGGTGACATTTCTCGTCCAGAGTGTAATGAAGATGTTGATGATGACAAGGCAGATGTTCTTTCAGGTAGTGTGTCGTCTGGTGGATTTGATAATCTTGAGGATTATGAAATCCGAGGTGAAACCCCTGTGGTTGCAGTTAGTGGGGAGGAAAATTTTGAGGATTTTAAATTCGGTAACAAGCCCCTCTTGATTAAAGCTAGCGAAGAAGAAAATGGCGACGATTTCGACTTTGAGAGCAAAACCGCCGTTATTGTCGGTGATGTGGGAGAAAATTTCGAGAATTTTGAATTCAGTCAACAACACAGCGAGATTGTGGGTAGTGAATGTGAAAATCTCGAGAATTTTGATTTCGGAAGAAAAACTCCTAGTGAAGGAGAAATTCCCCAGGATTCTCAATTTCACGATGCGCCTCCCCGAGTGGAAAGCCTCAAAATGGAAACATACGAGGATTCTGTGATTAATGATAATAAATCTCAAATTGAGAAGGAAAGTATGGAAGGAGAATATCACCTTAGTAACGAATCGGGAAATGAACCCGTGGAGGTTGAATACATCATGGATAGAAAGGATCATATGAGAGCGCGACATGGATACGGCATGAAGGACAAGTACATCGAAAATGAATTGTTCACCAGTGATGACTCTGATGATGTCGATCACGTTGACGATGAACGGTTCTTGAGAGAAAGTTTACCCGAAATGCATCTGTGCGAACCGCATCCGAACGAGCAGTATGAACGGTTGACGACAACATCGAGGGTGATTAGAAAAAAGAGGAATGGGGACAAGATTCGCAAGTGTTCATTTTGCAGGAGACCGGAGAACGAAGGCGAAAAATTCAAGAAATGTCAAAAGTAAGATGACGAATTTCGATTATTTTCTGTGTGTTCATTTACAAGAAGAAGCATTTGTATTCATAAACAAAAAAATAGAGATTTTTTCATTTCACTTTGTTAGTGATTCGAAGTTTGAACTGCTTGATAGTTGAAACATCATTTCGTTGAATTACACTCAACCTAACTGCCTCAAAATGTTTATTTATGCATAAATTTCATCCAATGTTCATTGGAGTTGGTATTTTAGCTAAGGTGAAAAAAACTGTATCCTATTTTTGTTAAGATGCAAAGGAAAAGGCACCAAATTTTACTGCAGTCGAGAATGCCAAAGTAAGTATAAACATTACATGTTTGTAAATTTAGATCGCCCTCCTGAGATGGCGTGTTGCTGTTGATAGATGTTTTAACAACATTAGTAGCAATTGTGTTCAGTGTCACGACTACCCCTAAGGATGTTGCAACGTCCATCAACATAAACCACAACAGTTCTCGGGATTCCAAGCTAACCGAGACGAACTACATCCATAAATATTTGTCGATACTCCTGGGTTTGACCATTCCCTTTAAGTAAACATGTTGAACGATGAAATGGCGAGCAACGATGACCAAGGAACACTGTTTCATTTTTGAAAGTGTAAAGATTGCTGGGATTCGTTTTTGATTTTACTTTCCCCTGTTGTTCGCCTTCATATTCTATATGTTTTTGGGTGTTACAAAGTTTTTGCATATTGCAATCGTGTCATTTACAGAAACTGAGCATTTGATCGTGAAATGTTTCTTAAACATTTTGTAAACAGTAAATGGGCCGTTTTGATACTCCATCGTTTTTTAGTGAAGAACTAAACTTAGAAAACCAGCGCTTGCTTATTCTCTTTGAGTTCGACAACGACGTTGATAAATGTTCATTTGGTAATCTATCATTGTCTTCGATATGATTTTTTCTTCTAGAGAAAGATTGGCGAGTACATCGTGTGAAGCACGCAATAACATAGTCCTTGATATAACGACAAGCTGTGTTTTTATTCTCAATATTTATTAAAATGTACATATTGAAGGTATTTATGTAAACTTTGGCATCACCTCCACACGTATGTACGTACACAGGCTATCAAAAAAATCCTATTCGGTTTTTATATGGTCGTATCGGATTAGATAGTGATGATGATCATATAATCCTAAGCTTGATTAATCTAATAGGTGGATTGCATGTTACGTCATGGCCGCCATGTTGGCGGTCAAATACAAAAGAATATTTTATTAATGCTATTGTCGGCTCCAGCAGTCGTGGGCGAGCTACGTTGTTCGATAATTCCCTGGAGTTTGGCTGAAATCCAAGATTAGACATCACGTCCAACCGATGCAAAGCTATGACTGAAGCAAGAGGAGTTATTGAATGTAATGTTATTTTTTTGTCGTGTGACTTTCGTCGAATGTTTTGGTACTTTGTTCCAATGCTGCTCCAGGTGTGAAAGCATTTTTGCTGGAGAGCAGTTCTTTTTTGACTGCCTGTATACGAACGCTAAAAAAGCTGTGCATGTGTCCGTACCTGGAAAATAAGCTGTATTTAGCATTGAATTATCTATAAATATTCTGTAAGTAGTAATAACGTGTTTCATTAGCTTTCAAAATGTTAGCCAACTCTACTAATTAGTTCAATTAGGTCAATTGTTGTAAAATGAAATTTTTACGTACGCGACTTTAATCCTCTTCTTTTCATGGATCGCCGTGCGTCACTAGTGGTTTTTGTAAAGGGTCGTTATACAGGGCAGGTCAAAGAATGTAACTTTTATTACTCATTTTCAAATTTCAATACCTATATGATCACAATGCTAATCTCACAAGAGCATTACTTAGCATGTTTTGCTGCTAGAAGATATGCTCTCGGCAGCAGAAAAGAACATATGCTCTCGGTAACAGAAAAGAAGATATGCTCTCGGCAGCAGAAAAGAAGATATGCTCTCGGCAGCAGAAAAGCTTTTGTTCTCGAAACAAAGACATGCACGTAGCTGACAATACTTTATTCACCCGCGGCTTAGCGTAGTGACAGGCGTTGAAATCAAAACAATCCGTCAGTTTCTCAAGTTCTCAAACATTACTATAAAACAATCATGTGGAACAAAATGCGGTTAATAAGATCTGTGGGTAAAGATAAAATTAACTTTAACTTTTTTTCGACTTATCAACTACGAGGTGTCATGTTAAAAAGTTGTCTTGTATTTACCAGATGAAGATCACGGAGAGGCGACAAATATACGAAGTATTCGAAAGTTTTGTGGTTGTGTAAAGCAATGTAAATTTGCTGCTTTAAATGGAATGGACGATGATTGAAGCTAATTTTCTGCTCGTTGCCGAAATGCGTGTCATTTGATTGCAGATCTAATAAATCGTGTTGATGAACAGTCAAGAACGTCAACATCTGTGAATGTAACTGAACAAGAAATGGAATCTATGACCTTGAAAAACTTGTTGAAAAATGTGCTCACTAAGAGCAGCTAAAGTCAATGGTTATTTTGATGGTTCCAGATGACAACAAATCATCGAAGTATATTCCTGCCAAGTGTAAACAGCAATTTCTAACTGAGCAAGAGAGAAATTTGAGAAAGCAAAGATGAAGAAAGATCTTGTATTTTGCCAACTTCTCGGTGATGGAAGATAATCTGGACATAAACTGACCAACAGCCAGACGAAAAATTTACGATATATTTGTTAAAAATTAAGGTCGATGACAGACCACGCAATAAGTAATGTTTGAAAGCTATTTCCAACGAAAACTGCACCCTATAATTGAAAGTTCTTTTGAATTTATCACGTCGAGTGCCGGGGTTATGTTTATACACAGTGCCATCTTATAACAACCAATTTTTTCCACAGAGTATTTAAAAAAAGAATATTGGTGTAACAAAATAAACAGCAATGGAAAAACCAAGTCATTTAGTCATATACTGGTATACTTGAGCACTTCTCCAGTTTTAATTTGATCATGACTTTAATCACCTCATAGGAAAGAAACCGACCAAACTGATGACATCCACAAAATATGCTCCTTCTATTCAGCTCGCTCATCAAAATCGTTCGAGTAACCGAGGTGAACAAGAAAATACCAGTGCTATTTGGAAAAGACCGAACTGTTGACATCCTTTGAAGATGCTTCGCCCACTCAGTCCTTTCGAAAAAAGCTATCAGCCTTAACCACACCAATCATTAAATGTACACAGTCTTTATATTCAACATTAGAAATCGTTCAAACAACTATTGATGGCAACTGCTGAAAGAAATCTGAGCAGGACTGAAACCGTTTTAAGATATGTCATATGGACGTACTTTTTTCGATATCATGAGCGAAAATAGATACCGTGGCTACAAATTATATTAATGTATTGCTGTTGTGTAACAAAACTGACGACAAACGATTCTCTCTGGCAAATAAATGCGTTTTGATGTATCTCTAATGTTCTTCTAAAAATGTCAATAGTTTAAAAGTTGATGATAGGAATTAAATATTTTTTTAGTACTTTAATTAATACACTATAGTAAAAAGACTAAACTTACCACCTTTCTCCAACTCACTCACTGGTAGAGTGGGTATGTGGAGGTTTCTCAGGTTGTGGTGTGAGGTTCGAATCTATCGAGGGTCAGTCAGTTGTTGTTGGGCTTGGTGTGTTGAGTATAAGACTTGCAATGAATGAGAACCTAGAATGTCAAGAGCACAGTAAGGGAAGATGATAGTGTACACGAGGTGTACAAATAGCAATTCTATTGTTGATTTTTCGAAAATGGAATGCGACACTTAGTATATTTTCAGAGAAAAAAAAAAGAAAAGGGGATCTGTTGCAAAAATTTTGCCCTAAAAAAACTAAGTCTTTTGATCAAATTTTTCTATGACTTCCCGAAGGAAGTCATTTTTTAATAGTCAGGAAACAGAGGGCAAACCGAACGCCCTTTCACATCCCCTCCTAACCTCAACCTTGCACACAATCCTCAATCTACAACCCGAACTGACGACGACACCGGGACGAACCAAGGACCTCGTGCATTGGAGGTCAGACAGAGCCTGTCAAGCCAGAAGCTCAACAACGAATACTAACAGTTTCTTGGCATATTTGCCCATTTTTTAAACTTTGAAGTAGAAATATACAATATACAAGGTGGTCTTGAACCTTAGAAGGTGCAACTACATTAGCCATGACTTTACCCTTAGTTATTTACGTATGATTGAACTTTAAAAAGCTAAAGAGAACGAAGTGGTCTTGAACACGAGGAGTGATCACCAAATCGTCATCTGTACCACACAGCCAAGCGAGCGAGATGGAATGCCAACGAAAACATTTCAAGTGTTTCGATAGAATAGCGTTTATTGCCTTTCATTACAGAAGGCTTTAGTTTATAAGGTGTTCAGAAAATGCCTTCGACGGCATCATAGTAATATTAGAACTTTAATGACAAGGGCTTGCTAATTGCACTCTAAGCAATAAATGTTTTTTTACCAAGAAGAAAGAAGAAGAATAAAGTATGACTAATGTCATCCATTGACATGTGGTGAATTGGCGTCATGACGCGCATGTCCTTAATCAAATTCGTTCATTTAAAAATGTTGTGAAAAAGCCATTTTCATCGTTATTTTTCCTCACCTTTCCCGTCGTCAATTTTAATGATCGCCATTTCAAACCTCTATCTTTCTATCTGCCTTCATTTCATTGTGTTGCCTTGTGTTGACATTCTTGTCTACTTTTATGTCTACCTTTATGTCTGCATTTATGTCGACCTTCTTGTCTACCATTGCTCGACTTTCTTAATTGTCTACTTTAGTGTGTTTAACCTTTCGTAGGACAAAGTCCTCATTTTGTTGAACACGACAATTGAAAAATTAGTGATTTCATGGACGAAAGTAGTCAATGTAATCGAAGTAATTTAATGAAGTCAATGTCGTGCATTGTTGTATGGTGGTGAATCAGGCAATGATCTTGTATGTGTGTCTTGTTGGTAACTTTTTTCACTGTTAGTAGTCGTTTTAAAAAGTCGTCATTTCCTAGGAGTTGTCTTTTCAATATTTGTCTCGATCTTTCCGTCTAAATATTAGTGATTTCATAGTCAAATGTAGTCGATGTAATCGAATGTAGTAGTCGTCTTTTCAACATTTGTGTCAACTTTCTTGTCTTACATTTTCATAGGAGACGACAAGTCTTCATTTTATACGGGAGAACATATGAAAAAGTTGTCGTTGCATAGAAGACGATATCATCAAAAGACATCATTTCATAAGTCTACATGTCCTTGTTTGGAATTATTAAACATGTCGGCGCACCAACACCAACGGTCAAAAAGATATGATGCATTGACTACTTTCGACCACGAAGTCGCTAATTTTTTAAATGCTGTGTTTGAAAAAATGAGGAGTTTGTCCTATGAAAAGGTAAACATAACGGTGGCCAAGAAAGTAGACACAAAGGTAGACAGGAAGGCAGACACAAAGGTAGACATAATGGTAAACATAACGGTAGACAGGAAGGTCGACACAAAGGTAGACAAGGAAATAAAGGTAGATAAAAGGATAGAGGTTTAAAATGGCGATTATTAATAATGACGACGGAAAAAGTGAGGAAAAATAACGATGAAAATGGCTTTTTCACAACATTTTTAAATGAACGAATTTGATTAAGGACATGCGCGTCATGACGCCAATTCACCACATGTCAATGGATGACATTAGTCATACTTTATTCTTCTTCTTTCTTCTTGTTAAAAAACATTTATTGCTTCGAGTTTAATTAGCAAGCCCTTGTCTTTAAAGTTCTAATATCGCTATGATGCCGTCGAAGGCATTTTCTAAACACCTTATAAACTAAAGCCTTATGTAATGAAAGGCAATAAATGTTATTCTATCGAAACACTTGAAATGTTTTCGTTGGCATTCCGTCTCGCTCGCTTGGCTGTGTGGTACAAATGAAGGTTTGGTGATCACTGCTCGTGTTCAAAACCACCTCGTTCTCTTTAGCTTTTTAAAGTTCAATCATACGTAAATAACTAAGGTAAAGTCATGGCTAATGTAGTTGCACTATCTAAGGTTCAAGACCACCTTGTGTATTATGTATTTCTACTTTAAAGTTAAAAAAATGGGCAAATATGCCAAGAAACTGTTAGTATTCGTTGTTGAGCTTCTGGCTTGACAGGCTCTGTCTGACCTCCAATGCACGAGGTCCTTGGTTCGTCCCGGTGTCGTCGTCAGTTCGGGTTGAAGATTGAGGATTGAGTGCAAGGTTGAGGTTAGGAGGGGATGTGAAAGGGCGTTCGGTTTGCCCTCTGTTTCCTGACTATTAAAAAATGACTTCCTTCGGGAAGTCATAGAAAAATTTGATCAAAAGACTTAGTTTTTTTAGGGCAAAATTTTTGCAACAGATCCCCTTTTCTTTTTTTTTTCTCTGAAAATATACTAAGTGTCGCATTCCATTCTCGAAAAATCAACAATAGAATTGCTATTTGTACACCTCGTGTACACTATCATCTGCCCTTGCTGTGCTCTTGACATTCTAGGTTCTCGTTCATTGCAAGTCTTATACTCAACACACCAAGCCCAACAACAACTGACTGACCCTCGATAGATTCGAACCTCACACCACAACCTGAGAAACCTCCACATACCCACTCGACCAGTGAGTGAGATGGAGAAGGGTGGTAAGTTTAGTCTTTTTACTATAGTGTATTAATTAAAGTAATAAAAAAACATAATTCCTAACATCAACTTTTAAAACATTGACATTTTTAGAAGAACATTAGAGATACATCAAAACGCATTTATTTGCCAGAGAGATTCATTTGTCGTCAGTTTTGTTACACAACAGCAATGCATTAATATAATTTATAGCCAAGGTATCTATTTTCGCTCATGATATCGAAAAAAGTAAGTCCACATAACATATTTTAAAACCGTTTCAGTCCTGTTCAGATTTCCTTTAGCAGTTGCCATCAAATTTCTTGTTGCCTTTTGGACATTTCAAAGATGTTGAATATAAACACTGGGTACATTTCATGATTGGTGTGATTAAGGCTGATAGCTTTTTTCGAAAGGACTGAGTGGGCGAAGAATCTTCACACGGATGTCAACAGTTTGGTCGCTGCTTCTATATGAGCTGATGCACCATAGCATTATTAGGTGTTGGCTTCATCGTTTGGATTGTAAGCTGTATTATTTCGGAATGCTGTAAATATTTCACGAGTCATGCCAAACTATAACCAAAGACTACATTTTTTCCTATTCTACATAGCGAATGTCACGGTAGCTTTTATCCTCTCTTTTTGTCCATAACCTGTCGCCGTTATGAATGTGAATAAAACCTTTATGTGAATGTTATGCAATCACTTATCTCTAAATACTGGAAGAAATTAGCTGTTATAGGATGCCATTGTGCCTAATCGCAACAGTATTCTACAATATCTGTTGTGTTCCACTTGCATACGATAAGGTAGTTTGATTACCGTCTTTCAAATCCTTAGACATGGTGCAGTATATCCACAGAAAAATAGCCTTTGCTGATCAACGTTGTTGTAAATATCCATTGGTTGCTTTGGACGTTAACGTTCAGTTTACATCAAGAATTGCTTCTAGAAATGACTTGGTCTTTCCTCTCCACGTGGTCTCTCAACAACTGTGTAATTTCTCACAAATTTCGATGAATTATCTGTCTTGCTACTCCAAGGTTCATGCCCAAATTATCTGCTATTACCGAGTAGTCTTCGAAACACTATTAACCAATCTTTTCCTTTCTTCTTGTGTTATTCGATTTCTCACTTGCATTTATGCATATCGTTCTTTTCATTCACATATGTACTGTATGTTGACTGGGTTTATATGTTCTGTACTTTTATGTAACTATGACCGTGCACAGATAATCCTATATGGGGCATTTTCTGCCCCATATGGGATTATGATAATTTCTTTATGATTATGATAAGTGTTTATGATAATTTCTTGCAGTGATGTTTAAATGATTTTTCACTTAGCGCCGTGGTGAAAAATTGAATGGTTGATATAAGTTGATGTATTGCCCATTGTTTTTCTCTTATCAAAGTAAATGATAAGGTGTTCTTTTTAAAATCTCTTAGACAATCACCATTGATCAGCGCTTTTGTTCTTCATTGAATGATATTGACGTATGTAACAATGCGTCTGTAATTTGAATTACGTGAAAAAATGATTGACTTTGATGTTTGAAAATGCAAATACGAGACAGGAAAAGACAAGAATGATAATACAAACAATTGTATCATCATTCTTGTCTCTTTTCACTTGTCCCAAATCCCACTCGACGAATGCTTGAATTTGCATAAAAACTAGTCCATAGAGTAAATTTATCGACATTTGATCATAAATTTCTGTGTTAAACAAAGTAAAAGTGAAAGCTCATGCACAACAAGTCGTTGGAATAAATGACTCTGCATTATAAAATCACTCAAAAGTTGAACTATTTTTAGAATTATTCAAGGACAATCATCCTGTTATATTTACGTTTGTAAAATAATTGATTTCCTATGAGAAAATTATGAAAATTCAGATTCTTTAGACTGCTGAAAACGGATATTTTCAAATTAGTTATCCTTATCGTCATTTCAATGGAGTCGTCTTTTCAAAGCTCTTTTCAACTATTTTTGTCTACCTGAGTGTCTACCTTTATGTCTACATTTATGTCTACCGTTGTGTCTACCTTTATGTTTAACTTTTTGTCCGTCTTTGTGTCTTTTTTTTGTCCAAATTTGTGTCTGCGTTTTTGTCCAACGTTTTGTCCAACTTTGGTCTACCTTTGTGTCTTCCTTTATGTCTATCTTTATGTCTATCTTTTTGTCTACCTTTATTCTACGTTACTCTCAACCTTTTTGTATACAACTAAAGTTTACTTTTGTGTGTCTACCTTTATGTCTACCTTGTAGTTTATATTTCTTATAGAAAAAGATAGACAGTAATAAAATACAAAAAATGTTGTATTAAAAAATATTTTTATGTACGTCTGCTGGTAGTCCACTTCATTTTTTTAAACTGCTTTTCTTACCAATGATGAAACACTATCTAACAGTTGACACTCAAGTACAGGCACTTAGATACGGCCGTGAAACACACACGAGGAATAAAACTTCTATGAACTCTCGAAAGTGCTTTTTTTGCTCCCATAAACACACTCTGATCATGTTAAATAAAGCACTTCTTGATGAAACGAGCGTAACTCCGACGTAGAAAACGCATTTTGTATATCACAGATGTTGAAGTTTCTCTCAAGTTTTCATCTAAAGTTCCGTGGACTTCATTCCAAGAAAATGATCGTTCGAACGACGATTTTTATAGCGTGAGCTCTGTTCATCCATGTCGTTGCTTTTTCTCGCGTGCTGTAAGAAAATATTGAAATAGCTCAACACCGACAGTTTATAAAATAGTTTTAACATTTATATAGCGATGAAATTATGAATTCAGAAAGCACAAAATCCTGTGCTGTGTCTTTCCGCAGCATGCTGTGTAAATTTCGAGATGTTAAGCACAACCGAAGGGCGGAGACAAGCTTCGTTATAACTAATACATCCAATTTAGAAAAAGAACCAAGGATAATAGCAGTAATTTAACACAGCGCGATTTTCCTAACCTCATAATCGTCTAGCCTGCTCTTGTATCCACCTCTACTTCGATGATTGATGTAATGAGACTCGTCACGAGTCCCTCCCCGTTGGTTCGAGTAACGATGCGTAGCCTGGACATCAGTTGGCATGCCCGTTTCAGGTCCTAACTCCAACAACACCTTAAAGTTGAGTTTATTATTCGCAGACTCCGATCTAACTTTGTACAAGGAATCGTGTGGCAAATGCGATCCCGAATAACGATGCGTGTGCGCATGATCCTCACGAACACGCGCGACTGACACGGAGGATTTCTGAACAGGAACGAGAGCTGGACTGAGAAGGCTATAAAAATTGAGAATTTCTTCAGTAAACTGTAGGGCAAGGAAATTGCTTCGTTTGATTGTTGGTTATAAGTCATGTGTGTTTTTACTACAATGTAAAGTAATATAAATTGTAACAGCATTTCATCATGGCATGACCTTATTTCGGACGACTAGCTATTAGAACATGCTACATACTTTTGCTTGAAATTAACAGAGAGCAGAAAACTTTCAAATTCAACTATGTACACGACATTGATTAATATGCCCAATTGAAGCGACTAAGAGATGGTCAGTGATGGCATAATTCTTAGTGAAACAAAACTTACATATCTGGCTCGGATTTATAAATATTTTGCGTCCTCTGTCGTGTCCTGACGTCTTCGTAAGATCTTCCTTGCCTAAACGACAAAAAAATACAGATAAAAACGACAGTGAATGGTTGCTTTCTCAACTTTATAAAAAATAAACTTCAATCGACGAAGAACAACAACGAACCTCTCTCTTGTCGCGCCAGGAATATTCTGAGTACTATCCACCCATTGTGCGGTGGGATCGTAGGGAACTTCAGGGTTCACAGGGTGATAACCTCGAATTCTTGTTCTTGGATTCTCTACGTTACTTACTCCCTCGGTTTCAGTCCCACTCGCATCGCCAGCTGAGGCATATCCTCGATTGTGACGACGACGTCGATGCCTTAAATGATACAAAGTAGAAACCATGTTACACACGGTCAAAACCATGTTACACACGGTCAAAACCACGTTACACACGGTCAAAACCACGTTACACACGGTCAAAACCACGTTACACGGTCAAAACCATGTTACACACGGTCAAAACCACGTTACACACGGTCAAAACCATGTTACACACGGTCAAAACCACGTTACACACGGTCAAAACCATGTTACACACGGTCAAAACCATGTTACACACGGTCAAAACCATGTTACACACGGTCAAAACCACGTCGAAATCCCATTCAAATAAGTTAATTAATGTAGCGCATTGACTTGTGAGATAAGATTGCGTTTTTATTTGCGATGCGCAGTGATTGTCTTTGGGACGAATGATGAAAAGGGAAATTAGCTTCGAAGAAGTATCAAAAAGTTCACGATGTACTTAGTTCTTGTACATCTGACATTTTCATTGTACAGGATAAAGTTAATTGTCAATATTTTAAAATGGATTCGAACCTCCTCCTCCGAACATCAGCCTCGTCATCTGACACATAGTTTCGTCCACCCCTTCTAAAAAAGAAAATGTTTAGAAAAAAAAGGAACGCGTTTATTAAGAAATAAGAGATGTTTACTCTGTTTACACAGGCCTATACAAACCGAGGAGCCCTTTGAGAGAACTCTAGAGCAAATCATTGCAATCAGGCTGCACCTGCTCGAGAGTTCTCCCAAAGGTCTCCTCGGTTTGCATAAGCCAGTGCAAACACGAAAAACATTTTTTATTTCTTAAATAAAACGTATTTCCTCCAAAACGTATTCATGATCGATTTGCAAATTCTATTTGACTGATTGATTATTTTGATTGACTTGATTGGTTGAGCTCAGATGTATTTTGCACAGGCTAATGCAAACACAGCTCTAGACCAATCACCGCACTTGTTTTATTGCTTTTATTTTATAATTCATAATGATCCATGGAACCTTCGACGGCCACTTTCAGTATCGCTTCCACTTAGATAACCAGGACGTCTGCCAGGTCTACAGTAAAAGAAGCACTATGAGATGATCTACATACATATATCTTTACAGTGGGATATTAAATGGATACATGTGGGATGTGTTGGAGCCATGTTGAATGTGGAGGGCATTTTAGATAGATGTACAATATGGTGGATAAGTATGCACATGAGAAATATGGTATCACTAAATCAGTTCCCAATCCAAGATAGGTCAAAATGAATTTGATGTTTATGAATTAAACACTACCATGTACTACAAAATAACAACAACTTACTTTGGAAATTTTGCCAATTGATTTCTGCCATTCTGAGTTCGATCGCCATTCGTGTAGAGTCCACTAGAGAATTTAAGTAAAATCATCATCAAACAGACATTAAATGTGTGATGAAAACAAATAATCAAAACTAAAAACAGTCTAGCGTTTCTCATCAAATAATAACCCAAACACTTCGAAGGAGTTAAACAAGTCCCGAACTCTCGAGGCTATGAACAATATGGAGCTAAAATCACCTTGATCTGGCTGTTCCGTTCATCTTTCCTTCACCACTGGACTGAGACCTTAGAAAAAACGCAAATCATCATCAGAAGTCTGGAAACGAATTTTAAAAGAGCTCAACTTAACGCGGGTACACAAATAAATTATGTGGACGTCAGCCATTCGCTACTTTCTTCTGCGCATGTCAAGCTAGCAAGAGCAAATCAGTAAACACTGAACTACTACTAACCATCTAATATTTCCGTTCGCAGCGTGCACAGGAGCGGACACGTTTGTTCCCGATGGAGATTTTCGTCCTAAGATGCTTGGTGTTGCTTGAAAAAAAATTAAACAACGACAGAGGTATAAGATTGTGGTATTCGACAAAATCAGGACAGCAGTCAGCGGTCATCCTAAGAAAAACTTAAACTGGCCTGGCTCTGAATCCAACATCATCCGTTAAGGGGGGATCCGGGGAATGATGGCTCGGAAGATTTATGGAATTCAGGTCCATGAAATTATTTCTCAACACTTCCCGCATTATGAGGACACAATGTGTGAAAGAAAGTTTGCAAAAAAAATCAACAAAGAAGACAAAACAAAACTCGAAATTCGTGGATTTCATATTTTGTGTGAAAGACTAAACAATGGAAAGTCCTAATTGCTATCGTTATATTTAAACATCGAGGCTTTAAATTTACCGTGTTCTTTACTACACACGTTACATATGCAACACGATAAATATTTAAAGTTTCAACAGTTTCACATTAGGGTAGGGTAGTACAAAAACATATTTTCTCAAAAACCTAACTTTCAAAACTCCCTAATTTTAGAAAATGAGAGATCTTAGGATTACCCCCCCCCTCTCTCAGGGTCAGCGGTTATAGTATGGCAGAAATCCCAGAGATATTTTGTCACCTTTTCGTTTTTCTTGAAAGCTGCGTCTTGGATACTTCTTACTGGCCATCCTAGGGAAAATTATGACAAACGTCATCCAACGCTTCCATTGTGCTCAGGAATGCATATAAAACAATACAACAGCCAGCTAAATATACAAAATATACCTAATTACTTCCGGTTGAAGACGTTTTCTTCCGAAACCCTCTCTGAGAGCCTCGTTCTGAGTTCGACCACTGTAGCGATGCTTCGATCCGGGACGTAAGAAGTTTTGAGGCGTTCGGCAGCCGCTCGAGCTCTTCTCTAACCTGGACAATCATTGAAGATTTTGTAGGGACTGCACGTAATCGACTTGAAATTTTTTTATAATGTACAATAGATCAATGGTGATAGTAATGCCGAGGTAGGCTGACTCTTCCAGTTTTGTTATACGGTCTGTGATAAACTCGTGAATAGCTATAGCAGTTTATTATATTTCGATTGTATTAATTAAGCTGAAGCATTATATGTCAAAGATCGCAATAAGAAACTGGATGTATTGAACTACAAAGAGACTTCTTAGGTACAGGTAATGTGAATGACCTACCTAAAGAATGCATGATGTTCAATGCAATTTATCCACAAGTGTTTGCAGGAAGATTTTCTCGGGAGTACAAACGTATAGCTGTCCTTTTTCTACTCGAAATAATAACAATTCATGCTCAGATAACACGACACAAGTAAGAGATGATGTTGAGCAGTTGAAGTGACAACGATAGTAATATTTCTACAAACTGCTTTCGTTTATTCTAACTAAATCATGAACGGAAAAATCACAATCTCACTCACGTTTTCCCCAAACAGCAAGATAGAATTTCTTTCCTTTAAAATACAATCTCGATATGGTTGACCTTAAAGAAAATTACACATCCTCTTTCATCAACGATTTGTTTTCAAGAAAAGTTATCACAAAATATAACACTTTTAAACGAGCAAACCCACCAAGGATAGTTTCCAATGATATTCCCTCGCTTCTTTACTAAAAGTCCAGAAGGTTTGATGCCAAACTCGTAGTCAACACCATCCTCTCCCTAAAAACCATCGTTCACATAGCCATGCAAATGCTTCATTCACAAAGTGCAACTCAGTGTCCAAATGCTTCAACAGCTTCATCTTTCGCTTGCCATTCTTACCTTAACGTGATGCATATCGGCACCATATAAATCTAACCATTTGGCTTTGTCTAAAAACTCCATCTCGCAGTCTGCTGGCACCATGTTCCTAATAGTTACAAAAAGACTATGTGTATCTTATGTACCTCAATGCACTCAATGTACCTTGGCGTCTTAAAAAGTACATAAAAAAATTCAGAGGAAGGATAAAATCGTGAACTATTTCATTTCTTGGCCTCAAGAGTATAGTTGGGTTGAATTTTACACCACGGTCGCCATATTGGTTGAATTTAAGAAGGGATTTTTTCGTTTATTATCAAAACTTCAAACAACATGGCGAAAATCTCTTTGACTTTGACTCTTTGGGAAATGGTTGCAAGTCACGAATAACTTATAGCTTATTTTACCAATGCATTGCATGAACAAATCTTTTATTTTTTTTTATGGCAAGATTAAATTCTTAGTTGAGTTAACAGAGCTTCAAACAGTAGAGATCATTGTATTTACCTTAAAGTCTCGTGGATTTTCTCAGCCTGTTCCTCCATTTCTCCGACTAATTTGAAACAAAAAGAATAAACATCCTTCGTTCACGCGATGAAAATTATACCAAAGTTGAGGAGGATGTATGAAATAACTTGTAACAACATGCAATAACCACTAAATTGCGGTAGAAACAACTGCAACAACTTGCAAAAAAACAATAAGCTGAAACAACTTCCATCAACTTGCGATGGAAATGAGAAAACAGCAGGTACTATTGGTTTCATCAATTTCTAATTCACGCTTTTTATAAAATTTCCACACGAGCAAATACTTTTAACGCAAACTTCAATTGAAGATAGCCCATACCTGATTTGGTAAAAACCGAAATTCCGAAGCATAACCTAAAGTATGACGTTTTGGGTCAAAATCACCAAGTTCGGCTGCAACAGAAAAAACCCAGTTGAGTCATCTATGAACGATAACTTTATATAAAACCAAAAGCAAACCTTGGAGAATGTAAGAGAACAATCTCGTGGCGACTGTAAACGAACAATGAAGTCTGAAAATACACGAAGAACGGCAAGCAATTAAGTCTGAAAAAAGAACAATTATGTCTGAAAAGACGAGCAATGCAGTCTGGAAAACGAACAGAGAACTAGACATATTGAATGGAGAAGGTAAAACGCGCGAATAACACATGAATAACACGTGAATTTTTCGCCCTGCATAAACCTCTCGTGTAATTTTTGGAATAAAAACCTTGCTACAAACCTTGACTGTAAAATATCTCGTTTCAATTGTTGGAAGAACAAGTATCTATTGTCGAAGAAAATAATTTTAGTTTTGTGGAACTATTTGCCAGACAAGGCATTACGGGTTGTGAATGGAATGCATTCAAAAACATCCACGAATATTCTTTGATCCATTCAAGATACATCATTATACCTCGTTATCTCTTCTTGTAACTTGCAAGGATCCGAAGAATAGAACCTCACGCTCAGGTAAAATACTGAAACGTCTGGAAAAAAGCGAATGGTTTATGTTAACAAGAAACTGTCAGTCAAGTGACTCAACATAGAGATTGAATAAAAAAGACGAAATATTAATCTTGCTATTTATACAAAACCCAACTTCAAAAAAACGATGTTCATTTCTGAAAATAAGTATAACCAACAAACGTTATAAATGGCAACGAAAGCAACTTGAACTAACTTCGATTTTGCTTTATTATCGATTTCTCCGGATCCAACCATCGCTGTGAAATAAACGAGTCGAATCAGTCAAATGAATCAATTAAATGAATCAGTGGTTTGGCTAAATGGAGCTGGGGAGAGGGGTGCAATAGTAGTTTGTTTAACAAAGACACGTTACCCCCACCCCACCCCCCGACCTTCAAATACTTACAGCCTCTTCGCAATGATCCATGAAGCGAAGTCCAAAGTAATCTCGTTCATACAGGTTTATCCGGTTAAAAATCTGATCTAGCAGTTCCCGACCCTTGGTGTGAGCCTGATTTAATGATAAATTGAAAAAACATGTTTCAAAACCAACATCGACCGAGCGCGAGTAAACTTTAAAGAAAAACAGTTGACTGCGATTGTTCTCGCAAAAAAAATATTGAAATGGAGTATTTGAAACCTAGGTAAACCGCTTTCAAGCATTTACCTCAAAGCAGTCGAAATTAAATAATTGAATTGGTCCGTACAGGCAATGTTGAAAGATGTCCATATGGATGTACTTGAAGAAATGGCAAATTACGTGAGGTCTGAGTCTATAGGCATTTTCACACGACAAGTTCAGCCAAGGAGCGAAATAACAAAAGTAAACAAATTAAGGCTATAAAGCATAGAGCTCTGTTCGAAAAAAAATTTCTGTCGTTCTGACAAAATGAAATGGCTGGTGATTGCCCCACCAAGGCATCTCATTGGATGGATAAATGAAGTTTCTTATTGTGGTTTTATACTTCTATAATTTTTTCTATAAAGACGAATGTGAAATTCAAAGAAATTCTCAGGCGAGTTTAAATCAAAGAACAATGGATCAAGTCTAATCCCACTTTTCACAAAATAACTAATGAACTTTAATTTGGACTGTCAAACGAAACTATAATCAGTGAGAACTTTTGGAACAAAGCAAAGTGGGAAGCAATTATACAAATAAGAAAATTCTGCATAGGTAATTAGCAACAATTATTCACAAATTTTTAAATCAGAATTCATGAAAGATGCATTCAATAGCTGTGGTGTGTTGCTAGGATCAAATATCCGAGAGCTAGAATACACCGACTGACCAATATCACAGATTTTTGACGTAGAGACGAACTTTATATTTTTGGAAACTCCAGTTAGTGAAAGAACGCACAACAAATTTACTTTCAATTAAACAATGCGTACAAAGCTAGTACAAAATGGAAAGTTAGTATTTCGTATGTACCTCTTATATTTAAGCAAATAGCACTAAAGTGAAGGGTCTTTATGCGTCTAAATAGCCACTATATTGCTGTGATGTTTGCTTAACAACGCACTTAATATCGTGCGGAGATGAATGAGAAACGAAACGCCTAGATGTATTGTTTAGAAAAACAATCGACCTTCACGTACTTGTTATAAACATACTACCGTTCAAATAAACCAAGGGTTCTTTCATTAACTCAAAGACGATCTTAATGAGAACAATCTTGTCTTCACTATTGAACTCGAATCGCATTTGAAAACTACGACCAATAAAATATCACAAAGATTTACACTTCAATTTTGCACAAGAAAAACAAATGCTAGCCAAGTCATTGGTTAAAAACTGTGAGCCCTGGGATGAATACACTTTGATCTATGTAAAAAAGCTCCCCAGGATGGCTAAAAGTAACTGCAATCTGAAGATTCTACGCCGTATTTTGAGCAATTTCTGCTATGATAACCACAATTATTTTGCTGCAAAAGATCTCGCTGTGTTATAGAATACGACCACGATCAAAGATCTAATTTGAATACCTTTATTTCGACAGCAATTTCGGTCTCGTCCAGCAGCACGACATGACAAATAATCACTTTATTATCTCCGCCGAAACATGACATTTTCAAGAGAATGGGGTCAAACAAATAAAATCTTTATTTTCCTATCGAAGCCTCTTCCCTCGACTTCTTCACTCGTGAAAAGGTTCGTGTACGACGTCAACTTAAGATTAACATTTGTTTACCTCCTCAAATAAAGTAGAAATTAACAACACATGCCTTACGACATGTGTAGTAAATGTACACTATGATAATCTCCGACATCCCATACATGGGCATTTAATTGTTTTCATTTGCCTTATTGGGAAAAGACCGGAAGTAAAAAGTGACGTTCGAAACGTTCGCAAAAGTATTCAGAACTGTTAATTGTTACTTTTAATATTGCTCAGGTATGCATAATATATTAAATACGTCAACTAGCCAAGCAGAGACAACCATATGGAGACCAACAGTAAGAAAGGACAATCTATGATAGGTATATATAAGATACATAATTGTGTTTGCGGTGTAGTATACAGCGCAATCTTTGACCACTAAATTATTATTGTGACACACAACTTCCGTCAATTAAAAGTCCCTATATACATTTATATAAATAAATAGAACCACCAAATAAATACACCGTTCTTTGTACACATGCGATCTCTTTTGCAGAGGGAACGGAAACCTCCTAGTTTAAGCTTTTTCTTCGCAAGAAATTGAATTGATCCGATAGGCATTGAAGACACCATCAAATATGCCATTCAAAATGAGGACACAACAACAAATTTACAAGGGATCTCTCAAGGGCTCAATAGGGTTGCACACAAACGGACTTTCAGCTTTCTTTACCAGAAGAAAAACATTGACATGGATGTCAAGCAGAGGCGAACGGTCCAACCAGAACTTCACTAAACTGACAAGCTCAGCAACACATGGCGACTGCATGCTATCTTCTGTTGGATGCAGCTCAGCATAGCAAGTGTACAAAGCATAATACATTGTTTCCCGACATGATTTGTACTCTTCATAAATTCCATCTGGGAAGACAAGATTTTCTATGAATCTTGTAACACTGTGATGGGCATTGTCGACAAATAGAAAGATTGACCCAACTGGGGTAAGCCTCAATAGTTCTCGAAAACGAGATGTGGACTTCTTCAGGAAGTGAATAGCTGACACAAATTTGACAAATGCATAGAAAGTGGCCTAAAATCAAAAGAGGATAAATGTCAAGATACTTTTGACAATGACACATGCTGGAGTTAAACCACTTCTCAAAAAGAGCAAAGCAATGTACTTATAGTTACTTTGGCACAAGTAAACAAGGAAATCTTCTCATTCTCTTCAACTAATACCTTTTTAAAAACATCAGAGTGATGAAGTTTTGACGTTATGTCGAAAGTTCCATAATTGAACTTGATGCCAGGAACATGTCGAAGCAAAAGTTTTGCGGACCTACACCAACTGTCACAGTTGTCCATGAGATACCACTCGGTGTTTGCAGGCAATAATTTATGTAAACCAAGGACCTCGCTGCCAGGTCCTGCTCCGATACAACAAACATGAAGAGGTCTAGATAAACATATAAATAGAGAGTAAGAACATGAGATTGCATGTCATTGTGAAATAAAAATTTCTCGATATGCATACATGGTGATCAAAACAATGAGAAAGCTTTTCATACAGTATGGTAAATGTTAACATTATAAGTGCAACTAAGCTTAATGCAGTGTTAATATACATATTGTCAATACAGTTATGTATACAACAGGGTAAATGTACATATAGTTATGATTACTTAAGTAATAATGTATGCATACACAGCTATGCACAATTACATTATCTTTTCCCTTTGCTGGATGTATCAAAGCAAGTTGACAGCAAGTGTACTTCTACTACTAAATATTTACCAATGTTTGATTCATTACAAAATCCACATAACTATTTTTAAGATCGCTTCACTTACTTCCCTGAATCTTTGCAATTCTGTATGAATTCGAGTAAAGGAGGAAAACAGCCCGAGTTGAAGGCTGCATGGACTAGACTGGCATGGGAACAACAGTACGTTCCAATGTATGCTGCCCGAATCTCGGCATCATGGAATGATGTACGATTTGTGGCTTGAGTTGAGAACTTCGTTGTCACTTGCATAAGCTTGTTGCGTAGTACCACCTGCCAAAAGCTTGGGTCTTGTTGAAGGATTTTCAATTCAACTTTTGTCTTTTCTTCAAGCTCATGTAGAGATTCCCTGAATGCATCCAACACCATCCAACATATATCCACTAAAAAATTTAAAATAAAATAATAAATCTGCCACATGCTCAGAAGCTACAAGAAAAATGTATAGGCCATGTTAGGCATCTTGTTTGTTTCTTATGGAGAGGTTAAGATATTCATCTTCTGTACCATGAAAATGACAGGATGGTTTGTTGTATAAATAAAACCTCAATAACTCTTAATATTCAACCATTCGCAGATTATAATATCAAACTACATTGCGGCAACAAAGAGACAGCTCAAGTTCATTGGTGTTTTAAACTCTTACCATTCATGGTGGTTTGAAAGAATGACCTGACTGCCTGAGGATAACTGGGCTGCGACACATCTGGTGTTCTCTTCTCTCCTACTTCATCTTCAATGGACTTTGAACCATTCATCAAAACTCTAGCATAACTAAGCATCTGTTTATCGATGACATTGACATCTGTTTCAACATGAGTCAAAGATGGTGAAAGACTCAGACTTTCGGCATATCTTGCTTTCAATTCCATATGGTATTGCTGAATGTCTTGGTGAATGACACATTCACGACACACTACATCAAATTCCTTGAAATTGAATATGGACAGAAAGGAGTATATGCACTTGAACATAGAACATTTCAAACATTGCTTCAATGCATCTTTTAACATGAGGCCGTTTCGAAAAGCAACTTGGGTGGCCTGAATAGCATTGCAATCTTGACAAACGCGTTCGCTTGACGATTTGAACCATTCCTCAATGTCGTAAAAACAAAGAGGGATCTTTCGTGTACATTTCTGGCAAGTCTGCAGCCTGTCGTAAACACAGTCAGCACAGATGCTTGGTCGTTGGCCTCCAAACAATGCTTTTAATCCGTTGTATGATATATACCTCTCCAATGGCTGTCTTTGATTCGGATGAAGAGAAAATATCTCTGACATACATCCGACACGACGACAGTTGAAGCAACTTTTCGCTTCCATATCCGTTGAGAAATTGTCATTGATGACATTTACAGTAAAAGGCAAGTGTACCCATGTGACACGCTATGCTTAAAACAATACATTGTCTCTTTGCTCTTAAGTATTTGTTGTGAATAACTTGAATTTTCCAAAAAATTTTAAACAGCTACGCTGGCAGTACAATAATACAATATTCGAATGACGACATAAAACAATATTGTATCGACGTCACTTTCGCGCATTTTAGGCCCCCGGAGTTTTGGTGAGAACTATTTTTCGACTCCAAGAAAATTATAATGAAATTTCACGAATTCAAATCGATTTTCGCGAAATTAACAAATCGAAAAATTCATCATGCGATGTTCGTTTTACAATCACGTTATCTGAAAATGGACACGCAAGCCTTAATAAAAATCAATAGATAAAAATAATCGCACAATTTTAAAGTTAATTTAGGGAATTTCAAGGCAAAAGCACGGTAACAATTTCATAACCTAAGTATCAAATTCCACCAAACTGATCGAAGATCTCCTTTCCGGAAGAAAACCTCAAGTCATTCTGATGAAAGTAGCCATCAACGGCCACAAGTAATGCAACCGAGATTAATAATTAATCGCAAAATGTATTGGGCAATATTAATGAATTTTTTCTAAACCAGTAATCCCCCGTTGTCACATCGATAATCCCAATGTAACTGAATGCACAGAATTTTAGAAGGAAATGAAATATCCATGCAGGTGGCAATCATTGCAAATTGCTCTGTGGCTTATCTTATAAAAGTTCGCCATCAGATTGGACGAAATCGTGGGGTTGTGCAGGTTGCTAATAATCGGAAAGTTTCAAATAACAAGGTCGCTCATAGCAACATATTAAACACATGATATTGGTTGTTCAGTGAGTTCGAGTTTGATGGCTGACGCAATCGAGGATTCAAACGCGAGCAGATAATACGTGAAATCGTGCAGTAGGGAAGCTAGTTGATTTGTAAACACCAAAGTAAGCGAATATTCACAAATTTCTATTTTATCTTCGTGTGTTGTGCGTCGACTTTATTGACCATTGCTAATGTGCTATCACTAGTCACTACATTCTCACGAAATACACAATAAATAATATATTCAACTCATACAATCGTAGTTCAAATTTTAACTTTTCAGTTCAATAATTGCGTACAGTCGCTTCCCGACAGCATCCTAAAGATCCCTCGGATGCCTTCAATACACTTTCGTAACCCCAACTGTCAAAAAGTTACTACTGAATCGTTATCAGACGGAGTATTTGAATAAGTTTTGTAATGACTCCGAGGCAGTACTCTACGGGCATCGACAGTTTCCAGAACATGTTTGGCTACAGCAAAGACCCGTCGGTTCATCTTCTTTTCGCGTAGATGAAGTACCCCGAGGGACATACCTCAGACCACCATACGCTTCGCGATTAACGTATTATGATGAAATGAACGACAGAAAAATTACCAGGGCACCAAGATGTCACACAACGCAACCCAAAAAACCGGACAAGTGCACACAATTAAGTCGGCCAAAAAGCGAAGAAGGTCGGACTATAGAAGATAGCCACCAAAGAAGGAAACAAGACATCGACAAAATGACTTTGCAAAAATATCGTGAAACAAGCCACGAGAACATGATTGGTCCACGCGTCTTCTTCCATCCAACAATTCCTCCACCCCGTCGCGATTACGTTATTCATCCCGCGTTTCATTCCGAAGCAAAAAAACGCCCGCGCAATGTACCGGTCAGGAAACATCCAGTCAGCGGGAAAGAAAAAGATCGCAAGTTTGATATCAGGAAAAACAGAATACTACCAATTGAAAAATAGACTGGAATACAGATTTGACTAAATGAGTACGAGGTGCAATCATCACAAAAACTATACTCCACTGAATGCTAAGTTCTTTGTTTCAAAAAGTTCTTCCTGGAAAGGAAAAAAGCTACAATTTAATGTTTAAATTTAAAACTGACATAAAACTGATTCAAAGAGAACGAAGTTTGATTAATTATGAAGACCTTACCTGTCACTACCATTCCTTCTTCTATGTCTCGGTTTCTTTGAAGAAATTTCAATAAAACTTTTCTATCCAATCTTCATGTAACATATTTTCATATTCCTGTCAGGTTGTTTGTACAATCGCACATTTTCTTTCCTGTTTGGTTCGTGACGATACACTCCGCTTGCGCTGATGCAAAACATTTCGCATTCATTTCCAAAAACGAAATACTTTATTATCGGTTCGCTGCTCTCGAGTTCTCCCCAAGATCTCCTCAGTTTGCACAAGTCTGTGCATACACACGAAACATCCTTTATTTCTTAAGCAATAATTAGCAAAACCATGAACGAACTCAAACTCACTAAACAACATTGTTGAGTGAAACAAAGCATTACCCGAAATCAAACTGTAAAAAATTGATCAAACTGATCGGCAAAAATCACGGAAGCATTTTGCAGTTTTAGTAGCCTTATTGTAGTTCAAAGCTCGCAATCGGAACTTCACATTTCGTTAACTTAAAGCGTTTACGATACGAAATTTCTCATCATCGTAAACGAAGCATCTCTTAAAATTTTCAACAACGCTTTCTTTTTGAACAATTTGTGATGTGTAAATTTTCATTCCTCTCAATAAGACAATAAAAATTCATGCAGCCCGTATCAAAAATCTTCTTTAATTTATATATCATGTAAGATAAAGATGAATTCAGTTTTCAAGTTAATTGAGGCTTATGAAGCCACTTATCTGAGCGAACCTCTCAAGCGGACTTGCTCTTTAAGGTGCCGGACGGTTTCGGCAACATGTCCACCAAAAGTGAAAATTTCTGCAAATGAAAACAAAGAAGCTGAAAAGAATTTTTAGCGAATTCTACAAGCCATATTAAAATGACCGATATGAACTTTTCGAACCTTCCAAATTTCCCACAAGAAAAACGAAAAATCGTTAAATATCTAATCGTGGTGATATCTAATCGAAAGATGTACGGAGTGTTTATCAACCAGTTCCATGATTTGCACATGGATGTACGATTAAAAAATGAAATATTTATTGAAAAAAATAATCACATAGAAGATTGGGATCTCTAAGAAGGAAACGTGCAGAAAAGGAAAACTACTAAGTAAACCCCCAAACCATGAACTTTCAGGCTAGTTCACGCGATCCAAAAGATCTGCTTGAAACGGCCCGGACAACACTGGCCCGTAAAGATCAAAAAAGTCTTCTACATTTAAAATGTCTTCCAAGTCTCTTTCACTACAAGTCTAGGTTAACAATAAGCAGTGACTTTATCTTGGAAACTCAATCTCCGTTCTCTTCTCGGCTCATGTAGGGTACGGTCAAACCCTAATGAGAGCGATTCATAGAAAAGTGGGAGGGACGGGAAGTGGATCGATACCATGAAATTTGGAAAGAGCATCGAGTATAATATTAGACAATGTATATCAGTAAATACATAACAGCACTACATAAAGTAAATTCTGCACAAAAGATTTACGAACTGTTTGTCAATGAATTCCGTGTTTTGCACATAAATGTACGATTAAAAAAGGAATACTTTAGCAAACGACTGCAAAAACGGACAGTTACTAGAGAAACGACTTTCGTACGATACTCACAATCACTTAAAACTTACAGCGATGCTATGCTTACCGTAATTGCTAAGTAAAACAGACCAATGTAACAGGTTATACCAGCAGCAAGAAACAAATCAAAAACAGCCGGTTTCACCCTAAAAAACAAAGAGCGCGATTATTAGCGAAGATTAAATCGATTGATGGTGAAAAATAATAGATGTCTCAAACAAAAAGGTCAGTTAAGATTCATCACAACAAATCAAAACTCCGACGACAGTATGAACTAGAACATTATTAATCTCTACCTGTAGGCAAACATGGTCGCCTCCAAAGCATCGTAGAATACAAAATCAGGATCTCTATACGAAAGAAACGGGAGGGTAGATAAACACTACTAGGATGATGGATCATCAGATGATGGAACAGACGTTTAGGTCTGTTCACACGATCCAAAAGATGACGAGCAAACAAATGTCTTCCGAGTCTCTTTCACTGCAAGTCTGGGTTAACATTAAGCAGTGACTTTGTCTTGGAAGTTTAATCTCCTTTCTCTTCTCGGCTCAAGGAAGGGTATGGTCGAACCCTTATGAGAGCGATTCATAGAAAAGGGGAGAGAGAAGAGGGGAGGTTAGAGGGGAAGATGAGGGAAGAGGAGAGGGATGAAAGAGGGAGAGGAAGGGAAGAGAGAAGTGGAATCATTAAATTTGGAAAGAGCATCGAGAGTACTATGTTATCAATTACGTAACACTACCAAAAGCAACTTCCCTTAACTCGTGTATGCACTTGAAGAAGTTCATACCTTTTATCAGCTTTAATGTTAATCCTCTTCACTTCTTTTATGTATTTCGATAAATGCTAAGAAAATGAAGTATTTGAACAAATGCTAAGAGATGACGTATTTAGTCAAAATACGAAGAGACGACTTATTTCTAACTAGGGATCGAAGGATAGTGCGAAGTTTCTTTCAGAGATTAAAAACACAAACGCTTAAAGAACAACGACAAAACAACAAGTTGAATAGTTTTATTTCGTATTGAATACATCAGTAATACGGCTTCACTCTACAGATATAGAGTAAAATGCTAGTTTTCTGTTGTCACAATACAGCAAAACTAAAAATGCTACCTGCAACTGCCTTAACATTAGATGACGTTGCAATAACAATCCGACACGACAGAAAAACACCATAGACAGGTAGCTACGCATTTACACAATACACATAATGAAGCTGACCTGTTCGAAAGCTTTCAGCAACGGATGATTCTTCGTTATAAATTGAACAGCTCGAGGATGGCTAGTCAAATAATAGTGCCATGTCTCCACGAAGTCCATATTGAGGTCCTAAATCGAGTCAAAAAGTTCCATCAACTTTTACAACGGTTATGCGTGGATTTCAGGTTTCCGACATCAAATTTACAAAGTATGCGGATGTCTACAAGCTCAGATTTAGAGCACACACCTACTTACTACGTGACGACGAGAAGACTAAAACTGTCGATTAGCTGCGTAATTTTTTCAAAAGGTATTCTTAGAAGATACATACGTGTTTTGGCAATACAAGAGAAACATTAGAAATATTTATATGAGGTGACATACCATGGCGCCGTTAAAGATCTCCACGTGACCACGGAATATCTAAAGTAAAATATAAAAGAAAATGAAGGTTGTGACGTAATACCAATGAAAATAATGGGATTACTATAGCGAGCATCCCTTATCAATGTTCGTATCTTCCAGTCGCGGAGAGGGTAAAATCGCGAGAGAAGATATCGATGGATGTTCTAGGGCTTGTTGACTCTCATTGTATGCAATATTCAGAACGTGTAGAAGATCGAAGGTGAAACTTCATGTAAATCTACTTCAATCGGCAGCGAAATGAATGAATCATAAATACCATAATAGTGCTCAAGACGGCAACTCGTTATTATTTACATTGTAATTAAAATCTACGTAATGACTGTGAGTGTCAACACATGAGTCCGTGTTACACATATATAAAATGTCGTCCAAGTCTCTTTCACTGCAAATCAGTACGACAATAAGCAGTGACTTTGTCAAGGACATTTCATCTCCTTTCCCTTCCCAACTCAAGTAGGATATGGTCACACCCTAATGAGAGCGATTCACAGAGAAAGGAAATGCATTGACAATGGCGGACGCTTAATGAAATATTGGGAAGGACGGGGGGTCGTCCTCAAGGCAAGAAATTTCTAGGGAAGGACGGGGGGTCGTCCTCAAGGCAAGAAATTTCTAGGGAAGGACGGGGGGTCGTCCTCAAGGCAAGAAATTTCTAGGGAAGGACGGGGGGTCGTCCTCAAGGCATAAGATTTCTAGGGAAGATTCCGGGGCATGCCTATTGGTATACTTTCAAAATTTGATCTCCATAAAATCAATTTAAGCATTCCCATGTATACACATAATCCTACACACACAAGGTCTGCTGGTACGTGTACAGTGCAGACGTCTATAAAATAGTTATTACTTTAACATCACAGTGTCCGCCACTGTGCATTGATTGAAACATTTAGCATGAAGGTAATTGCACGCTGTATTGACTAAGTTTATAGCACCTTCGATGAAGTGTTGTAGACGTGTCTTGCGATTGCCTCCGCGATGAAACGTATATGCTGTTCCAAAATATTGATGTTGACGGGTCTATAAAACAGGAATACGTGTTAATTGAAGGAAATGAGCTCAACAAGATAACACATTGAAGATTGCGTCACTCCAAATGAACGGGTCTATAAAACAGGAATACGTGTTAATTGAAGGAAATGAGCTCAAGAAGATAACACATTGAAGAGTGCTTCACTCCAAATGAAACCACCTCAAACGAACAACATCAGATGACTTGTATAAACAATAGACAAGAGTATATGAGACATCAGGTTTCAACATCAGAGCACTATTAAAAACACTAGACCAAACTATAGAAAGCTTCAGGCTTCGAAAACAGATCACTACCAATGAAGTCATTAGACGGGAATATAGAAGACCTCAAGTTCCTACATCAGATCACTACCGATGAAGACATTGGACGGGAGAATGTAATGCCTCAAGTTCCAGCATTTCACCGTTCCCGATAAAAACACCCGACTGAACTATATAAGTCCTCAAGTTTCAAGACAAGATCTAGAACTGCAACCAACTGCTGTATGTAGATAAACTAAAGATTTTACACTAGACCCTAACCTGATTAATAAAACGACGTGAAGTACTGTACATAAGAATCTCCTACTGTACATAAAAATACTGTACATAAAAATCTCCTACTGTACATAAGAATCTCCTATGTACATAAGAATCTCTAATGTATATAAGAATCTCCTAAGTTTCAAAATATGTCAACATCAATGCTAAATATCACTTACTCCTTTTGAATGATCGACCTTCGCCCTAATTCTTTGGGTTTACTAAAATGCGATAAGGTACCAGCAGGAAGACGACGTAATGAGAACCGTTCGTGTTCCCAGGCGACCAGCTCCTCCGCTAAATTTACCTTTTTGTGAACAAGCGTGAAATTAACGCCGCTATAAAGTTCGGCAACCTCCCGAAATGCTTCGACAAGTCGATGTCCGGGCGTATTTTCTTTTGGCGGTTTGGATACATGCATGAAAATTTGGTTTGAGATGCCGATACTGTCAAGACACAACACGTATTCCACTTCGTTCAGAATGCTGTTTTCCGAGTTTTCAATTTGATCCTCGAGCCATTTTCTTGTACCTAGATAGTTGAAGTTCCCACCACCGGAGAGGAGAAACACAATGTTGTATCTGAGATCTCACGTCAGGGAAATTTATTCAAATGTTTCTATCGAAGTTCGGGGATAATCCGGGATGAAAGAGAGAGCAGTTTCGGGATAACCCGGGGTAACACGGAGTAGTTCAGGAATAACCCAAGATAACAGAGCATTCCGCAGAAAGCCCGGAATAACAGAGAGCAGTTATTAAGGCGATAAACCAAAACAGATAGCAGTTCAGGGATAAACCATGATAACACATAAAAGTTCAGGGATGAACCATGATAACAGATAAAAGTTCAGGGATAAACCATGATAACACATAAAAGTTCAGGGATGAACCATGATAACTCATAAAAGTTCAGGGATAAACAATGATAACACATAAAAGTTCAGGGATAAACCATGATAACACATAAAAGTTCAGGGATAAACAATGATAACACATAAAAGTTCAGGGATAAACAATGATAACAGATAGCAGTACAGGGATAAACCATGATAACAGATAGGAGTTCAGGGATAAACCATGATAACAGATAGGAGTTCAGGGATAAACCATGATAACAGATAGGAGCTTAGGGATAAACTATGATAACAGATAGCAGTTCAGGGATAAACTATGATAACAGATAGCAGTTCAGGGATAAACCATGATAACAGATAGGAGCTTAGGGATAAACAATGATAACAGATAGGAGCTCATGGATAAACAATGATAACAGATAGGAATTCAGGGATGAATCAGTTTAAAGAGAGCACATTCTTTCGTTTACAATACTGCAATGTCCATGTGCACAGAGTTGAAGCTTTTCATTTGCACACGCCATGGAACGAGGCCTTCACAAAAAATTCACGAGTCATTTGCTTTAAGTCACACAATATCGTTCGCTGTACAATCAAAAGGATACTTTGCCTTCATCGTTTCATCGTCATAAAGTTGCGCGAAAATTCGAGCGATTTCAAGAAGAGCAACGATTCCGTTCGCGTTGGAGTCAGCACCAGTCGCAAGACCCTAAAAAAGGAACCAGTATTTCATAACAGACATCCAACTCTTATTGCCACTATAATTGAGCATAGTACAACAATATAGCTGCTATTTAAAGGAACAATGGAACGGACCGGTGTCAACTGAGAGGACACAGGTCCTTCTGTCGAGAATTTCTAAATTCTGCAGTAAAATGCCGCAACTCAACGAGGAAACTAACAAATAAGGAAATTCTATACGACAAAAATTAAGTAGACGAGATATTGACGAGAGTACGACAGCATAACTGACCCTCCTGAAATTTAACATCTACGTATGCATGGATTAACGAGAGCACGACAGCATAACTGACCCTCCTGAAATTTAACATCTACGTATGCATGGATTGAAGAGAGCGCGACAGCATAACAGACCCTCCTGAAATTTAACATCTACGTATGCATGGATTGACGAGAGCGCGACAGCATAACTGACCCTCCTGAAATTTAACATCTACGTATGCATGGATTGAAGAGAGCGCGACAGCATAACTGACCCTCCTGAAATTTAACATCTACGTATGCATGGATTGACGAGAGCGCGACAGCATAACTGACCCTCCTGAAATTTAACATCTACGTATGCATGGATTGAAGAGAGCGCGACAGCATAACTGACCCTCCTGCAATTTAACATCTACGTATGCATGGATTGAAGAGAGCGCGACAGCATAACTGACCCTCCTGAAATTTAACATCTACGTATGCATGGATTGACGAGAGCGCGACAGCATAACTGACCCTCCTGAAATTTAACATCTACGTATGCATGGATTGACGAGAGCGCGACAGCATAACTGACCCTCCTGCAATTTAACATCTACGTATGCATGGATTGAAGAGAGCGCGACAGCATAACTGACCCTCCTGAAATTTAACATCTACGTATGCATGGATGAATTCTCGAGAATAAAACACAATTCTGGAACAGAAACTAGTGAAAGCACTCCTTGTTTTACTTTCATCTCACCCCTTCCCTCATTAATTTCAAAGATTTACTCATAACAGATTGACCCCTTATAGCGTTTAGCGTAGGTTCATCCGTTAATTCTTATATGAGCTGATGAATATCATTGAATAAACTTACAGGGGCAATACCAAATGAATCATAATGAACAACAATGGCTAATGTTGGTGATTGTGAACACTAACAGAGGCAATACCAAATGAATCATAACGAGTAGCGATGGCTAAAGTAGGTAATTGTGTACACTTACAGGTGCAATACCAAATGAATCATAATGAGTAGCGAAGGCTAAAGTAGGTAATTGTGTACACTTACAGGGCAATACCAAATGAATCATAATGAACAACAATGGCTAATGTTGGTGATTGTGAACACTAACAGGGCAATACCAAATGAATCATAACGAGTAGCGATGGCTAAAGTAGGTAATTGTGTACACTTACAGGTGCAATACCAAATGAATCATAATGAGTAACGATGGCTAAAGTAGGTAATTGTTCATCAATCCCATCTCCAACCAGACGACCCTGTATGTTGGTTAGAACAAAATCTTTCATTTGCTTCGCCTCACTAGTACTTGCAACCATTTGATAACCGCTCGTTGAAGCAACATCAAATAATGCTGAAAATACAATCATTCCGAAATTGACGGATGAATTCAATGCGACACAGAGACTGGGATAATAATTGCAAACTTTTCCCCCATTAAGACATCGAGGGAAAATACAGTTGAATGAATTTCAACCATCTGAATTATAAATAATACAGATGACGTTGTATTCGACAATAAACGACGCTCGTTTTTACTATACAACAATATCATCAGAAATTTATGGAAAAATCACACGCGAATTTTGTCACATTAACATGGGTCTTTTGACAAAATCTCCAATCATTTCATCGACTGATCTGAATAGCACAAGTTTGCTCACAAAATTGCCGACAACAAGCCATAATTTAGGCTCAGGAAAGCACCACTCACAGATTGACCAACAATGAAGGCATGGCATTGGAAAATGCCAGAACCCCCCCCCCACACAAGCGTAGACCCAGTAATGTGTCCCCCCCCAACAAATCTATAGCACGAAAAAACAAAGAAAAACCTTTTGCTGATTGAAATACCTTCAAAGCTGTGCCAGCCTGATCACTTGTTGTAGCTTTGCTTATCTGACCATGTATCTGAAACAACTCCTCATCTTCTCGAGTGAAATACGGCAGGCTGAAATTCCTCGAGTAACATCTGTTCTTCGAGCTCCTGCAAATGCTATTGCGAACAAGTTGAAATTAGTTCTCACACACAAAGAAGCGGAGGTTACAGACACAACTAGAGGTTGAAAATTGTTGATTTTCTCCATCAACGACAGTCAGTAAACTGTCAAGTTCGGGAACAAACCCCCCCTTCTGAATTTTTTTCTTGGATGCATACCAATGAGAAGTGGAATCTAGTGTATCAAATGAGAAAACAAACCACGAAATATAAACAGTATCATTTTTCAATACTAATAACATATAACTGATGAATTGGATCACCAATTATCCTGGCAAGAGCCACAGGACTGTGGGGGATTTCCCCCAAATTCAAATACACTACATATAAGTGACTTTTCATCATTTGGACCTGAGTTATTTAAAGAATTAATCCATCTAGTCCATCCATTAAAAATTTCAAATTATTAGTCGACTCATTTCGTTGCTCTCTTCAATTCAAAATATTTCATTATGCGTTAATCATTGCATTTAAATATTGCTATTCTGTCCAATTTTCTAACCCGAAAGTACAATAGCAGAATACATAAGGGAACAACTTGCATAAATAGGAATAGTTATCCATTCCGGTAAATTATGGAGAAATATCAATCACGTTATTAATCAATCTACATAAACTTGTAATTTTCACAAATCAAGGAGCAGTGCAGTTGCAATATCCAAGTTCATCAAAGTTGTTTGAACATGGAGGTTGAGTACATTAGATACACACACATATATGTAATAATAAAAATAACTACCTCAATTCCAAATATGTATAGCAATACAATATTCCATAGTAATGCTTTTAAATTATCTTCACAAAAACATCTACGAATTGTCACAATCATTTTAATACCTCTATTTCTTCAGGAGAGTAAGATGATATATTTGTAGGCAAAAGGACAAGGACAGCCCCTACTCCTTGTCCAACCATCGCTTTAAAGTGGTCATAAGCCAAATCTCTCATTCTTACTACAATGCATCTTCTAGAGACGGTTCGTGCCGTAACCGGACGAGCTTCCATGTTGACCAAAGCACTTCTTGAACCTGAATTGTTATCAATATAGGGCATGTCACAAAATGAAGAACATCTTCTATTACATAATTTACATTTTAAGTGGTCAAAGACTGTTGTTTTTCACTTTGGGTAGCTCATATAGCAGACATGTCACATATGTTACATTGGTTCTCATTCTCTGCTGTTCATTCATCACTACCTACACTGACACATGTTATCTCAGTTTATATTTTAGGTAGTGTAAAGACTGTTCTTGTTCTCTGTTGCTCATTCATCACTACCTACACTGACACATGTTATCTTAGTTTATATTTTAGGTAGTGTAAAGACTGTCCTTGTTTTCTGTTGTTCATTCATCATTACCCACACTGACACACGTTATCTTAGTTTATATTTTAGGTAGTGTAAAGACTGTTCTTGTTCTCTGTTGTTCATTCATCACTACCTACACTGACACATGTTATCTTAGTTTATATTTTAGGTAGTGTAAAGACTGTTCTTGTTCTCTGTTGCTCATTCATCATTACCCACACTGACACACGTTATCTTAGTTTATATTTTAGGTAGTGTAAAGACTGTTCTTGTTCTCTGTTGTTCATTCATCACTACCTACACTGACACATGTTATCTTAGTTTATATTTTAGGCAGTGTAAAGACTGTCCTTGTTTTCTGTTGTTCATTCATCATTACCCACACTGACACACGTTATCTTAGTTTCTATTTTAGGTAGTGTAAAGACTGTTCTTGTTCTCTGTTGTTTATTCATTACTATCTACACTGACACACGTTATCTTAGTTTATATCTTAGGTAGTGTAAAGACTGTTCTCGTTCTCTGTTGTTCATTCATCACTACCTACACTGACACATGTTATCTTAGTTTATATTTTAGGTAGTGCAAAGACTGTTCTCTTTCTCTGTTGTTCATTCATCACTACCTACACTGACACATGTTATCTTAGTTTATATTTTAGGTAGTGTAAAGACTGTTCTCTTTCTCTGTTGTTCATTCATCATTACCTACACAGACACATGTTATCTCAGTTTATATTTTAGGTAGTGTAAAGACAGTTCTTGTTCTCTGTTGTTCATTCATCACTACCTACACTGACACATAAAGTGTCACATCAAGTGTCAGTGTCAGTGTTATATTTTAGATAGTGTAAAGACTGTTCTTGTTCATTTATCATAACAAACACATACACCAAAGGTATACATTTTGTGAAATTCTGCCAATAAGCACCGTTCTAACAAAAACTATACATGCATTTGACCATTGCGAGCTCAAATAAAATAATTCGCGTTTTTAAACTCAAATTAATTTACTGCTCATGGTTTCCAATACGATAACTATTAATTGTATCTATACTTCGCTCTCAACTATCCAAATACGATGCACACAACAACAAATTATTAGAAAAACATGTCTTCCACTCACCATATGGCACGCCATGTAGGTCATAATGCTGCATGCGAAAGGCTCTAAATTCGTGTGCTGCATTGACTGGAGCCGTAAGAAAACGACTGGTATCACAATAAGTACACTGGCGCATACTGGGAAGGTTTTAAAAACTCCAACAAATCAATTTCCATCATTTTAAGAGAATTTTACAGTGAATGCTGTTGCAATTTTGAACCATTGAACGAAAAATGAAAATGGTGAATATATGAGCCCGTGGCAGTTGTAAAAATACAGCGGTTGTCTGGAAAGAGGAGACGAATAGGTACGCTAGACGTACGCAAGGCAAATCATGCTGAGGCAAGTTGAAAATACCATTGGATCATTAGTTCAAATTACATGCTCACAAACATTTTAATTAAAACAAATCAAGGTCAAGAGATTCCGGCTTTGACTGACAGAAGACAGACAAGCAAGTCAATTTGACAACATAATAGAGTGCAGTTGTGAGATTGGCATACTGGTCGCGTTGCTCAAAGCATTCTGACCGTATTCACTTACGCTCCGTTTTTGATGCATCAGAGATTTCGAGCGCATGTCAACTCAACTCATGCGTCCACAACTTCCATTCCGGAGAAAATATTTCACGAACAAAAGTGATGTTTCCAATTGTCATTATCGTAAAGTTATGTAAACAAATTAACATCTTCGATTTTGTTTACTTATTGTTTTATAATGACGAATTTACGACAACTAATTTGAGATTTGCACAATTTTTGAGCCAGCAAAGCACGAAAATAGCGTGAAGACGAAGAATATTACTCCTGAAGTCTACTTAAAAATAGCTAAAAATTCCTACAGGTTATAATGGCTCAAGTTTATCAGGCACTGTTGCCTCATTATTTACTCAATAATGCACGTGAGTTCCTCGAAATAAACAAGCGCAAAGCATTAAAATACTAATAAAACGGAGTTGTAAGGCCAAAATGTCACAAATTCCGAAGACACTCAACAAACAAAAAGAGAAAACTACACGATTTTTGCTGATAGCAGAATAAACTATGCAACGCTTTGAATAAGGAAGAACACCCGATTCTAAAGTAGAATACGACATCGCGAGACTCTGTTTTGGTCATCGCGAGCACGCTCGGGTAAATTCTTCTCGCTTTTCTCGGCACGAGGACAAAGAATTTTTTTTAATAAAAAAGGGCAAATTGTGGTAATAAAGCTTGAATGACATTTTCCCCACCTATAATTATCAATGTTTTTCATTCGTATCGAGGACAGCATGGCGTCCAATTATAACCCCGCTAGCCTCAAAACAAAAAAAATCAACCATCGACAGTACCAAGTCGCATGGCAAAAATTGACAGCGGAAATCGATTTCCCGATTCTCCGACACAAAAGACGTCAGCATACAATAGAGATCGCCAAAACCATCAGTGTTTACGCAAAAACAGAGACGCAAACAGCTCCATCTTCGTGATGATAGCATTTGCATGAAATTACCCAACAGCAAATATTACAAATGTCCATATTTCCATTTAATTGCTCTGATCAACAACAAAATTATCATTCATCATTTGCAAAGAAGATCGGAAGAGACGTTCATTATGTTCAACAATTATCGCGATTTGAAATGGTCACAAAGGAGAGCTTTGGAGAAAAGCGAATATGAAGACAAATAAGACCAAAAATGAGACTTATTCACAAAAGTACGGGTGGTTGCTTATAATTTTTACACGAAATCTAACTATATACAAATCTTTATAAATAAAATTACCTAATTGAACGACAACTGACACATTTCAATTGCTCGAGTAAACCTAAACGATCGAGTCGCAACAAGGAGACGTTATTCAAATTATACATGTAGAAGGAAGCAATAAGCACGAATCCTTGCTTTCAATCATGCACCAAGTAAACTTTAAGAATAATGGGCTCGGCACCGTCGGTTTAAATAAGAAAATACACTAATAACAAATCAGTTCAACACGAACAGCGAAATTGTACAAACGAAAAGCAGTGACCATGAAAGGCAAGGAAGAAAGAAGGCAGAGTTGCCAAGTGTGGTCAGTCTATCTTCTCCGTGTATTTTCGTTAAGTCTGTGTCGTTATAGTAAATAAAGTAGGGCTTCCCGGATCCATCTAAGCCCGGACGACATTTCAGTTGTTGAGCATGAGCTTTGATCGCATGGCAGTATGCTTCGTACGTGCCGTCGCACTCACAATCCATCAATGGCTTGCCGTGTTCCGACTCGTACAATCGTTCCTGCGCCGCCAAACATTCTTTATCGCATCGCAAACCGTTGATCAAATTTGTACAATCTTGAAGGAAGGTCCTCTTCAACGTCGAGCATTTCGTGTCCGCCATACAACTCGCCAACGCCAGCGTACAACTCTGCTTCGGTTTCATCGCTTTCGCATGTAGACATCTTGAAATACGAGACTTGGACATCAGGCAGTGACCATCCTGTTCACAATCGCAACGGTGCAGCTCGCTGCCGAGTTTTGTACCTTTCAGTTTGTGTATCGCACGAAAGCAATCCTCGGAACAGGGCTTCGCCGTGGCAAAAACGTGAGATGTCGCGTTCATAGTTCTTCTAGCTAAAGGCCTCATCTTCAATTCGCATAGAGAGGATACATTATACAACGCAATTGCGCACATAAACACATCCTGGTGGCATTTCTTTCTGGCTACCGTACACACAACTCTCTCGGATGCGCTCAATTTCAGCACTTGAAGTAGACCAAGGATGAAAGAGGCCGTGACTCGATACATAATAGCAAAAGCCGTTCACCTAACTGAATGCGATACACCTGAATACTGGTGTTTGCAAATGCGCCGTCAACGTTGTTAAACGACACTCAGATGCGAAACAGTGAAATACGAGATGACTTTACACCGCTCACGTTTCGCGTTATATATGGTTAAAGGGCGGAAACACTTAAGTTTTAATAAGTTAAACATATTGCATATTCTTCTGTTCTTCGACAACACAATATCTGAGTTTTTGTGCCAAAAAAAAACCTCGAAGGAAATGATTTGTAGTACGGCAAGTCCTACAGTGCGATAGCATGATAATATCGCTACTGTCATAACATTAAACCATGTATATTTATACATGTTCCGAGCATGGCAGGCCTGAAAGCGACAAATGGAGAATAACTGGGTATTCCCGCTGCGACTACACGGCCGCCAATTCGACAAACTAAAATCAGTAGGCAAACTTATTGGTTATTTACACGATGGTGGGAATTGTAAACACGAGTTTATGATTTTCAACCGCGAAAGCATGCTTCGACCAAGAGCCTCTGAGCTTAACGCAAGCAACGCGAAGGGTAGTCACATCGATAATTCAGCCCTTACAATAAGTCCGATGTTGGCCAATCCAGAACTAAAACAGCGACAGCAAGCTATAACATTGATATTTCGCGTGCATCGCGGTCTCAAAATAACTGGCCACGGTATTCTCTCGTCTTCCGTGTGGTAAAGTATTTTTGGTAAACAGCAATATGTAAAAAAAAGGGCTTTGTGTCTAAATCCAGCCGTGTGTAGTAACAAGACAATTGCCGTCCCTTCAAAGTGTCGACCAGTCGACTAAAAGAGTTGTGGCACATGGCAACAACGTTGCAACATAAACACACATATCGACACACAGGATCGATACACGAGCCCCGAGGTTTAGTAGATTCGTAAGACTGCGGTTTTAATCCAATGGCATTATCTCTTAAAACAGCTAAAAACGCCGAGAATTAAATAGCTTACAAAAGAAACACAAAGTATTTTCGAGCTAAATCATGCAAAACACATAAGGATTACTTGAACACGAAAGGAAGAATGTTGGAGACTTTGAGCATGCTTACGCTAATAGCAGTTGCAGGCACTGGTCCAGAATGGCAGCCAGAAACACCCCAATCCAAATCCTTCATATTTTTCAAAGAAACCTCTTACGAACTTTTAACAAAAACGGACAAACACACGTGCATTGATCCAAATCATTTGACTCATTACCCTCCCCCCAAAAAAATATCATCAAGATTCTGCCATTTATTGATGGTAGTGTCATGATGTTGCAATTTTTCTTTCCATCATGATATGGAATATATGTTCAAAAGCAGCGCCCTAAGCAGATTGGGTTCGAAACAAAATTATCTACCTTTAGGCCTCTTGGTATATAATCTCTTTAATTTTAGGCTCTCGTTCAGCTGGGCCCCCAAATTGCTCCTTTATAGCTCCCTTTCTAAGAGGCCCAGCTTTTACCCCCTTTCAGAAAGACCTCAATGCAATCATTATGCCTCTCCAGTTGTGAGGTGAAAGTTCACACAGGATGCGAGCTTAATAGCTTAACAAACAGGAAATAGATGCTAGTATCTTCGAAGCAATTTAGTGCTGGAAAAATAAAAACTTTAAGAGCCTCTCATCGGTAAAAGTTACCAACTGGATACGTGCAACAGTATTGTTGAATAACTACAGATGATGGCCGTAAAACTATCAATTGACTGCACATTGAAGAATGAACTCATTAGTAATTACATAATACATGTGAATGTGCACATACTAAACATACTTTAAAATGCGAATAGTCCACAATTACTCCACGAAAATCAACTTTTCCCTAAATATTTGCTAATTAATCGCTAATTTATGTCGCTGCACATGAGTGCATTTCTCGCAATTAAATATTTAATATTCTGCTCAAAATATTTTAATTTTCGGTTTAAAAATCTCGAAGCTTCACAGAATGCTGACTGTTACGTCTCGAATTTACACGTAACATCACGTCAGACGGCAAGATTTGTGTTCGTTGTTTAAAAAAAAGCGTTCACTTGTTGACCAAAACAGGGTACTCATAGCAAGCGTTGTATTCTGTTTCAAACATTCCTATATTAGCAATGTCGTTAATTGTAACTAAGAATGAACAACAGTGAGATATAATATCGTTTCATCGCATACACGTGCCTACTTTGAGGTCAAAACCACAATTCCGTGGGCACTAATATCAACTATATTTATAAAAATAAATTTTGTGTTCGCTCGCGCTGTTTCGACAGTCACGCTATTTCGCTTAAGACCCATTTACTTTAGTCAAGATTGAGGAAAAATTAAGGAGCAATGGACTCTCATAATGAAACTCGAATGCAGATAATTATCTTTTAATGGATTGTCCATACGGCAGGCAAATGGATGAGAGAGATTTTTGTTCAACTTCTTTATGCATGGGTATTTATAGAAACATATCCTGTACATGATTGTTACGCCTCCATCCCATTTGAAAAAAAATATTTCCCCTTCTTAACTAATATCAAGGAGCCGAAGCGTTGCAGTTTTCAAAGCGATAAGATAAGTTTGACACGAAACTCGAGCACAACAAATTAGAAATTAATAAGAATTGAAATGGTTCCACGAGGAAGGACTCCGGGTTGGACACGATAAAAGAAGCACTTATAGAAGTTAGAGGGAAAAGCTTTTCTTTCTTGTCAGATTCATAATTTACAAAGCAGAAGTTAACGGTTGTGGGGAGGAGTCAACATTTGCACTCCTCCTCACAGAACTAAATTGAAACACGAGAACGCTAAATTGCACAATATATTAA